TTCGTTCGTGAGTCATAAATAACAACAATAAAAGTAACACTGAACATAGTAAATAATACTATGTATAAACACCGTATGGAGGTTATTTCATAATATTATTTATAATAGACAACATTTTTTTTTAAATCAGTAAATTTTTAAAAGTATTGTAATTGCGCAATTAGTTATAAAATAGTGTACAAATGTACATACATGTTTTAGATACATACATATATTATATGTATGGTAAAAAAAAATGTACAATTAACTGTTAAAATAAATTGATTTTGTTGTTTTTTTAATTTTATGGTATGTCGGCAGTTGTGTTATTGAACCTGACGGTCGAATAATATTAGTTATGCATTGAACGGATATCATTTGTTGTCAAAACATAGGCACTTTAGAGAAGATAAAAGTTTAATAGACATTTTAAAATATATACCGAATAGGTGAATAGTTAAAAACAATGGGAAACAACATAATATAACTGGAATTAAACTTGTACTGATTGTACAGAAACACTGAACAGTTTGTAAATGTACCGGTTTATACATTTTTTAACATCTTTTTAAGATAGTAAGATAGTTTTGACTATCATGACAAAAATAAAAAAATAATACTAGTGTGTTTCAGAGTGATAACACCAATTACAGATATTAAAATAGAAAATTAGTATACATTGGAGCTGATTACCATAATAAGCACTGCTTTTTACACATTACTCACGTGGCAGTCAAAGCATACAAATTTTGCTAATTTGTGTAAACATTTTTTTTTAATTTAGGCCAAAAAATTATTGAGGTAATTATACAAATTACCATTGACAGCATTTCTAAACTACAATATATGTATTTAGATGTGGATGACCCAATTAGATAAATCACAACCTGCGTATAAATAGACCAGTTCGAAATTTCGAACCTATACATGCGTCTTGTTACATATCACTTAATTAAACACTTAAAGGGCCTCTACACTAGTATTTATTAAGGCGCATTGTATAGGCAATTTCTCACTAAAACTTAAGCTACAAATTTTTAGCTTAAACACAATAAGCTAAAAATTTTAAACGTACACGTTACCAAAGAAAAGAAGTATCTATTTTGAAAATTATTTTTTTTCAACTTTTATAACGCATATAGCATCTATTTTTGTACAATAACGTATGTTTTCACTTCAAACAGAACGCGCCAAAAAATAATCCGATTTAAGTTTTAAAAAAACATTTAAGTTCTTTATAACATTTTCAAGGTATCGTGGCACAATTTTAAAATTATTTTTAGTTAATTGATTATTTCAATGTAAAAAACTTAAATTTTAAAATGAAATAATAAATTATGCCAAGATCGATGCATTGGAAATGTTATGAAGAATGCAAATATTTTTTCAAAACTTAAATCTGAGTATTCTTAAGGCCCGTTTACATTAGGCCGCGAATGCGAACGAATGCGAACGAACGCGAATTCGGCACATCAAAATGCAAGTGTAAACGGTGAGCCGAATGCGAACGAACGGCCGTTCGTGCCATTCGTTCGCCTTCGCGGCGGTTCGCTCCGGTAGCGGTAAGATCAAAGGATGATATTCAGTGCGAACGGCATAAAAAATTAAAATATGTTTACCCGCGCCCTGAATCTGAGCGAAGGCTGGTGAACGCTTGCGAACATCGGGGAATGAACACGAACGAGTAGTCTGCACGGTGCGGCCGAATCTCTACCGAATTCGCGTACGAATTCGTTCGCGTTCGCCGCCTAATGTAAACGGGCCTTTAGGAACAGAACGTTTTAAATAGAATGAGTTGTTTCCAACCAAAAATTCGCATGTACCTTAATCTATTCTTTCTCTTTTTTTCTACTATTAGCGTCACTCCTAAATTTCCCATTATATTATAATATAGAATTTAGTATTAACGTCTCAATATTTTCATTTCAGCTACTTCTACTTATTTAAATTTCTTCGATTAATTTTAACTTCAAATAAAATTCACTTCAAATTAAACAAATTCAAAAACTCACCTCCGTGCAAATTTGTCTACACTTTTACAACCTAACGTAATCCAATAAACTAACCTCATTCTGCGAACTGCATTTTAGAAATTTGAATTTCTCTATTCAATCATAAAAAAAGCCGAAATCGGTTTGCTTTTGTATGGAACATTTTAAACCCAGAAATTAACTTCACCTTAATACAAAATGGAGACGTTTCTTTAAGATTGACTCGAAATTTAAGAGGTTTGAGATAGTAATATAAATAAGTGATAAAAAATCCCTATCAACATTTTGATGTAAGTTTGTGAAAATATTAAGAAAATATACATGCCTATAAGTAATACTCTTTTCCTAGTTAAAAAATCACAATAATTAAATCAAGTTGTTAATATATTTATACCATTATTAACTCTTAAGTTATTTGTTATTACAAAGACATTTACCATTCAAACTAGGTACCAGTTTTACAACAAAACTATTACAGTCTACCTCTACCAGATTATTTGCGTAAAGCTATAAATGATTTTTAGATACACTACAGATTTTTAAAAAAAATTATAAGTTTAAAATTGTATAGCCTTATTTTAGGTCTACCTTCAGTATTATTTTCAGACCTCAAGTCCTAAACCTACACTAAAAATAAGCAAAATGACGAAGAAGTATCCACTCCTCTAGGGGAAAAAAATGTTGATATTTTTTTTGGTTTGTTAAAGTATATCTAAAAAAACATTCCTTACAAAATTGGAACTAACAGCTAACTCGACTATTTTTAAAACTTAAAGTTGAAAAATATGAACATTTTTTTATATGTTTTTCTTGATTTTGAAGAAGGAGTGAACTTTTTACATTCTTTACCCAACAAAGTACCTTTCAGGTTCGATTTCTTAGACTAATTATAGAAGAAATCGATAGGAGATATCGTGGGTCCAGACACAATACCTTGCTCTATCCTATCGGGTAGGGTTTTAAAATTAACTAATACATGTAGGTTTCCTATTTATTTAAAAGAAACTATCAAGTTTTGACCCACAAATCACCCTTTCCCTCCCATAAAAAAAAAGGTATTGGACGTTTTTAAATTAAACGGTGTTTTGGGCTTACTTTTTTCGCCAGTTCCGTCAACATGATGATCTCTTGCGACCTGGCACTACTCTTGTTCGTCGTCGCCGTGTGGTAACCAGCGTTCAGCCCATTTTCGTCCATAGGCCAACTGTGCTTATTTCTTTACAACGTCAACAAGAATATAAGTCGTCGGTTTTAACTTTTAACATGTCGCCGAACCGCAAACATCACCATCACACGTGCTTTCGGTAAACACACACACGCAGCACTATTATTGCACAGCGGCAAAACTAACACTGCCGGCAATGTGAATATTATTTAAACGGGCACAATGAAATGGGAAAACACCTGCTGCAGCCCGCAACCGTGTACCTCGGCCACCGTCACCACCGCCATCGACGCCTCTAAAAACTAGGGTCCAAATAATAATGAATACAACTGTTCCCGCAGTCCACACTACTGACCCTGAACATACTGTACATGTGACTGACCTTTTTACCCGCGGCGTTGTACTACACTATCGGTGGTTTTTTTTTAATTATGCCAATCCAGAAAACACTATTAATTACCATAAACGCCTATTGTCCAAAGCTTACAATGCGCAAGAGGCGGCGCCTCGGGTAAGTTTTTTGTTTTCATTAATTGTGATTTGTACAATAGCTCTGGTGTCGTTTTTGTTTTGTCGCTGGCATCTTTAATCGGCCGACGAGATACGATAGTTAATAATGCAATGATAATAGTATATTCTCTTTAGTATAATATGTATCTAATGTCATTAAAAAGAGGACCCGCACATCCTACACATAGTACACATGTAGTAGTACACATAATACTACTATAGTTTTAAGGCGTTTGGTATAGGCAATTATTCGCAAAAACTAAATTTAGAGCTAAAAAAAAATTAAACAAAAAAAATCGTGAGGCGTTAAGCTAAAGCTAAGAAGCGTAATCATTATTTTGGGCTTTGTTAAATAAATAGATTAAACGAGTAAATAGGTTGAATAAACTAGTAAATAAATCAAGAAGACAATTTTGAAAGGGAATGGGTGCTGTTTTTAATTTTTCGCCCAAGAAAGTACCTTCTAGGTAGGTACGATATCTGACTATAGACTTACTACTCGAAAGAATCGCTTAAGAGGTATGAAAGATATTGTAAAAACCTTGGCTAACTACCAAATGAAAATATGTTCTTGTTTTCTCAAAATCTTATGCAATAAATTGTTATTATCACTAAAAATTAAAATACTACAAAACAACTGAGATCTACACTCGTACAAATTAAATAAATACAATTAATGTTAATCCAAAATAATAATTTATAATAAATAAGTACATGAATGGAAAATTTAATCATACGTTGTTGTTTTTAGAAGCTTTCTTTTAACACAAACGACTTAAAACGTTTAAAATCCTTTCAGAAGCTATTAATTGTAAAAAGTTAAAAATGTAATCTATTAATAAAAACAGTCTCATCAATAGTAGTAAAAATGTATAATGAGATTGTATATTGTTATGTATAATATACTCCATTGTGGCTATGACGTTTCGATAAAATAATACAATGTCAACACACAAAGAATATGGCTGGCGGTTTCAAAGAATAATAAATTAAAACCTAAAATAGTGGAAAACCATCTGCGATGCATAATGGAAAACTGTAAAAAAAGCGTGTTTAGATAAAATATTGAATTGGATGTGTAAACTATATTATGTAAAATACATTATGTGACAAAAATTATGGAGAATTTGTTTGGGGTACAATATTATTTTCTACGCGCTAGCTATTATCACAATTATTTAATAATGTATAATCAGTGTTATTAACGATCACATTTCTTAAATAAACATGAAGTCTTAACAATAAAAAAAAATCCTATTTATGCCGACTTAAATATATAATTTTTTTTTTTTTTTAAAAAAAGGTCCTTTATTAACAATAGATGGTCAAATTAAAATGACTAGCTAGTGTAATACCTGTACGTAGTAGGTGGCTCTCTGAATTGTCATTTCGAACGGCCGTTAATCCTTGCATCGACCGATAACTGCTAACGGCTTAGCATATTTTCTGTAATAAAAAAATGCGCACTTTTACGACATTTAAAGAGAAGTACAAAAAAAAAATGGTCGATTAGTAATAATATTTGTTTGTGACGTTCACACCCGTACCGGCCACTGTCGAGGGCGTGATGAATACCGACTGAATCATCTATTAAATAAAATAGGTTCGGTTTACAACAATAATAACGTACAGTGGACAACAAGAGGTGTGCGACAACTGCCAACAGTGCTGCAATAAAATATATATTGTATATATGAGAGGGAGATGCACAATGCATCACTAAGGGTAACATGAAAAAAAAACCATATGGAGGAAACCATCGGAATCACGTGGAAATGTGAAGCAGGTAAGCGCACATGTTTACGAATTTCGTTGAAAATAATAATAATGGTGGGAGTATAAGTGTATGGTAGACCTTTAATAACCCAGAAATGAAAAAAAGAACATCACCGCGCTCTATATTAAAATTTAAAATAGTCGGTCGGACTGCAGCAGCAGCTGTTATTAAGATTTTCTATAGTAAATATTATTAAACAATTACATGTGTGTATTTTGGCGATTACACCCTGCTAACAATAATTCCCATAATACTAATAATAATAGGTACCTATACCTATAACTAAAATAGTATGACAATGCCTACCGCCAATGTCAACAACCGTTTTACCGGGTGATACATTCATAACGCAAGATACTTAATTATATCTAATTTTTTTATGTTTTCTTTAAAAAAAAATTACTTGTAATTTTGCCTTTAAAAAGATTGATACTTTTTTTTTAATCTCTTGAAAAATTGACATAAATGGACTTCTAACCCTGTGACTTCATTTACATTTTTTTAGTATTGCCCAGAGCTATTTAATAAACTTATTTTATTGAGAATAATTTACTGAAAAACTTTGATTGTCCGATCATTAGTTTTTAATAATTATATTAAAAAATGTAGAACGGGAAGCGGAGTGATGCACGCAGATATAACCCAACTTACATTTTAAACTTTAATAGCTTAAAAAATACTTATTCAAACCCGGCTATCGACCAGTCGAAATTTAAAGTAATGATTGATTTAAAAAATTAATAAAACCCAATATACGTTGCCGTAGAAGTTTTGGAAAGTCCATAGAAAATACCAAAAAAGATAAAAAAAAATTGAATATTAGTTTTAACCTATTACTGTAAAATAGGAAAAATTCTAAATGTTTCCATAACGAAAAACTTCAAAATTTTAATTATTTTCAGAGAGAATGAGTTTCGTACGTTAAATATGTCGTCCTTCATTGTTTGTAAACCAAAACAATCCATTTTATTTTGATTGGAATGTTAATAATTTTTTTAAACATCACCTAATATCCGCTTCTGTAAATTATTAAACATGATATTAAAAATACCCTGGACAAACCTAACCTAACGTTGTTTAGACATTCTGATTTCTGCGAGTCCACTCTTTCAATGCTAAAACTAAAAACAAATCCGTTTTTTGAAACTCATAGCAGATTATCGTATATTTGACACTTATAGATCGTTTACGGTTTATAATGTCATTGATTTTGTAGCGTAACGATGCATATAGACATACATATATTTAGTGTACCTAAAATATACATATAGGCAATAATAAAACCACTGGTTATTTAAAAACAAAAACCAAAATTAACTTCAATTCTATTTAACTTAAATAGTCGGTTCCCAACAAAAACATAATTAAATTATATATTTATTTATAAATGACGGCTCAATTAAATTAAATCACACTTGTTTTTATTTTCAGTTAAATTTAGTTTATTTAAGTTAAATCAGTTTAACGCAAGATACTCAATATTAATATATTGCCATACTTTAAAACCCTCATAAAAAATAATACTGCACGATTAAAATGTTAAAATTAAAATAGTACCCATGCAAAGTTAAAGTCAAGTCTACTTTTGACTTGACTTGTAGTTATTATCAACAAATTGGACAAACATAAACTGAATTTGTAATCGTATTGTCAAAAAATAAGGTTTGCATAAAAAAGTGTTGGTAAAACCAACTGCTTTTCGCAACGTAGAAAAGGCTACTTATAAAAAATGCAATATATTTTTAGTGCTGATATTTTTTATAATATATTTTACAGTGAAACAAAATAAAAACATGCATCTAAATTTTAAAAAGAGTGTAATAATTCTGCTTTACTTTAATATGTTATTCTTGAATAGGTTCCTGAGGGATACAACCCAACGTGTAAATGAATAATTAAATTTTAAAAAGTACTTTTTTAAAACTACCTACGCAAAGACAGGTATGGAAAATAGGAAGCGTAAAAAAAAAAAAATTTGGTAATTTGTTTCAGGCAAATTTCAACTCAGAAAATTAGCATACAGTGTTACCTATATTTTAATACCCAAAAACCCCCTCCTTCTTATACCAATTGTATTAATTATGGATCTTTTAAGTAGGTTCAATTTAATAAATAATAAGTGTTCACGCACGGTAAATTTTAAACTATAAATAGTTATGTACTAAAATAAGTGAATTATTGTGGGCAATTTAGACTATTTTCGAAATAGTATTGATAATTTTATATACTGTGTTATTGAACAAGTCACAAGTGTATTTACATTTTTAAAATGCTCCATATGTGTTTCTACGACATTAACCACATTTCTGAAGTGGGCAAAGGCCTAACACTATATACAATACTCTTATACATAATACACATGTTGATCGATTTAAAAAAAATACACATACTTGAATACTTCGAAATTACTCAATAAATTACCTACAACAAGAATCTGATTTATTTATCTAATTGAATGATTTTGTTGACAAGCATCTTGTACTCTCAGTAAACTTAATGTAGGTATCATACTATAATTTTTAAGTAAAAATTATTGTTTAAACATCTACAGCTGATTTACATTGAAATGTTTTACCAAATAATTCTAATTGAAAATAAATTGTATTACTTTTTTAGCAGTTATACATAGTACCTACTAAACTTAGGTTTTTTTTAAGTAATTGTTATTTTAGTAAAATTTAGTTTAATTTTTTTAATTTCTATTTAAGTTTGTTAAAATAAAAGGTTGTATTAAATTGTTGTTTGATAATTGATAATTGTTCAGATAAAACAATGAAATTTGATATATTATTTGCTTTTATTTAAGTACATTTTTATTTACAATAATTATTTGATTTTTTATTCAAATACAAATAATGATTTAAATATAGTCCACAGGTTTGAGTATTAATAACAAAATGAAAATTTAACAACTTTTCAAATAATAACTAAAAAAATTTCAATTAAATAAAACCTTGTCATAAAAAATATAAAAACAATTTTAATAGACTTTCAATTTTAACTAAATATTTTTTTATTTAAATGCAAGTGAAATTTTTAACTAAAATTAAACCATTATTAAAAGTTTTAAAAATTAAATCAAATATATATATATATTTTTTTCAAATAATCAGTTATAGAATAAGACAAATAAAAGTGTAATTAAAAAATTGATTTATTTAAATAAAAGATTATTAAAAATAACTTATTATTTTCAAATTTTTATTTTACTATAAAAATGGCCAAATATATTATTATACATTAATGCATACATTTATTAATATTTCTCTATTATACGGTTGTAATTATTATAAATTTTGTGGTTACTAATTAAATTGAGATTAGTTAGTATTTATTAAACAAATCATTAATTATTCTGGTTTCAAAGAAGTAAAGGTACTTATTTAGGTATTTAAGTAACAAATACAAATAAATAAATTAAACTAGAATTCAAAATATCATATTTGAACAAAAATGAATGTTGTGTGGGTAATTTTTTTTTACTTAACATTTTTATTTAGCCTTTTATTTTAAATAAATATTCATTTAACTTTGTTATTAGAACTATTAATTATATTTTTATTTAATTATTAATTTTATATGTATTTAAACGACATTTTTTTAGTTGAATATGTAAATAAATTGCTTGAGTTTTTGCATGTATTTTACTTTTAATAATGAGGTGAATTTTTATTAAAATAAAAAAAATATTTAAATAATCTCCAAGTTTGATATCAAGTATTAAATCTTTTAAATGTTACCAATATACAAACCTGTAGATTATGAAAACAGTTAATTTAATATCCTAAACAGTAACTAAAATAATTATTAAAATACAAATTATAAATAAATAATTCTCATTTAGTAAATCAAATTGTATTCTTCTTATTTGAAAATCATCAGAATACAAATTTTAAACCAATTTTTTGTCTGAACGAATCAATTATCAAATTGAAAAAATTTTTAATAAATTATCTAATTTTACCCAAAGCAATTTTTTTCTAATAGGTACAGTAAATAAAAATGCATTTCGAATACCTAATAATAATTTGATGCGCTAAGTAATAAATGTATTTAAAATAACTTTGTTAAAATGATATGTTATTTTAACAAAACTCTGTCCAAGTTCAGTAGGTACTATTAACTATAATATGTAAATATAATCTTATAGTGAAATGTTTATACTTTACAATGCATTAAATAACAACAAAACAATACGCTCACGTGTATTTAGTTTGAAACTGATGCCAATTTTGTTTTCGCATTCTGCCAATGCACTATTAGGTTATTTAAACGCCTATCGCATTCACCCTTTAGAAATAAATGACCGTGAGTGTTATCGAATGACATGCAATTAACTATTATTAAAAGATCGCATTTCTACAATTAAGCCATCACGTTTTTGGTATCCCGTTGTCATTTCAATTTACTATATAAACCCGGATTGCCGCAACCGTAAATCATTCAGTCGAATGTAACCCATTCTTCCTAGTTCTAAGGAAGTCATGTTGTTATTTTCATCGATTTCAAAAATGGTAGTAAAAAACATTGCCATCGGATTAGTTTGCATTCTGGCCATAACCAATTGTGTAAGTTATTCTTTGTTGTTTATAATATTTTTCCAATCGATTTTGTTTAAAAAGATGTATTCATTGATTGTCATTTTCAAACTTGCAGGCTACATCATGTTTGCAGAATTTATTTGGTGGCCGGGGCTGTTCATGTCCAAGGTCTTTACGTAAAAACGGTATCCTTGGCTACAATGGTGGTAAAAACGGTATCTTCGATTATCCTTTTGGTGGTAACGGTATTTTCGGTTACCCTTCTGGTAGCTACAATAGCCTAAAATACTCTTTAGGAGGAGTTCCTTTTGGTTACGGCGGTCCATACGGTGGCCTTTACAATGGTCCATATGGCTCATCAATTAACCCCATCACTGTTGGAGGAGCCTCTTCCACTACTAGCGAATTGTTCGGTTTAACAGGTGTCCCTAGCGTTAGTGTTGGTGCAGGAATACCATTTGGATATAGCAGCCAATACAACGGACCATACAACGGACTATACAACGGACTATACAGAGGACCATTCGGTTACGGCAGCCCCTACGTTGGACCATACAGCGGATTATACAGAGGCCCATACGGTTCATATTTCCAGCCATATAAACGAATACTTGGATCATCTTCGAGTACTGGCAGCTTATTTAGACCATTCGGTTATGGTAGCCCATACGCTAGACCATACAGCGGACTATACAGAGGTCCATATGGTTCATATTTCCGACCACATAAAAGAATTATTGGAGGACCATATTCAAGTACTGACAGCTCATTTGGACCATTCGGTTACGGTAGCCCATACGTTAGACCATACGGCACCCTATACAAAGGCCTATATGGTTCATATTTCCGGCCCAATAAACGAGTAATTGGATCATCTTCGAGTACTGGCAGATTATTTGGACCATTCGGTTACGGTAGCCCATACGCTGGACCATTCGGCGAACTAAACGGTGAACAATATGGCTCGTCTTTAAGCCCAATACAAAGTGTTGGTGGATCCTCTTCAAGTACTAGTGGCTCATTCGGTTCATCAAATGGCCCTGGCAACAATATTGACAGATCATCTTCAAGTACTAGCGGCTTATTAGGAACTTCAAGTGCCCCGGGCGTTAGCGTTGAAAAATCTACTACCAGTACAAGTGTTGCGGTTAAATCATCGGGTGCTCCTGGTGCCGTTGTTGGTGAGTCTTCTACCAGTACTAGTAGTACGGTTGGATCATCAAGTACCCCCGGGGGCATTGTTGGTAGATCGTCTTCAAGTTCTAGCGATGTAGTTGGATCTACGGGTGCCCCTGGCTCAATCTTAGGTGGAGGTGTATCATTCAGTAATGGCAGCCCATACGTAGGACCAAACGGAGAAATATTAAGTGACCCATACGTTGGACCAAACGGCGAAATTTTAAGCGGCCCATACGTTGGACCAAACGGTGAAATTCTGAGCGGTCCATATGGTTCATCACTTAACCCTCTTTCAAGTGTTGGTGGATCGTCTTCGAGTTCTAGCAGTGTAGTTGGATCATCTGGTGCACCAGGCTCAATCGTTGGACCAAACAGACAAATAATTAGTGGCCCATACATTGGACCAAACGGTGAAATTCTGAGCGGCCCATATGGCTCATCTCTTAACCCTCTTTCAAGTGTTGGTGGATCGTCTTCGAGTTCTAGCAGTGTAGTTGGATCATCTGGTGCACCTGGCTCCATCTTAGGTGGAGGTGTACCATTCGGTAACAACGGCCCATACGTAGGACCAAACGGACAAATAATTAGTGGCCCATACGTTGGACCAAACAGAGAAATTCTAAGCGGCCCAAACGGCGGGTTATACAGCGGACCATATGGTTCATATCTTAACCCTCTTTCAAGTGTTGGTGGATCGTCTTCGAGTTCTAGCAGTGTAGTTGGATCATCTGGTGCACCTGGCTCCATCTTAGGTGGAGGTGGACCATTCGGTAAAAACGGCCCATACGTAGGACCAAACGGACAAATAATTAGTGGCCCATACGTTGAACCAAACGGTGAAATTTTAAGCGGCCCATACGGTGGGCTATACAGCGGTCCATATGGCTCATCTCTTAACCCTCTCTCAAGTGTTGGTGGATCATCTTCGAGTTCTAGCGGTGTAGTTGGATCAACTGGTGCCTCTGGCTCCATCTTAGGTGGAGGTGGACCATTCGGTAACAACAGCCCATACGTAGGACCAAACGGACAAATAACTAGTGGCCTATACGGTGGGTTATACAGCGGTCCATATGGCTCAACTCTTAACCCTCTCTCAAGTGTTGGTGGATCAACTTCGAGTTCTAGCGGTGTAATTGGATCATCTGGTGCACCTGGCTCAATTGTTGGTGGATCTTCTTCGAGTTCTAGCGGTGTAGTTGAATCAACTAGTGCCCCTGGCTCAATCGTTGGTGGATCTTCTTCGAGTTCTAGCGGTGTAGTTGGATCATCTGGTGCACCTGGCTCCATCTTAGGTGGAGGTGTACCATTCGGTAACAACGGCCCATACGTAGGACCAAACGGACAAATAATTAGTGGCCCATACGGTGGGCTATACAGCGGTCCATATGGCTCATCTCTTAACCCTCTTTCAAGTGTTGGTGGATCATCTTCGAGTTCTAGCGGTGTAATTGGATTATCTGGTGCACCTGGCTCAATCGTTGGACCAAACGGACAAATAATTAGTGGCCCATACGTTGGACCAAACGGTGAAATTTTAAGCGGCCCATACGGTGGGCTTTACAGCGGTCCATATGGCTCATCACTTAACCCTCTTTCAAGTGTTGGTGAATCAACTTCGAGTTCTAGCGGTGTAATTGGATCATCTGGTGCACCTGGCTCAATCGCTGGACCAAACGGACAAATAATTAGTGGCCCATATGTTGGACCAAACGGTGAAATTTTAAGCGGCCCATACGGTGGGCTATACAGCGGTCCATATGGCTCATCTCTTAACCCTCTCTCAAGTGTTGGTGGATCATCTTCGAGTTCTAGCGGTGTAGTTGGATCAACTGGTGCCTCTGGCTCCATCTTAGGTGGAGGTGGACCATTCGGTAACAACGGCCCATACGTAGGACCAAACGGACAAATTATTAGTGGCCCATACGTAGGACCGAACGGACAAATAATTAGTGGCCTATACGGTGGGTTATACAGCGGTCCATATGGCTCATCTCTTAACCCTCTCTCAAGTGTTGGTGGATCATCTTCGAGTTCTAGCGGTACAGTTGGATCAACTGGTGCCCCTGGCTCAATCGTTGGTGGATCTTCTTCGAGTTCTAGCGGTGTAGTTGGATCAACTGGTGCCCCTGGCTCAATCGTTGGTGGATCGTCTTCGAGTTCTAGCAGTGTAGTTGGATCATCTGGTGCACCTGGCTCCATATTAGGTGGAGGTGTACCATTCGGTAACAACGGCCCATACGTAGGACCAAACGGACAAATAATTAGTGGCCCATACGTTGGACCAAACGGTGAAATATTTAAGTCGGCCCATACGGTGGGCTATACAGCGGTCCATATGGCTCATCTCTTAACCCTCTCTCAAGTGTTGGTGGATCATCTTCGAGTTCTAGCGGTACAGTTGGATCAACTGGTGCCCCTGGCTCAATCGTTGGTGGATCTTCTTCGAGTTCTAGCGGTGTAGTTGGATCAACTGGTGCCCCTGGCTCAATCGTTGGTGGATCGTCTTCGAGTTCTAGCAGTGTAGTTGGATCATCTGGTGCACCTGGCTCCATATTAGGTGGAGGTGTACCATTCGGTAACAACGGCCCATACGTAGGACCAAACGGACAAATAATTAGTGGCCCATACGTAGGACCGAACGGACAAATAATTAGTGGCCTATACGGTGGGTTATACAGCGGTCCATATGGCTCATCTCTTAACCCTCTCTCAAGTGTTGGTGGATCATCTTCGAGTTCTAGCGGTACAGTTGGATCAACTGGTGCCCCTGGCTCAATCGTTGGTGGATCTTCTTCGAGTTCTAGCGGTGTAGTTGGATCAACTGGTGCCCCTGGCTCAATCGTTGGTGGATCGTCTTCGAGTTCTAGCAGTGTAGTTGGATCATCTGGTGCACCTGGCTCCATATTAGGTGGAGGTGTACCATTCGGTAACAACGGCCCATACGTAGGACCAAACGGACAAATAATTAGTGGCCCATACGTTGGACCAAACGGTGAAATTTTAAGCGGCCCATACGGTGGGCTATACAGCGGTCCATATGGCTCATCTCTTAACCCTCTTTCAAGTGTTGGTGGATCATCTTCGAGTTCTAGCGGTGTAATTGGATCAACTGGTGCACCTGGCTCAATCGTTGGTGGATCTTCTTCGAGTTCTAGCGGTGTAGTTGGATCAACTGGTGCCCCTGGCTCAATCGTTGGTGGATCGTCTTCGAGTTCTAGCGGTGTAGTTGGATCAACTGGTGCCCCTGGCTCAATCGTTGGTGGATCGTCTTCGAGTTCTAGCGGTGTAGTTGGATCATCTGGTGCACCTGGCTCCATATTAGGTGGAGGTGTACCATTCGGTAACAACGGCCCATACGTAGGACCAAACGGACAAATAATTAGTGGCCCATACGTTGGACCAAACGGTGAAATAATTAGTGGCCCATACGTAGGACTAAACGGACAAATAATTAGTGGCCCATACGGTGGGTCATACAGCGGTCCTTATGGCTCATCTCTTAACCCTCTCTCAAGTGTTGGTGGATCATCTTCGAGTTCTAGCGGTGTAGTTGGATCAACTGGTGCCCCTGGCTCAATCGTTGGTGGATCTTCTTCGAGTTCTAGCGGTGTAGTTGGATCAACTGGTGCCCCTGGCTCAATCGTTGGTGGATCTTCTTCGAGTTCTAGCGGTGTAGTTGGATCAACTGGTGCCCCTGGCTCAATCGTTGGTGGATCGTCTTCGAGTTCTAGCAGTGTAGTTGGATCATCTGGTGCACCTGGCTCCATCTTAGGTGGAGGTGTACCATTCGGTAACAACGGCCCATACGTAGGACCGAACGGACAAATAATTAGTGGCCCATACGGTGGGCTATACAGCGGTCCATATGGCTCAACTCTTAACCCTCTTTCAAGTGTTGGTGGATCATCTGGTGCCCCTGGCTCAATCGTTGGTGGATCGTCTTCGAGTTCTAGCGGTGTAATTGGATTATCTGGTGCACCTGGCTCAATCGTTGGACCAAACGGACAAATAATTAGTGGCCCATACGTTGGACCAAACGGTGAAATTTTAAGCGGCCCATACGGTGGGCTATACAGCGGCCCATATGGCTCATCTCTTAACCCTTTTTCAAGTGTTGGTGGATCATCTTCGAGTTCTAGCGGTGTACTTGGATCAACTGGTGCTCCTGGCTCAATCGTTGGTGGATCTTCTTCGAGTTCTAGCAGTGTAGTTGGATCATCTGGTGCACCTGGCTCCATCTTAGGTGGAGGTGTACCATTCGGTAACAACGGCCCATACGTAGGACCGAACGGACAAATAATTAGTGGCCCATACGGTGGGCTATACAGCGGTCCATATGGCTCAACTCTTAACCCTCTTTCAAGTGTTGGTGGATCATCTGGTGCCCCTGGCTCAATCGTTGGTGGATCGTCTTCGAGTTCTAGCGGTGTAATTGGATTATCTGGTGCACCTGGCTCAATCGTTGGACCAAACGGACAAATAATTAGTGGCCCATACGTTGGACCAAACGGTGAAATTTTAAGCGGCCCATACGGTGGGCTATACAGCGGCCCATATGGCTCATCTCTTAACCCTTTTTCAAGTGTTGGTGGATCATCTTCGAGTTCTAGCGGTGTACTTGGATCAACTGGTGCTCCTGGCTCAATCGTTGGTGGATCTTCTTCGAGTTCTAGCAGTGTAGTTGGATCATCTGGTGCACCTGGCTCCATCTTAGGTGGAGGTGTACCATTCGGTAACAACGGCCCATACGTAGGACCGAACGGACAAATAATTAGTGGCCCATACGGTGGGCTATACAGCGGTCCATATGGCTCAACTCTTAACCCTCTTTCAAGTGTTGGTGGATCATCTGGTGCCCCTGGCTCAATCGTTGGTGGATCGTCTTCGAGTTCTAGCGGTGTAATTGGATTATCTGGTGCACCTGGCTCAATCGTTGGACCAAACGGACAAATAATTAGTGGCCCATACGTTGGACCAAACGGTGAAATTTTAAGCGGCCCATACGGTGGGCTATACAGCGGCCCATATGGCTCATCTCTTAACCCTTTTTCAAGTGTTGGTGGATCATCTTCGAGTTCTAGCGGTGTACTTGGATCAACTGGTGCTCCTGGCTCAATCGTTGGTGGATCTTCTTCGAGTTCTAGCAGTGTAGTTGGATCATCTGGTGCACCTGGCTCCATCTTAGGTGGAGGTGTACCATTCGGTAACAACGGCCCATACGTAGGACCGAACGGACAAATAATTAGTGGCCCATACGGTGGGCTATACAGCGGTCCATATGGCTCAACTCTTAACCCTCTTTCAAGTGTTGGTGGATCATCTGGTGCCCCTGGCTCAATCGTTGGTGGATCGTCTTCGAGTTCTAGCGGTGTAATTGGATTATCTGGTGCACCTGGCTCAATCGTTGGACCAAACGGACAAATAATTAGTGGCCCATACGTTGGACCAAACGGTGAAATTTTAAGCGGCCCATACGGTGGGCTATACAGCGGCCCATATGGCTCATCTCTTAACCCTCTTTCAAGTGTTGGTGGATCATCTTCGAGTTCTAGCGGTGTACTTGGATCAACTGGTGCTCCTGGCTCAATCGTTGGTGGATCTTCTTCGAGTTCTAGCGGTGTAGTTGGATCATCTGGTGCACCTGGCTCCATCTTAGGTGGAGGTGTACCATTCGGTAACAACGGCCTATACGTAGGACCAAACGGACAAATAATTAGTGGCCCATACGTAGGACCGAACGGACAAATAATTAGTGGCCCATACGGTGGGTTATACAGCGGTCCATATGGCTCATCTCTTAACCCTCTTTCAAGTGTTGGCGGATCGTCTTCGAGTTCTAGTGGTGTAGTTGGATCAACTGGTGCCCCCGCCTCAATCGTTGGTGGGTCACCTTTGGTTTCCATCTTAGGTGGAGGTGTATCATTCGGTAACGGCAGCCCATACGTTGGGCCAAACGGTGGACTATTGAGTGCCCCATACAGAGGTCTATACAGTGGTCCTTATGGCTCATCTCTTAACCCCATACAAAGTGTTGGTGGATCGTCTTCTAGTACTAGCGAAGCTATCGGATCATCGGGTGACCCAATCTTGGGGGCTGGAGGTAGATTACCTTATGGTTACATTAGACCGTACGGGTCAGCTCTAAACTCCATTGTTTTTCTCGGTGGATCAGGAACTCCGTTTAATAAGAATATAGGTGGACGCAATTGCAAATGTGTGTGCTCATAACAACCCACTGATTTAAGTATGTAACATTGCTTCATAACAATTAATATTTGCTCATCATATTTATGTTGTTGTTGTTTCCCATATGCGTGTTGATTGTATTCACTCATATTTTATTTATAATTAATTTAATATTTATATTATGTATCTACTAAAACGGTCAACTATTTATTTTTTAATATTATATGGTTTTCTACGAAATTATATTTAACAAAAATATTTTTTAGTTGTTTTTTTAAATTATACCTGTCATTCCTATGTCCTATAATAAATACAATTTTAGAAACGTATCATCTATGTTTACGTGTCTAGGTATACGATATACGTTAAAATAATGACCTAATAATAATTAGTTACAATCACTTACCTGGAATGCATCATTTTTGATGAAGTCGGCCAATACTAACAAGATTAAGAACAACTTTTTGTTTATTTATTTTTAAATAACGGTTACGGATCGCGAAATATGATAATTATCATACTTATATATTTTTATTATAAAATAGCATGTACTTAATATACAGCATGCTTAAATAGTACTGAGCACTTAACAGCGTGAATGAAATAAAAGACAAATTATTTAGATGACATCGTCAATTCAGTATTTTTTTTTTTTTTACATAATATAACTTAATACGTGAGAATTATATCATGTTTTCATTTAAAATGCATCGACATGCACAAAGCCTTTATAATATTCGCATAATTTTCCCAAGATGTTAAACAATATATTAATATGTATTATGTCGCATTTATTCCTATCAAAATATATTGATGACCCATCAATATTATTACACAAACATAGATATGTATATACTTACGCGTGTACACGTAAAAAATTATGTTATTAAATATTTCATCCTACTATTGAAATCATTTGTCCTTCACTTTAGCACATCAGAGCTAAAAGTGCTTAAAGCACTTAAAACTTATAGGTGATCGGTTACAACTTTATTTAATCATAAAAAGGTTTTTTTTATAACTGTACTTTGAATTATGGATTTTTTTTATTTTTTAAAACATATCTTTAACGTAATATCATAATAATTAACACAAATTTAAGTATACCTACTTGCTTAGTGCAAGCAGGAACTTATCAAATTTCTTTACTTAGTTCTAAAATTACATAAAAACCCATAATTTTAATAAAAACTAATTGTTTGGAAGGGGGAAGACTAAAGTATTTACTATCTTTGTGACCAATTATTTTTTTAGTATTGTAATAAAACAACAATATTATTATAATTTCTTTCCAAAACTGTTTATCAACACTTTTTGAAAATTTGGGAAAAAAAGAAAAACTTTATGAATGTCAATAACAATTGAAGGGTATAGGGAAAAAACCAGCAGTCACTTTTTCTAATCTAAGAAAAACATGTTTAAGTAATGGTAAAATATGTTTTAAAATGTTAAAGAAATACTTAAAAATTTAAAAATATTTTATACTTTTGTTTATAATCGTGCTTAAAAGTAAAGAACTGATTCGTTTTGTATCAAAACGAATTTTAGAACAAATAATTGCTATTATTAAAAAGTGACTGCTGTTTTTTCCTTGTACCCTTCAATTATAAGTATAATAAGAAATTTTTTTTAAAATTCTCTATAGACTCAATTATTTTTAAAATCAAAAACTTTGGACCAAGTTGAAATATTTAAAAGATATGATTTCAGATAGTTAAATTTAGCACTCAATTTATAAGTTTTAGATTAAGTATTTCTAAAAAAAAATCATTGCGATTTTACTCAAAATAAATTTTATCAACTTGGTAAACAATAATAATTCAGTATTTTCGTTTATTAACTATATGAAAACTGTTATGTTGATATTATGTAGTTTTGATTTAAGACATGATTAACATTATATATATTAGTTACTGCAAATAATAAATTATATTTGGAAATAAACGACATAATCAGTTTGAGAAATAAATTCTAGTCAAATCCGATATAAGACAATAAGTTTTTGGAAATAAAGCTGCATATAAAGTATATTTTTATCAGAGAAATAATTAGTTTTGACAATTTATTTCAAGCCATAATTAAAGCAATACATACAATATCACAAAACTTGAAAATATTATTTGATATCAATATAACTTTTTAGAAACATAATCAGTTTTGGTAAAGGCTGCTTATATATAAATATATAAAAAAAAAATTTACAAAAAAAATTGTTAAAGATAGGTATTATTTAAAACATATTTAGCTGTACAAAAATCAACTTAATTAAAAAGAATTTATATATTGTTATTTGTTGTAAGAATAGATTAATAATTTCAATATTGAGTATTTTTTAAAATAAATATAGTTTTATCTATTTGATGGACAATAGAATCACTTAAGATTTATTTTGTGTAGTTTATAACAAGTTATTATTTCAAAACAAACTACAAATTATAAACAATTAAATATATGAGTTAGAGTACAGATTTTTTTTATGTTTTTAGAGTACTATGCTAAGAGATAAAATAAATATATGTATAAAAAAATATGTTTTTGGTATTTTGATCGTTGAAACTTCTCAGACTAATTATTAATCAACGCTATTTCCACCGTTGTTTTATTCAGACATATCCTCCATTTTAATGGAAGTTTTGATCTCCGGTTTCTTTGGTACCGTCAATGGGACGTTATGATTTAACATGTGAGATTGGAATTCGCATACATTGACAAATAGGCAAATATGACAGGACCAATTAACTTTCTCCCTGGCCTTATGTTTGGCCCAATGGTCCCAATAAAATCTTAAGTCAGCAAATTTTGTTTTACATTCTATACATAAAAACAATAATTTGCTTTCGGATCCTGAGCAACATTCCTGACCTTCCATAATCGCCGTTTAGCTAAAAACAATTAATAAAATACATAATATATCCAAAAAATTAGATGATACGAGCTTAAGTCTTAATGCGAGCACACATTATTTACAATGAAAAAAAAAATAAAACATTTATATATTATTTTGTTTGTGTATTTAACAAATACATCTAAACCCTTTTCGACATTTTATCTCTTCGCAAAAGCACAATAAATATTAAGACAGAAATTTAAACAATTCATTGTAGTTACAGTCGCTGTCGGTAGTTGAAACTAGATAGGTTTATCGGTTGTGATGAATATTAAGTATAAATAACATTATTTAAAAAGTAAATTTTATAAAAATACTTGTTATCAAATGAAATTTAAAAGAGTGAAACTCGGTCGAAAAATAAGTAAAAGGGCAAATAATGAGTTCGACAATAGAATTTTAAAGTAACTCCATTAACAGTATAAATTGGGACGAAATCGCTGGTACTTTTTTAGTTGGAATTAACAACACTTTTGGAACAGTAAATTAGATACGAAAAAAAAAAAAATTTATTTTAAAATGTTGTATTCTAAATACTATGCACACTCTACACTAGTAATATTATACCAAAAATTTTAATTAATCTCTTCTTAAGTAATTTAATTTTCATTAAATTTGAACTGGTATATTATATAAATGGAATATTATCAACTTTGTCGTAGATAATAATATTATATGCTTATAATGTTATTAAAACTTTTTCGTGAAAATTGGCAAAAAAAAAGGTTCAGGGTGAAAATTAAAATTTTTATTTAACAGTTGACCAAACCCGGTCTGGTGTATTATGGTTTGACACTATAAAATACATCAAACGTTTAATGCACACTTTAGTCTTTATCCCATAACAAAATATGTAATTCGACATACCTTCCGTTATATTTTGCACTTTGAATTTCAATCAGGTTTACTGCGAGCGACTAATAATAATTATTATTATTATTGTTAGCGTAATTCGGTAAGTAATAAAATCAATAACGGTCAACCACAATGTTTATTGTACACCAATTTTAATCAATATTATATTTTCAATCCGACACAACAGCACGTCGTCAAAATAATATGTTATTCATAGAATAAAGAATGTTATTGTTCAATCGATAATTGCATCGGATGCACTCGGGTGCAATATTAATAATAACACAACGAAATGCAGTTGTAACCAAAATATTGTTTTTTGTTACCAGAGAAACGATACCGATCTCAGCGTGTGTTTATAACGACCTTGGAAATAAAATATAGAAATGGCGTATTTTTAACTAATATTTTTCAATTTCGAAACGGACCCAAAAGGGTATATTGTTTTATAAATGTTCATAAGATGCGTTTTGATTTCAAATCTAGTTACGTTAAGTTAGAATAAATAAGCAATTTTTTTTTTTTTTAATAAATTCAATAGTTGTAATTAAATCTAAGTGTTTGGAGGGACATGTTTTTTGCTAGTTTTTGAGGAAACTCCTAGCCCTTCTTAATTGGTTTTATTACATAATATTATAAAATATACGATTTTTATACATATTTTTTTCCATTATAACTGTTCGGCAAATGTGCTTAAGATTTTTAGAAAAAAAAATGTCCATATTGGAACAAAAATTTAACTCATTTTTAAATTAGTGACTAAGTGACTTATTTTTAAATTGTGACTGTGAATGTAATTCTTACCGTCTATCGATTTACATTGAATGGTTTATTAGAAAGTGATTTTATAACTTTAAGTTATATTAGTTCTTGTAGACCTTTTACCTCACCGTCACCACCGTGCTGTGGTTTTATTAATATTTATTTTATTATTTACGGTCTATGAAAACAAAGAAATTGGTAAATACAGGTTAGACTTAAAGTAATAATATCAGTAATTGCAGCTATTAAACAGAAAGTATATATTAAATTCACAAGGGTAAACTATTACTGTGAAGACTGAGTTCCAAAAAACCTTCTTAGCTTTAAGTTAAGTTCAATGATATAACGCTGAAGTTCAGAGCCCAAAACACGATATGAATATAGAAATGAGCATAGTATTTATTTATATTATGATAATGTTTCTTACATATATTAAACAACATTTTGTTTAGTACTGTTGTTTAAATATTTAATCTCATACCGAAACATGGTTGTAAAATATTTTAACAAATTTTTTTTTGCTGTTTTCCTAATTATGCTTACTTTGAATTTTGTTACACACAACAAAGTTCAAATTAAAACCGTTCATTTTGTATTTTATATAGCAGAAAATCACATTTTAGGCTTTCCTGATACAGAGAAAAAATGTTTCTCGACAAAAAAAAATGTACCTGTGTACGATAAATTTGTTAGCAATACAACCAATTGATTAACATTAAAAATATACATACAATAATATACAGATATCAATTTATTATTATGAACTTTCGAAACAGCAAATTTATTTTAGCACACTCCAAATACATTTAGAAAAAAAATCAATTATCTTTCATAAATATTAAAACTTATTCATATTTTTTTTTTTTAACTCAAACTATATAAATTTGTGTACAGAAACATTTGGCCTTTTTTTCTTTTGAAAATCTAACGTCTACATAATATTTACACAATAAAAGACGTTATTGCAATATTACCAATAGTTTTGAATTATTTTTATACTCCATTAAAATAATAATTATTTGGAAAAAAATCACACGATTAAAAACCGTCTGTATTTATTAATTTAAAATCAAAATACGATGTATATAGTCTTGAAACATTTTGTGTACAAACTCCTCAAAACGATTATCTGAAATATAAAAAAAATATAATATAATCAATTTGGTTAAAACTCTATAGGTTTAATCGACGGACATTTTTATTGTTTATAAAGTATACAATATTTATTGTTTTAAAAAAAATTGTTTACAAAACTAGTGAGGCAAAAACAATTGGCTAAATACGTTTTAAACCTGATTTGGAGGTTTGATTTAAATTATTCCTCAATATATCCTCGTTTGTCAGAAAAAAATGTATTTTCATATTAACGCATTTTTGGAGATTAGAGAATATGTTTTTATTAAATATGTATTAATTTTAAGAGAGACTATTTTAAAAGTTACTACATATAAATTAATAACCAATGAAATGGTGAGCAATAATAGTAATAATTATTCTTTAACACAACGTTATGTTGACATTAGTTTGTTGTTTTTATCAATAATATTTTAGTATTTAGAGAAATCGTACTTAATAATTTAACATTTTTTATTATTACCTATACCTCTCAAAGAAATAATAGACAATTATAATTTTTTTCTTTACCAAAATTGTATTAATTATTGTTTCAATTGAATAAATAAACACAATATATTTTATTATATTAATTTATAAATAGAGATTGGATTTTTAAATACATTTATTGTATTTATACAACTGTATAACTTATTGATCACGGAATACATTAAAAATATTGAGAAATATTATGGAATATTTTAAGATATTATTAGTTCACATTATTATAATTTTTTGAACTTTTTTAAACCTAAAAATCTGTTCTCTTGTATTAAAAATTGTAAAAATATATATTTTAAAATAATTACCTCACACGTTAACGAATGTCTGATAAACAATTTGTGGCGTGCATTTATGCGACATAGTTGTAAGTGTTTCGATCTTCTGGAGTGCGTGCCAAATATTCTCTTTCAATCAAACACTCTATTCGTTTTTTGATGAGTACAGGCGACGGCATGAATCTCGACCTCAATTGCTCAGTGACTTCCATTATGAGAGTATTGTGTGTTAATTTTTTTCGAGCTTTCATTATGCGCACTAATGCCGCTTCAATTTCGTGTTTTCTATCCTCTTCCACCTTGTCTTTGGTCTTTCGGCGTTCCGGTTCGCTTTCATTTTTGGTTGTAATCGATTGAATTTTGACGCGGTATAATTTTGACGTATAGGACTCGTTTATAGAAAACTCGTGATGTAGCTCGATTTCTTTGGTTTTGGGGCTCTTTAACAGCACTCTCTGAGATGGTTTGCCCATCGCCAATGATTGCAGAGCGCGGGTCAGATCTTTCTCGTTGATATCTGTTTCATTCATGATGCTTTCCATGGTGATTTTCTCATAAGTGTTAAATAACATGAGTATCGCCATTTGATAGGTGGAAACTTGGAAGAGATGTTTGCGCGGAGACAACGTACCAATAGAATTCACGCTCGTGCCAGAGTTTGATGAAGTGGACACAACGATGCTACCACTGGCGCTCGAGCTTATCACAGATGTCGCACTATTATCTCGACGTGTCTCGTTGAACACAGCTGTAATGTCGGCTGAACCCAATTGAGGTTGGAGCCTTAACTGTCGGCCATTGTGTTTGCTTAAATAAAAGGTTCGGAATTCGTCGTAGGCCAGACGCGCTATACTGGGCACGTTACATTTCGGAGTGGTCGTCGGCAACGGCCAGAAACCGGTAGTTAAAACGCGAACGGACAGTTCCATATTGTTACAATTCAAAGAAGGAGTATCAGCTAAATATTTTTTAAAAGAATCCATCACGGTGTTTGATAGCGACATGTCTTTAAACATACCTTCTAGTTTAGATGTAAATTGACATCCACACTCAGTTTTTAATTTAGAGATCATGTTTTTTTCATTGTCGTCACTGACAGATTTGTTAAGCAACAATCTTTTGGCCAAATGTTGCTTATAATATGTCTCAAAAACGTCTTTGTCCTGAAGGAATCGGAACAACACCATGGCTTTGTCAAGCACAGGTTCCAGATCGTTCTCGTCCATTCCGCGAACTCCTCTCTTTAACTTGTCGTCGATGAATAACGACATGTACTCTGGAGATTTTGGATTTAAATTCAAAAAATGTTCAAAATCTGAAGATATCGTCTGTTTGAACATTTTGTCGCCAGCGAAAGAACTGTATAGGAAAAAATCTAATCTATCTTTGAGATCCAAGAGGCTCTGTACGTACGTGACGGGATTTAAATTGGTTTCGTCTTCTTTCACCAACGAACGGCCTTCTTCTCGTAGATATTTACTCAAACAATCCGACATGGTTTTGAGTCCGTCAGACAAATTACTCAAAAGCTTGTACATACAAGCCAGGTCTTTTGTTCTTTCGTTTCTCAACATGAACACAAACCCGGAATTTTCCATTTCCACAATGGTTTTCATATGTTTCTGGATTAGTTGTTCTTCGACCACTCGTATTATATGACTTTCGGTCGAGACGTCCAGGTAATTTTTAGCCCGCTCAGCTTCCTCATTGATGCGCGCTTCAGCTTTTTTAATATATATGGAAGCACTGTTTTCGGCCAACAGCATTTGACTTTCAACATTGTAGAACTCGCTGGACTGAGCGAGAAAAGGTCGTTCAAAATCTTCTTGGTACACTGACCGATTTTGAATTCCCAACACCATGAGCATTTGACACGCGCTTTTCAACGCGAGCCTATCAATGACCTCGCCGTTTCTCTCGCGCATCACCATGCTTAACAATGTTTCACGTAAATGATCCCTAATACGATCGTGGCGCACCACAGTGTCGCGAAACAATACAAGTCCGAGGTTGTACACGCTGTCGACCTCGTTGTTTTTCACGTACACCTTATCCATGTACATCAGTATGTCTCTTATCATCACCATCGATGTTTGATGGTCCCTCCAACATTTGTCAAGCATTTGAAGGAAATTGTTATTTAATGAGTCAAGCACGTCGGCTCGCACTTTAGTCTCCAGATGTGCGGACACAGTTTCCCTCATGCCGTTGTACAGTCGCTCGCCATGCTTCAACAATATCATTGTGTATGCATTGCGATACAACTCTTCGAAGCTCAGACAAGAGTTGTTCTTCTTTTGTATCTCTTGTATGGCGTTCTTCAGCATCGCCCACGTGCTGTCGACGTACTTTTCATCGGTGCGCGACGGGAACGCCTTTACCCTCATGTTGGTTTTCTTCTTCGGTATCGTGCTGTTCATTATGCTGGGGCGTCTCCGTCCTAAGGGGTCATTACTCATGGCAGATTACAAGCTATTCACAACGAGTGCATGACGGTCGTCTGTCAAAAATGAAAACGGCCATGAGCACAAAAACATGTCAAATGCTAACAAACTACGTCAACGTACCGTCCGGCAGAAGTTCAAAGCGATATCATGCGTATGAAATTATCCTTTAAAACGTCAACAATAGCTGATAGTCGATAGTCCGCAAAACAAAGGACGAACGTCTCGATTGGAAATAACACGGACTGGTGCAATATACTTAATGTTTCCTAGACCGCAATTGTTGAATCGTTATTCACACTAGAAATTTATATATTATAAAAATAAATACTTCACCGAGATTAAAGTAAACTTAAAACGGCCGTAATAACACGGAGCACGTTAAAACTTTCACATAATAGCTTGGTGCATAAAAATTAATGTATCGAACGGCTATTATCAATGTTTCAAAATATTTTCATTATCATCTGCAGTGGTGAATTTTCTTTTTACTATCTGTAATCATAAACTCTCGGGTTTTTGCTCCATGAAATCAGAGGCAAATTTAAAAAATGATAAGCCATCGACCGTTCTTATGTTTTTTTACATAAAATGCCATATTTTTATTTACACTTACAAATGGAAAATAAAATTGTATTTTTTATTTCTGAATGAATACTAATTTAAAAAAATAAAACAACAAAATTAACATGTCTTTTTTACATAGTTTTATCTTAAGACAAATTTTGCAAACATTTCACTTAACACCTTCCAATACAATTAGTCAGTACTAATAACAATTTGACCTTCGTGTGCAATTCTGTATACGTTTTCAAAATTAATAAAATTTATCATTTATAATCAATATAATATAATTAATATAATCATTTATAATCGGAAATAAGGGGCGACGAATATTAGTATGGTCAGTTCTAAGATGTGTTAGTGTGACACTTTTCCTGTCGATACGAATAACACCGGATAACTAAATTAGTCATTTCATAGATTAAATTAAACATAATCGATTTTTTCTTGTAAGCTGATGATAAATATGGGTGAAAAATATTAAATAATAGAGACAGCAAAACATGGTTTTTTAAAAGAAATAAAATATCAACATTTAAAATGGTCGGTTATATTTCGTCCCGCTATGCCTCAAAGAGTTAAGAAAAGTTAATAGTAAGTACAGTATACTTGAAGATTATTATGGAAGGGGTGACAGGGGCAATACACCCCTTGGTAGTTTTTTTAAGCCTAAGAAAATTCCAAATTTCAAACCGCTTTTATCGCCTTCTTCGTACTTCCTATTATAAATAGGAGGAATATATATTGTTTTTCTCTATGACATTGTAGAGTTTATTAATCTTATGGGACCATCCTAATGTGAAACCCTAGTTCGGATTAAGCCCTTTAGGTTAATCTTAAGGGAAAAAAACCTATTTACTTGTCTGGCGAATGTATTTTTTAATATATATTCTTTTCTTTATTCAAATTTCTATTTGTTTGCAATATTAAGAAGCGTTTAAAATTATTATAAACCCAATCCAACTATGTGAAACAACGCTCGTATGCAACCACATTGCCACGAATTGTGTAAACAACTACAAATAAGAAATAACAAATACAAAATATAGGAAATCTGTCCGTGTACAAGTTTTTGTTAATATATACATATATGTAAACTACATAGACACACAAACCGTCGAGTTACAATTATTATTATCCTAAACGGTTCTCGAATTTCACTTTGCATTTTGATTTTTAGTCCTTCGTCCGAGATCGTATATAAAACGCGTACAACAATCAATTCAAAATCAGTCGTTCAAAACAAGCAAACTTCTCAAAACTGGTCACACTCGATAAGGCCAACAATTATTATTATGTTAAAAACCGGCGTGTTCGTAATGGTGATGGCTGTAACCGGCCAGGTGAGTTAGCGATTATTACATTACCTACTCCTAATAAATTTGTTTTTATACAAGTATAGCTAAAATTGAATTTAATTCATAATATAAATCAAAAACAAAAATATTCTGAAACATTTTTTTTTTTCTGTACCTAAGGTCATTTATGGTAACGAAACGGTCGCCAAAGCCCAAAGCGATGCAGCCGCAACAGCATCGAATGGCGACGGAGCACCTACGGTTTCTACCGGTACAACAACGTCCACTAGCTCCAACAGCGATGGATCACTGTCCGACAACGTCGAGACAGAGTCAGTTGTACAGAGTGATCCACTACCCTACGAAGCCTCGGTCTTGCCCTATGGAAATTATTGCCCTACCGATCACAGCTCAAACGTAGCGAGCTACCAGCAACCTTCGATCCAAGAAACTTCCCTGACACAGCAGCCCGTTCCTAATGAACAATACTATCAGCCGTCGTATTCACAAGTGCAATCCGTTCCCCAAATCCAGCCTAATCCCATATCTTTTCCACAGCAATACACTAGCGAACCGTACGCTTACTATCAAGGTTATCCTCCAAGTTTTGCCGCTAATGCTTACCAAAGGGGATTCATTAGCAAACCTTGTGATTTAAGGAACGAGTTTTGCTGAACAATCAAAAGAAGACGACCATATTTTTATTTATTTTATTTTATTTTATTGAATGTAGTTAATTGTTTAGACAATTCAAATTTAGCTCGTGGTGTGTATTTATATTGTACTTAAATTTTAAATATTAATTAGTATCAATCATTGTCTTTATAAATTAACTGAGACATTTGTACCTTAGTTTTATCAGATATTATAACAACTATACTACTTTTTAAGTAGTATTAGAAAAAAATGTGTATAGTTTAAAAAATATATGTAAAAAAAAAACAATTGATAAGCAGAACAAGAGAAATTTTAAATATATAATTAAGTCAATGTTTAAAATTCAAATAATTTTATTTGTCAATAATAATGATTAGAATTATTGTGTATAAAACTAAAACACATTCGAGCAAGTACTTCAAATAAATTTAGTTGTTTATTACTTTTTTTATTATAATTAATTTTACAGGCAAATAGTTTAAAAATAAGTTTGTCAAACTTAATTTACATTATAAATATTGCCTACCTTTTAACACATACCTATAAAATATAACATGTGTAATCTAAGTGAAATAATTTTTGTATAATCAGAATCGTAACAATTCATTCATCGTAGTTGTCTGCTTGGCCGTTTTCACCGTAATTTTCGCCACGTTCAGGTTTGGCTGAGTAATACGATGATGTACTACTGTATCGAGCTCCGTTAGCCGGCTCATCGTCAGGTTCTTCTTTTTTAACAATATCCGGATCATATTCTTCGTGGCCACTGTTGTAGCCATCGTTGTAATCGTTGTAATTATCATAATTATTATCGTACTCTAAAAAATACATATTATTATAATAATACTGTTATATTTCATCAATATATGTATTATAATTTATATTAATATGTGAAAAATTAACAAACCATCGACAGGCTCTTGTTTGATATGGACCTTTTCTTCACGCTCGGAATCGTCTTTGTGCTTGTCACGTCTATCTTTACTCCTAAAACAAAAACGTTGAGTTTGAACAACAATTATCGTCATAGTAAAAATATATATTAATTAACCTGTCTCGGCGATGATGCTCCCTATCTTTGCGATCCTTCTTTCTTTCGCGATCCCTCGAACGACTACGTTTCCTTTTCCTTTCTCGATCTTTATCTCTCGATTTGGTAACGGGAACTTCTTCAACTTCATCGTAATCTACATCCCTAACACGATCTCTACTACGGCGTCTTTTGCGTTCCCTCGAACGTCTGAAAAAAAAAAACACATCAATAAATATTAATTTAAAAATAAAAGAGACATGGAAATTATACATATGACAACACAACAAATTTTAATATAATTGAATATTTCGCAATTGTTTAAACATTATTTTTTAATAATAAGTGAAATATTATCACCACTTACGATTTCGTATGATGACGTTTTCTTTCGCGATCTCTACTACGTGGACGCCTGTCACGGTCAGAACGATCACGCTCTCGGTCTCTGTCTCTGTCGCGATAATCACGATCCCGGTCTCTTTCTGTAGTGACACTACGTCCAGAGCGACTACCAGCCATTTCTCGAGCATACCTTTCTCTTTCTCTTTCGTTGTCTTCCCTACCGGAATGTTTTAGATTAACTTCAGGACCACCGCGTCTAGTGCCCCCTAATCCACCTCCTAAAAAAAGAAAAAAATTGGTTTGGTTATTAAAATCCAAATTAAGAACACATACACAATGCAATGTTTTTATTACACTTACCTAGTCTTCGAGGAAGCCAACCTTTCACAGTGCGTGCTCTTTCAACATCGACCAACACTCGGCGTCCATCAATTTTTTTCCCATCGGCATGTTTATATGCAGCTATAATATTATCGGGGGAATATAATTAGACTGAACTGAGATTTCACGAAAACTATACATCTATCATAGACCAATTTTAAAATTCCCAAGTCCCATTAAACCCAAAGAACCATTTCAGAAATCTTGTTTGTAATTTATGAAATAAAATATTAGCTCAGCCAAATCTTGAGAAAACGTTTTACGAGAGACGGTAACAGCATTAACGAAACCCAGACTTACCAGCCTCGCGAGAAGATTTATTTTTTTATACCTACGTAGAAAACATTAATGATATTATAATGAAATATTTAGGTACCTACCGGCTAAACCGAATATACTTATTTGCTATTTCTCTTAAGCGTCTTTTAAGCGCAGTTTTGTACTCCCAAGTGAATCATCCACAAAATACATGATTGGTTTTATATTGGAATTGTTTACTTTACCTGGGACGCCAATACTTACATAACAGGCGCAAAAAATTATTTTACTACCCAGTAAAAAAAAAAAAAACTAATAAAAGTATAGTATGTATAAAAAAAAATTGTTTGATGAGAACAGAAAACAAATATGTAATATAATTTCCTTGCACTGTTTTCACAATACATTACCTTTATAATATATTCTATTATTTGTTTTAGAATTGATAAATAGAATATTTATTAAATATTATTAACTAAAATTATATATAAATAACAAATACATAACATTACAGTTTACCAATTTCTGTAATGACCCTATACACGATGATTTGTATTGTAATTTAAACCAATTTTTTTAAAAAAATGTCATTAATTAATTTTTTAATAAATGTTTGCGATTAAGAAGAAACTTAGGAAAAAGTAAAGAGAGAAAGCGATAAATTACCTTTAAAAAAAAAATTTTATGTTATAAAAAAAAACGATATATGTACATTTGCAAAGAGACGATAGAAACCATAGTGAATACGTTAAACTATCTCGTAATTTGTATGTTGGGCTTACCACACATACAAACCTATATCAACAAAGTCGTCTACGTATAATCACAGGGTCATTAAAGAAGCTCCGATCAGCGAGCTCTTCACAGTTCACTGTATCAAGAACAAAATACAATTATTAAAACTGTACCAGAATATTTTTTTGTATTTAAATGCGTTTTTAGAAGTACGCGCATGAGTAGAGTCAAACTATAGGAATTACAAAAAAAAAACTTATAGAATCGGCGAGTATTCAGATCTTGAGTATTTAACGTATTTTTTTTTTAGCTTACGTGTTTTGTATACTTTGCAACAATTTTTTGACCTCAACATTCGCCGTTCAACACCGCTAAATCACTTTTTTGAAGAAAAAAATACAAAGCACGATCAATACTTACAATGCATGTCGCGTTCATACTCGTACTCGATGAAAGCATACCCTCTAGGTTTACCGTCGATCTTGTTGTGTATGACCACAATCTGTATAAGTAAATAATTAAAAACATGGTATTAAATAAAAAAGAAAAAAAATTACCTTTTTAATAGGACCGTATAATTCAAACTCTCTACGCAGTTTCGATTCAGATGTATCATAATTCTAAAAAAAAATATATGAATTTATATCATTTATTTTATGTACACACTAAATAGGTAACATAAATATATATATTATGATGTAAAATTACTCAATGAAATCCGTTTAAAATGTATATACAAAATATAATTATTTTTTTTACTATTATGATTTTAGATAGACTAATTTAAAAAACTAAAAATAATGTTTTAAAATAGCATAAAATATTTAAACAAAGAAATACTTACAATTCTTGCGACAAACAATGTTTTAAATGGATCAGTTGTAGCGTTTGCGACGGTATGTGGTTCCCCTTTAAACAGATAAAATAACATTAACAATGAGTTATGAGCTACATTATCAATAGAATATTCATCATATTTTGTCAGGGTCAGATAAGCTTTGGAGTTTTTCTTTGTGTTTTTTGTAACTGGAAACTACCCGACAGTCTTGCCAGGCTGAATTCACACATTAAGACGTAGCGCTTATTTTTTTTTCTCCAAAAAATTCAGTGTAAATGTGGGTTACGCGAGTGCTCAAAGTGAGAATCGGCTTATAAGGCCTAATTTAGTTGCCTCGAAGGAGGAGTCTTTTTCTAGATAGTCGTCTGACAGAGAGCGAAACTACTGCCTGTGTCTAAGTGACTACCCAACTACAGAGAGTAGCTGCCTTACCCACTCATCCTTCAAGTTTCGCATTAGGTAATAGATCTAAGATTAGGTATTACAGTGTAAACAAAAATGAGAAGATACTTACACAGAGCAATTTCTTGTTCTAGTTTGTACGCTACTTGTTCAGCCTTCTCTCTACGTCGTCTTTCCAAACGTTCTTCTCGGGTTTCGATTTTCGTTGGCGGTGGAGTGTCTTCGGGTTCCTGAAAAAAACCAATACTTAGCAAGGTCGGTACGTTTTACTACAAATCGGAGGCGTACATACTTCGAACAAGTCCATAAAACTACCAACGCCCAAGTAGCCGCGGGTTTTCTTTTCGTACGGCAATTTGACGACGGGCGGCAGGTAAGGCATAGGATCCCTTGGCGCAAAAAGCGCCAACAGATTGGGTGGTAAAAATTGAGTCATCGTAAATAAAAATTCACACTGTTATTAGTCAAATAATGTACACACACACTCACACATAAATCATTTTGAGTTGAACAAACCAAAAAAATACCGTTCTGACCGTAATTCGTGGTTAATAAATCAAACGCCAATAACCGATTGTCCAAAGACCAGGGCGCAGACAAGACAACCCGCAAACGTCAAAATCAACAAAAAGAACATAAAGTAGAGAAGTCAGAAACAGAAAATTATTATAAATCAACCATTTACGATTTCGGTGCAATATCATTTAACATGGAAGAAAAACTACCGCGTTACCAACCCGGCAGCGGCTGTTAGTAATGAAATTTGACAATTAAATTTAGTGAATTTACAAATTTTGATAAAATAATAGGTATGATCATTGTTCATTGATGAGTAAATATAAGAAATAATACAATAGTACATTATTGCTGCCGAGGTGGGTCATATAATATAAATAATTAAATTTAGTCATACCGACTATGGTTAGGATGAATGAGAAGAAGATATTATACATACAAATATTAATAATTTCTATGTAAATCCACATTGGTTACTGTTGTACGAATGCATGAGTTAATAAGATATAGTTTTCTATTAGTAAAACTCTCATCGACCCTTTAATATGTTTGTATCTGTGATTCATGAACAGTACCAGTAAAATAGCTTTATGCCCTTGTATATTCGTCACTAACCCAAATATAAAGACAGATATCTATTCTGTGTCGTACAAATAAAAAACTTAACAAGTATCGCTTTTTATTATCATCATAAGAATAAAACACGTACATTTATAACGTTTTGAAAGACGTCATTCCTAAATCCAATTTCCTATTGTGCAAAATTTTCAAAATCAATTTTTTTGGAAGAAAATTTCATGGAAGAAAATATAAAATAAATATATTGCTAATTGTGTAGAGGTAGTTGCAGTCTGCTTTGTTATTATCAATTATAATGTTAGGTTAGGTTTGATATTTCTAGAGAAATGATTAGACAAATATTTTAAACAGTGAAAAACAGTAATATACCTCTACGGATCATTTGGGTTTTGTCTTTTTATCGGTTTGTGATTTTTTTCAAATAAATCTATTGCCCGTTCAATTACGATGGAAGGCATCCTGCAAAAACAAAACTGGATACCTGGCCAATTCAAAAATGTTCCAGAAACTGGAAGACCAGGTCTGTGCATTCAACTTGTAGAGGTTTAATAGGGCCTTTAAATTGAAAAAAAATGTTTAAAAACGAATTTCTACTCGACGTTTTTATTACACATTAAATATTGCAGTAATATTTGAATTTACCACATTAAACTCTTAAGAGAGGTCGATTTCAAAAATCAGAAATCGGTGTTGGTTTAAAAAGTTATAAGCTCTATTTTAACTAACTTTTTTTTTTTTTTCCTACTTAACAGGACAATACGATATTACCCAACATGGATGGACGCCAATAACAACATCGACTTCAGTTCTTGGTGTCCAATTTGACACCGGAGTAGCTGTGGCTGCCGACGTGCTAACTTCTTATGGATCGATGGCTTGTTTTCAAAATAACCCTAGAATATTGACAGTAAATAATTTCTACATAGATATATTTTTGATGTACATAAATTATTTTACAAAATACAAATTTCATTGGACAGGTCAATAAAAATATTTTACTAGCTGCGGCCGGCGAATACTCCGATTTCCAGTATGTTCGTGATTTGATCGAACAGAAAGTTAATGCTGAAACGTGTTTAAACGATGGCATCGCGTTGAAACCAAAAGCATTGTACACTTGGCTCTCTCGCGTCCTATACAACCGTAGAACCAAAATGAAGCCGCTATGGTCTACATTTTTGGTGGCTGGCGTTCAAGACAATGAACCGTTTTTGGGAGAAATCGACAAAATAGGTACTGCTTTCCCCGACCAACAGATCGCTAGTGGCTACGGTGCGTACATTGCATTGCCATTACTGCGCAAAGCCATTGACGAAAAACGTTTGAAATCCAACTCAAAACTAACGCGAGAAGAAGCCACAGAATTACTCAAAACGTGTATGGAAGTTCTGTATTACAGGTATGATGAGTATAATAGAATAATTTATTTTGAAAAAGTATTTACTTTTTACAAAAAATAATTAAATTTGCATTCGTGTGTTTAGAGATGCAAGAAGTCTTGACAAATATCAAATTGGAGTAATAACTAGCGATAATGTTGAGATAAGCGATCACGTATTAGCGCCTAGATGGGAAATTGCGAGATTGGTGCAAGGATATGAATAGTGATGTTTATTATTATTATTATTTAATATTAAAAAACATATTTTTGATCAGTTTTTCTAAAAAAAATTCAATATTTAAATGGAAGGTAATTTTTTTTTAATACATTTATTGTAATATATACAAAAATTAAAAATTATTTTTATCGTATTTTTAATTTACCTAAAATTTTGGCCTTCAGTAGGTACCGTTTTGTATTATATTAAAAAATGTACAATGACGCGTAAGGTAGAGATGTGAACTTAACAAAACTTACATTTTAAAGTTTTTTTCTGAAAAAATATCTTGTTTACCAATTAGTTTTTCCATACCATCAAAAGAGAGGTTCAATGAATATTTCATTAAATTTAACATAAGTCTTTTAGTGTCTAAAACAACTTGTATATTCAACTATAGACATAACGATTTGGATTATTTATGTTCATGCTATCGTCGATAATAATAATGATCGCTTGTGAAAGTTTTAAAAAAAATTGTTGAGAGGTTTCATCAAAACTATTTAGAAGTGCTTCTGAAAAGCATTATTAAGTTCATAATAATCTATATTTAATATTTTGAAGAAAAAAAATATTTAAAAAAACTAACAACAAACATATTTTGATTATAAATATTGAACTACAATATTACTTTTGTACCAAACATTTAAATTAATCAAAAATTAAAATGTCAACCAAAATAAATCTTAGCTCCACTCTAGCTTGTCACATTTTTAGACTTCTAGCCTTAAAAATGTCCATCCTTTCTAAGGGAAAAGCATTGAAAAATAATATTACTAATCAATGGTATGTTACACAAGGTATGGTTTTTTTGTTTGTCAACGTTTATTAATCAATAATAGTATGTTTAAAGAATATTGCATAAAAATTTGGATTATTTTTAAAAGTATTTAGCACACTGTTATTTTAAGTTGAAAATATGTACATTTTCTGAGGTATTTTTCTCAATTTCAAAAAGAAAGGGGTGAATTTTTTTCTGGGCCAATAAAATACCTTACAAGTAAGACTTCTAATCTATAGACTTGCTGCATGGAATTGATTTGGCAGTTTAAAATATATTGTGGGCTCAGACACACACATTTAGTTGTAATATAAACAACGCGTTCATATTAATAAATGTTAAAGATATAATATTCATTATTACAGAAAACTATATATACTATAACAATGAATAGTATATTATTATAACAATAATATATTTACAACAGCATAATAAAAAAAAAAAAATAATATATAAATTATCTTGTTTGGACGCAGGAAAATTACGTAGTATAAACGGTTATACATAATACATTACACGTTAACTAGAATGGGTGAATGGTTGTACAGAAAACAAGGTTACTGTTTGTAACTTAATTTAAAAATAGGATAATGTGAAACAAGAATTAATTGAGGATAGTGTGACGGTCATAAATGTTTCGTCTTTGTTCTTTCACTTGTTTCTTCCATTTGTCTTGTTGATGGCCAAATCGGTTAAGAACATTACCGCTGCTCCCGGCACTGGATGGATCAACGGCTTCTCTATTATCCAACGACACAGCGGGCGGCAAATCGTCCTATATTAGCACATTAACACACATTAAATATAAAGGTATTAAATAAAATATCTAAACTAACAACACACAACAACAACACGGGAACAACATGCAATATTTGATACGTTAAAACCGTTGGCGTAGTGGTAACAGTACTCACAACTTAAACACTACACGACTACGCCATTGATTAGAACTACTTATAAAATTAAAATGTTAATCAGTTTTCGGTTGATAATCTCCACTCATAAGTGCAATTATTATATTAAGTGTTAATGTATTATTCATTTCAAGCAACAAACATATTTATTATCAAAACAAAAAAAGTCCAACTAATTCATATTTACGATATAAACTTTGATAAGCTTATTACTCATTACTTTGATGCGTTTCTGTAATTTTGCTGGAATTATTTTTGACGTACAAATACTGTCAAAATGGTTATATATCAAAAAAGAAAAAGGTCTCAGCACGTTAAAAAACGGCTATTATGCATTTGTTATTTTTGTTACGAGACAAATTGGGCGACAAATTGTTGGACTTACAAAACTACCGCTATCGGACATTGTTGGCTCCAATAAAGAACATACCTCTTCGTTGGTGTGCTCTACATATGTTCCGACCAGCTTGCGTTTCCTCATCAATGGATCCAAACACAACAGAAACGACATGTACGCAACCAATACAAATATAACGCAAAGTACAATCAATACGACCACCTGAACGAAATGGAAATAACTTTTATTTTAGAAACTTTGGAAAACGGAATACCAATTATAATTATTTAGCATATTACCTTCATGGTTGTAGTATTTCTACTTTCGTAAGTGCATGTACAACGAGGACATAGTTCTTTTTTGGTATTGTTCACCTCACCGATGACAGGTAAACTCACTCCATTACAATCGCTAAAACAAACAATTCAAAATAGTTAGTAAAAAACATAAAATATGACATATTTTAATAAATAAACAACATACTTGCTAGGAAGAACGTTGGCTATGTATAATTTATTATACATCTCGGTACCATTTACTATCGTGCATACGCATTTGCACCTAGCGTCTTCATACGATTCGCTCTAGAAAAAAAGCAAAAACAAACGATAAATAGCTATCGTCTGACCGAAAGTGCAGTAAAAGGGTATCATAAATATTTACCTTTGACAAATCGGCCAACGACAATAAGCCTACCAATATTGGTAAGGCTAACATATTGAACTCGCAGTGAATTAAACCGATTTATAAGCGCGGATCGTATCGGAATAAAAACATATTGAAATAAAAACGAAGAGCAATTGGTAGTGAAGACGAAAAGGCTTTTTTCCAACAGTCAATGGGTTAAATGCAAGACCAACTAATCCGCCATGGTTTGATGATCCACTGTTGAGACCTAGTTAATGTTGCCGAACACAAAAGATTAGATTAATAATTGCATAATACAAATCAAAATGTAGATGCACCTACTGTGGTCAATGTTTATCCAAACATGAGTGAGTGAAGTGACATGACACAGTGATAACAATATTCCTACAATTATTATTACAGTGTATACAGCTGCTGTGCACTCATCATACAGTGGCGGTAATAATTATTATTGGTAAATAAACGGCACCCAATGTAACGACTTACTGATAGTTGATACAATAATCAGTATACTTGTCCACGGACATAATATTAATTATTACAAACAAAAATAAACCTGGTGACTGTTTAGTGTTTAATGTCAGTCTAAATAGACTGATTTAATAATCTATTCTGCGGTTTTACCGCTGTCTGTGCAGTGTTGGTTGTTGTTTTTTTAAATATCCTAAATAATGTTTAAATAATATTTTATTTTGCTTATCTTAATCAATAAATAAAATAAAAGAAAGTCATGTTAGGATGTATATTATGCATATCAATATATAATATTATATTATATTATATGGTCGATAACCAGTTTTTAGTAAATAGTTTTAAGATTATTAAAATTATCTTTGGCCATTATCTGGTGAGTTTTTGGTTGGGTTTGTGTAGGTGTGTCTAACAACTGATGAACGTTAACATGGTGTACATAAATATGATGATTAACATTATAACAGATTTTATTTTTTATTAATAAAGGCTTTTTAAAAAAAAAAAACAACAGTATCTAACGACAGACATTATACATCTGAATAACTTGAATGACTAAATGCTATTTTTTTATTGTTACCTAATGTGAGCCAAATCGGTCCTTCGTACACTGTAATACCTCCATTAGATTGATTGTTAAACTAAATAATATCCATACTACTTTAGCTTTTGACAAACATTTTATTGGTTTGTAATAATGATGAGTTTTTAATATGTTCTCTTTGGGGCTACACCAAATCCTTTTTAATCGAAGACATAAAATTTAATAATTAATCACAAAAAAAAAATTATTTCATATCATTTTTCATTTATTAATTTATTTGTTTTTATTTATTAATTCAATAGTTAACTATGTAAGCAATTCATTATTGTCTCCTTTCAAAGTCTAAAAATCGTCGAAATATTGAAACATCTTTAAACTCTTTTTCTATGTCATTTCCCCGAAAATAGAACAACATCCTTCCTCGCAATTTTAAATCTAAGAAACGAGACAATCGGCGACTGATTTATAGGCAGGCAACATAGGAAGTTGCAACAATTAATTTGGAGGTGGTAATATGTTTTTACAATCTTAAAACCATTGTAGAATGGCTAATATAATTAGTTGTCTAGAGGCGGAAAATATTTAAATCCACCTCTGAAGAAAATGTAGCCACATTTTTTAATATTATCTAATATCTAATTTCCATTTAAAATGGTCTTTGAGCAGAAGCCGACAACTAAGGTTTAAGCAAATAGATTTATGTAAATATTAATTTTTTATGAATTTATATTTTAAACAGACACATAAACAAAATATACATTTCTTGAAATATTCTTTTTAACAATGAACAAACACTTAAATTTAAGTACAACGCGTTTTAACAATAGTATAACAAGAACATCGAAATAATTTATATACATACAAATAAAGATAATAATTATTTTATCAAATAACATCACAATGGAATGTGATAATAGTAGGTACTCTCGTATGGTTGGGTGGTGTCAAACGCAAATCAGGGCGCTTTCGCCAAAATCAATAATTAATAATCTGCGTTTGAATTGTGTGTTTACACGGTTCTATCGGTCAAAGCAATATTCACGGTAAATACAAACCCTCACACTGTCGCCTGTCACGGTCAAGGAACGGAGTTACTAAAAACTACTATAAGACGAGTATGTGCTAAGGAACTCGGCATAGCCAAGAGAAAACCAAACGTTTCCCAGAAAAAGCGTCCCTTTCGCGCAGTATGTCTATTTAGCGAGAAATATTTTCAAAGAGACATCAACATCAACCATATATCCCCCTCCGGAACTATTCTACAATTGAAAAAAATGTATGCAATCGCTAACTCGAATGGAGACAAACAAACCCAACTGCGGAAGTAACTCTAATAGTTTTAAACATTATGCGACTTGTTGATCCATTAAGTTATAAACATCGGACGATAATCTGATAAAAATTGTCAGTAGAAAAATAATTCAAACCTACTTCCTTGCCTTCGCCGAGTTAAGTCGGACTGCTTGGTTCCTCTCTTTTTCTCTATCGACAATCGGGCTTGCGCAAAATCCGAACACTCATACGACTTCAACGTTCATTTCAATAGATAATTATTGTCAATTTCGAATCAACTTCAAATCGCGTTAGTAACATAATAATTTCAGTTGGCGTTTCGCTCCGACCACAGCAACTTGACATCAACTTGCGGCTCGTTGATAATTGGAAATAAAAAAAGCAACCTTCGTTACAACAACACTTATACCGATTAACCACGTCTGACGATACCTCCTATATCTGACCTGCAATTGAAACGGCCTACAGTAAACGATATTGAAGGTTGTGTGTTCGTCAAAAGGTATCCGTTAACCGGTTAGTTTGTTAAATTTATCCGGGGATGGATAGAGGAGCCAAAAAACCCGTATATACATCCGACTGATAAGAGAATCTCGTGAGCAGTCGTAAAGGAAGCAATACTATATTGTGTAGGTCAGGGATAAGTGTATGTAATAGTCAAGCTATATCTGAGAACCCGCGCAAAAGACCACGAGGAGCGTTGACGTGAATTTCAAAATTTGTCTACAGTTTAACACTACTGTCGGTCCAATCGGTTTAACCCGTCAGTTTAACGACAGCATTTAAAAAATATGAATAAATAAAAAAAATAAAAATTGGCGGTCGACCGAAACGTAGGATTGAGACTAATGCGCTTTTGAAAGCGATTGAAGTTTATTGAATATTTTAGTTTTGCCGAAAACAGCAACGCCATCGACATGGTAATGGAATAGGCCACTATTGTGATTATATAACGCTCTTGGTAAGCACGCTCAACAGTAAATTTACCGGTGGAGGCTTGAAGTCCGGTAAGAATCTTTCTATTTCACCGATCTGTAAACAAAAAAAATGTATACATAAAATTCAGTGCAGAAACAACGATAGTATTTTACGCGCATGCGGTTATTTATCATTATTTTCGTAGATCTCTTTCTTGGCTGGAAATTGACATTAGTTAGATAAATTAAATGTAAACTTTTATAGAAAAGTTCCAGGAAATTTTCTACAGTGGAGACCACTCAAAATCATCTACGAGTATATTTACTAGTGTACTAACAATTGGCTCGAAAATATAACAATATTAATTAGTGGTTAAAATATTATAATACAGTTGAATTATAAACGAAATGTAATTTTAAATGCATCTTCGTTTATTAGTTTCGAATATAAAATACACAACACAATATTGTGATACATCATATTTAAATTTTAAATTAAATATCTAAAAATTAAAATATTTTCTCTGGACAGATTTTGTTTTTTTTTCTATAAAAAAGAACGATTAGGAAGACACGTTTGTTAATATTCGTAAATGGTAATGTGTATTATTCATAATTAATTTATTGAAAACATATATTTAAAACTTTCAAATGAATGAAGAAAATCGAAAACTTTAAATAATAAGAATGTCGTACATTTTCCACAAATACCTTTTGTAATAATTTTCTTTCGAGCAATTTGGCGGGTTGGCAATGAAAAGGTCCTATGATCGTCAAAAATTAAATATTTGCATACAATTATTTTTTTTAGATACAACTTCTTCATTATGATAAAGTAACGAATTCAGAAAAGGATTCTATCATTGTGTTTTTCAGTATTGGGGAGTAGTAAAAAGTTGTATTTGGCATTTACAATTAAAAATGTAAAATGTTGCTAACCTTTTACTATCAATTGCTTTCTAGTTTTGAAATTGTTTAAAATTCATTTTTTCTCTATTCAATTACTTAAGAACTAGTATATTTTGTTTATTACCAGACCAAGACACCGGCATTAGGTTCCTGACGACTCCCAGGGTCAACAGCCTGAAACAGCTTACGGTGTGTTGGCCGTCGTGAACATGTTTTTCACGGAACAGTCGCGATACCAAACACTCCGTCTTGATTTCGATTTCGGTGTCAAGAAAAACTGTAATAAATAAAAACGATTAGATTTATCTTCCCAATTAACCATTTACAAATGAATTACATATTCCACGGCATCAGCATCGTGTACCGGCGTATTGACAACCTGTAATTATATACATATAAAATAACGGTTAGATTTATTTGTTATCGTTTTTTTATAGGGCAACACAGGTAATGCAGATGGGTGACGATCAAGTGTGTGAGGTTGCTAGGTTCAAGTACTTAGGATCGGTAGTACAAACAAATGGTGGGTACGAGGAGGACGTGAAAAATAGATTACAATTGTAAATGGATGCAGTGGAGGGGAGCGTCAGGTGTTACGTGTGACAGGAAGATGCCTTACAGCGGGCGGGGCGTTTTTTAAGATCGATTTTGGCCTTTTGTCGGTGGCTAGCGGCGGTCTCTTCAGAATTATTATTTTATTAGTGTTTATCGGCTCAACAAAAGAAACTTTTTTCGGCCGATTAACAGCTCGTGGCACCAACATCGATATTTCCGCCGTCGTTGGTGTCTTCGCTGCCGCTACTGTAGCTTTCATTATACATGCTAGCGTTAACAATTTCTTCTTTGTAGCAGCCTCCGGTGTAGAAGTTATAGCTGTGCATGTTGGCGGAATTATTTCTTTCTGCGTTGCAGCCGCCATTGTAGAAGTTTCCGCTATTATTGTATTCGCTACCGCCGGTGAACAAGCTTCCAATGGGAGCGACCGATCGGCACTCGTCATCCTCTCTATTATGTAGTTATAGAGAGCCGGGGTATAGGTCATGCTAGTGTCTTCCAGAATACTCTGGAAGAAGCGATCTTTGATGCGTCCTTCTCCTCCTCTACCGTCTGTAACCCTATCGACCTTTTAGATGATGGCGCCGGACTCGAATTCTCATAGACCTATATATACGTTATATTATCATAATTATAACATTAAATACATTACATTAATCTATAGGGATTCAATATATAGGATGTAATGTAAACCAGGGGTGAAATTTAATTAGAGGAATTAACTACTGTGATATCAAAAAATATAATATGAGAGATTGGAATGGAGGAAACCAACTAAAATTCTAGCGTAGAAAGTAGAAACTACTTTACAAGTCTATGACTACAAAAAAAACGTCTCTCAAGTGTCATATTATGAAAATCAGCTGTAAAACTATTTTTTCTAGTTTACAAAAATTAGCAATATTACTGTTAAAACAACATCATAAATGGAAATTAAAAGTGGTGTCATCCCTTTAAAGATAACTTTTGTCACAACTAGTAGTAACAGTATTCGGTGCAACAACTTTTCGTGACAATCGTGTTATCCCGTTTTATACAACGAAATAATCCAACCTCCAAGATTACAGATGTACATAAGTAACCACTAGTTGAGAGGTAATTAACAATTGACATACCGGTGGTCGTTGAAGGGTCGTATGATGAATTGTCCCAGGCGGTGGACTTGACAGGTCTGCGATGGTTGGTGGCGGGATGGAAACATTTATTATGGTAGGAGGTGGTGTTCTCACGTCGACCACATTAGGTGTGTCCACCACAAACGTCGGTCACCAAGGGTTCATAACCATCTGCAACGGCGAAGGCGGGAAAAACGACTTCAGTATAGATCTGACGTCCGATGTGGTCATAAGTCATATTTAACAAAAAACAGCTCACAAAAAATAATTATATGCAAATACAAAAAACAAATTTATAAAGTAACAATGAAATATAATAATACAAATTAGCAACGGTAACGATGTTGTTTAAAGAAGTTTGTTTAGAATTATTTATAACCAGTATTTCGTTTTTAATTTAATTTTCTTCGACAAGTTAACATATAGTAGACAAATCGAGAACAATCGTGTAAGTTAGATGATTTAAAATACACGCGTTAAGCGAATTTAAATTCCAAAAAAACTTACAATAAAAAACATTATCTGATAAATTTATGAGGGCGACTTTGTTCAATGGGCCCACGCTTTTCTTTTTAGTCAAACAATTAAAAATGTTTAACATTGTTTAAAATTTTAGTTAATTTTCGGTTGTTTTCAAAGTAATTGACATTTTTTTAAATATATGCTACAATTGATTGGTAAACTGTTCATGTAGAAAATTAATTTTTTTAAATTTTTTTTTTGAAAAGCATGTTTTTAAACATGTTTTTTTTTTACATACGATTCATTTTGGAGCTTCAATTTCAATTGTACGACTTGAAATTTGTCTTCAGCCGTAGAATATCGCTTCTCTGTATTAAAAAAAGTTTTAAATGTATCTTTTTCTTTGACGATCTGTGCTTTATCGTACTCTGGTATGATGACATGAGTATTGAGAAATTGGAAAAATGTTCTGCTTAATCCGCTAACTTTATCACTATAGCAATTGTCGTTTTCTCCATATATATATTTAAGTAAGAAGAAATGAAATGGGTAACAATTCAAAATATTGAAAAATATAATATTATATTAAGAGAACAAAACTTGACGGAGTGCAATAATGATAGTATTATACTAGACTTGGCTTTATTAAGACTGAAATAGTTTTAAGATTAAAGTAACATGCAAAATTCTCATCACATCTAAATCATTATCCACATAATATTTCAATCCGTTTTATAAAACATTTGAAAATATTTCCGCCAATTTCGTGCGCATTCGTTCATGGATGAAACAGTAATTTACCTCCACAACAGCAGCTGTCGGCGTTTGTACACTCATAAGAGTCCACGCAACCGAAATCTTATCACACGTTGTCATGTTATCTGTGGCGGATGTCTGCAACAGCCATACCCCTTACACTACGTCCAGACGGTGCATTCGCGTAGTTCCGGCGGACTGGCTTGATGTCGCTGTTCCTGTACTGACGCACTGCACGGCGCATGCGTATGCCAATCCCCTGTTGGGTAGTATATACGTATACGTGTATGTTATGCGTACAATTATACACGTATATACGACGATAGCCGTGATCACGTCACCCGCCCGTATCCCGCCCGGACGGACTGTCTTGTAGTATAACGTCTATGCCAAAAGCTCCCAAACAAATTTCACTTTCCTACGCGACCCGCGGGTGTACCGACTACCGAAACCCGAAAGCTCGTTTGCCTCCAGTGGCAGTGCGTTTTCCGGTTGTCAAATTCCAGTTGAGATTCCAGAGGCGCGATAAACAATTTGCTTTCCCACAGTTTCGCTTCGGTTTTTGAATGTCAGACGGCGCGGCGTTGTACGATTAAGTTTTACCGATTTACGCTCATCACCATGATTGTTTGGTATATGAAAACCAATATTCTGCGTTCGCTGTAAATTATAAACACTACGTGACGTGACATTTTGTGAAACCGTAAGTGTCAAAATAACATTAACGTTAATTCATGTTTGTGCAATGTAAACGATAATTAATTTGTTTATAATATTGTGGTTAACATCAGTTTGTTACAATATTGTTCCGGTTAGTTGAAAGTTTCACTCTTATCGCTAATCATGGGCCCATTTAAAGTTAAGTGACGACCGTTTTAATTTTTAAGCAATTTCGGTATAAATGCACTTTACCTGGTACCCTTTTTTTTGCGATTTTTTTTTTTGTCAAGTCATAGTGTTTTTTTACGCTGATTTTGAATCTGAAATCAGAAATCCACAGTCTCTTCTAGTTCAAAAGTTACAGCATGTTTAAGTTACAGTTGCACAAGGCGTCGCGGTAAGTGTTGCGAGAGACACGCCACAGCGGACGGCACCTGTCAATACCGCGGCACAATACATTTAATGCAGCGACGTTCACCCAATTATTGTGTTTAGTTTAACATAACAAATAATTTGACTTAACTTTAAACCTGTGACCTCCTCCTATACTGTAGCCTGCAAACCTAGGATATTTTTAGTTTAGCGGAGCAAAATGATGGTGCTGAGCGAGCAAGTGCCAAAATACTCGGTATAGACAATATTTGCTAATTACTGTGTTGTGCTGCGGCATCAACAGGTGCGTAAAAAATACTATAAATTGACAAAAAATGAGTGCCTGGTAAAGTGCATTTGTTCTGCAATTTCTTGTATCAAGAATGTAAATTCTTGATGCGAGTAAAAGTTCTAACTTTTGTCTTACAATTAGTAAATTATCGAGAAAAATAATTTGTACTCTTTTTACTTTTGACCAGATCAATTATAAACGATCATTAAGTTTCAAGTAAGCTTCTCCATCTTTCCATGTTGAATGACAATTCAACTGACGCTTTAACATTCACCAACCGAATATCCTTCTCTACAGCATCTTTATATCTTGTTCACGGTTTACCTTATGACCTTATTTTAACATTTTAATATTTTATATTTGGATCTCTATACGTGACCAAAACTATACTATTCTTTTGGTTCTTATATATGTTACTATATTTTGTCTTCCTTGTAGCTGCCGAAAATGTTTTTTTAAAACCAATCTTTCAATTATCACTAGTGTTTTATTGTTACCTTTTGTCGTAATAATTCTTTCTAATAAAGGATTCAGTTAAATAATGGATATTATTTTATATTGGTACAAATTAAAAATAATTTGTATACAATTATAGTAACACATTGTTTATTTACCAGTAATATTGTTATGCATTATACTTATTAATTTGCATGTTATCCGTTATTTTTTTACAGAGTACACGAGGTTGAGTTTGATAATATCTAGTCTAGTATTATAATATGCAAGACTTTACAAATGACTCTAGCAGCCAGCGAGGTACGGTATCGCTGGCTTATCTTCGTCTGTCACAGGTATGTTATTATATTGCTATTTGAAGCATACAAGTATTACAATTACATTTTTGAAAATCACGTTAACATAACTTCCGTCGTGTAACCATTTTTGTCTTTTGATACTGTCTTAAACAATCCAATTTTTATTACTACTGAACAGTTAAAATTACTAGTATTTGAAGGTTGCCGATTCAAATAACAAAAAAAAAAGCCCTTATCATAGTAAAAAAACCAATAGCTGTCGCTGCTCTGCATCGAAGCTAATAATCAAAATGGGAATCCAAGTTAGGTTAGGTTTCTTTGGTTTTTCATTTTAAATTAGTGAAGTTAAATTTTTAGTACAAGGTAAATTATAGTTTTAGTTTTAAAAATAAAATTTGTATACTTATTGTAATTATTACACTTATACGTACTATTACGTTTTGTAATATTTTAGTAATAATATTTTTTTGTCTTAGCCATGATTTAAAAATTTTCAAAACAGTCAATTTAACTTTGTTATTTTAAAAAATAACTCTTAATGTTGAACAGTAACTTGATTTTTCTAACTCATTAGGTTTTAATAAAATCAGTTATTGCTACTGTTTTAATCTTATTAATCTTAATTGTAATCTTCTTAAAGTACCATACATAAGTACAATTTGATGAAGTTAAAGCATTTCAAATTTATGTAGTCTGTAGTGAACTTTCGGGTATAAATTGAAGTCTTAAAAATGTATGTGTAGTATCTTTTTGTTCCCCGAAAGCCTAAGACTACATAATATTGCTATTAGTCCATTTTAATATTGTTGATATTCATTTTTTCAGAGAATACAAAAATTTCTTGACGATATTACACCTTATCGAACACCCAGATGGGTCGCTGCACTAGGAATTATTGTTTTATTTATGTTAAGAATAGTATTGTGTCAGGTAATGTATAGTAATTTATATATTAATATGATTATTAATATTTGCGTTTATTTTAAATTTAAGTTTGTCAATAATGTTTTTTTATATGAATTTAGGGATGGTATATTGTTACGTATGCACTGGGTATATACCACTTAAATTTGTTCATTGCATTCCTTACTCCAAAGATTGATCCAGCTATGGAAGAATTTGACGGTAATCATTTTACCTTTAACTATAAATACTAATGCATATTATATTAGATGATTGAACAAGTCTCGTTCAAGTAAAACAAGTAAATTATTATCCCAAAAAAAGGAACTTTTTATTTTAAATTATAATCATTGTTTAATTGTAGTGTAACGTAGTAAAATATGTTTTTGTGCAATATCTTCATTGAAAATTTTATAAATACATTATTGTTTTGTTTTTAGACTTGTAACATATGCTTATGTGTATTTAAACGCTTATATTAAAGTATTTTAAGTGCCAAAGCGAGGTAATAACAAATAATATTTGTTAGTAATATAACATCTGGTTTTTTTCTTTCTTTATGGAAAAGATCTTTAGTTGAAAGATCTACTTCAAAAATATCAGTTGAATCAAAAGTTTTTCAGGCTTTAATAAATATAGTTATTAATATTTTAATATTACAATTTCTTTGTGCATTGCATAAACAATGGCCATTAGCTTGATTCTATTCATACTAACTTTAAACATTTGATAAGGTTAATCGTAATTACTGTTATTTAAACTAAGCTAGTATGGTATTCATGGTGTATTTTTTTTTAAGTGTATTGAATACTATTTTGTATCGTCCTATTCAACAAGTAAAATAATCTACTATTTGTCCTTTGTTTTAATTGCTTACTCATAGGTACCTTAAGGTTCTCATTAGGGTCCTTATTATTCCTTATTTTTATTAATTATTTGCTATTCCTTTTTTGACGATAATATAATTTATGTATTATGTGATGATGACACAAAAATTCTTGTGTATTTGAACATAATATTATAATAGCTGATATTATGTTTTTTTTTATAATTGTATTAATATTATTGTAGCATGTTATATTTTAAGTTTTGTATTTACTGGCTTGTTTTAATCTTATTTCTTGTGTAGCTGTTTGTGAATTATAAAATAAAATATTGTTCATAGATGACTCGGGTCCATCCTTACCAACGCATGCAAATGAAGAGTTCCGGCCATTTATTCGTCGGCTACCAGAATTCAAATTTTGGTACTCGATAATGAAGTCGACGATAATATCTATAATTGCGACATTTTTTCAATTCACCGACGTTCCTGTATTCTGGCCCATATTAGTTTTGTACTTCATCGTTCTGTTTTGCATAACTATGAAACGTCAAATAATGGTATACATATTTTTCTATTTGTTATACTTAAATGGTTTTTTATTTTTCAATTTAAATCAATATTTATATGTTTTGTTTTGCAGCATATGATTCGATACAGATACTTGCCATTCACCCACAGTAAACCCAAGTATCAAGGTCATGATGATAGTGGAAAGGTGATTAGAGCTAAATGATTTTTAAATGGTGAGGAGGAGGGTCTAGGGGAATTTTTTAAAACCAAACTTGTACTTATTAAATACAGTAAATAATATAAGGTTAATTATTCTTGTTTCAGATACCACTTCTGCCAGAATCGTTGGTACCGGTTATCAACCAAACTGTATCATAATCAGATTTGTTTGATATTACAATGTTTATTTATTATTTTTGTTTTTTATTGTATCCAAAAATATTATATTATTAATCATTTTGAATTAAAGCTAAAGTATGGTTTATTTTATTTTAAAACATAGCTTTTATATATGTTTATATATATAAATTAAAGAGCACAAATATTATTTGTTCAACCGATTTAGTAGAAATAATAGTGTAAATCGTATGATTGTAGATGTTTAAAACTTATACTTGTCTTTTTTTTACACTTTATTTGTAATAATTGTATAGATTATAAAAATTAAACCGATTTCACATTTGACTATGATATTAACTGTTAACATAAAAACAGATGTGTGTACAAAATATGCTTTCTGTGATACAAAATCATGATTCTTGGGATGCTATAGTAAAAGATTTAATATATGAATTAGGATATTAGGGACAGAGGTCTCTTAAAGATCTTAAGGTGTAGTAAATAAGTAGAAAAATAAATCACACTCTTTGGAGATTTCAAAACGCATTACTTTGTTTTTATCTCAAACCTTATGTATTTGCATTAATTCATTTTTTTAAATGTTTGATATTTTTCTTTTATTTACTTACAATATCTTTGTTGATCGATGTTTCATAAATAAATGCATTTAACTATGTATTATACAAATCAATTATGTTGTAAAAGAAAAATTAAACTTTTATTGGTTATTACATAATTTATCAACAGGAGATCAATATATCCATAATAGCAATAAATTTGTGAGTGACTTGAAGTATGAAACAAAGAATGGTTCCTAGAATTATAAGATGGCACCTTGATTGATATCTCTCCATAAGACCATTTACTAATGTATAAATGAAAGAGTTATCCAAAAGGGTAAAGAGATTAGAAATGAGTCATACTGCAATTTATAACAGTTTTAGATGGGTTTAATAGTAAAAGATATTTTTATCAGATTAAGATCATCAGCAAATAAAGATGGTTGACAAATTTTAAATCTGCTTGGAATATTATTACAAAATATCTCCTCTTTTCTTTTCTAGGAAAAAGAACTAAAGATGTTTCTGTTAATTTAACTGGAACCGCCTTAAAGGAAGGTGTGAACATATTTAATTTTTGGTTTTATAAAGTATAAAAATATATAATTTTTATCAGGTATGATTTCACTCTCAGCTCCACATCAAAGCTAATAGTTTTAACCCTTCACTGCATGATTTTTTTTAACCATATGCTATAAATGTACTTAATACTACTTAAAAAAATAAAACATTTTTTTTTTTTGAGTTTTGGTTTCATGGAAAACGCTTATTAAAGAATTGTACCAAATATGGAACATTGTGCATCAAAGATGTATAGCTTGAGCAGATATAAACAATAAATACAATTGTTTCATCTATGGAACATTGTGCAGTGAAGGGTTAAATGGTTAAATACAGTTCTTTGTTTTTGGAATTTGAGCATTGATTAATTTTTTTTTATTGTTTGTGTTTTGTTTTTAATATACAATAAATGTATTAATCAATGTAATATGAATAAATATATTTAATGATGTATATCAATATTCTTTATGTTTATAAAGATAATTTAATTTTTCCCTTTGTTTATAGTTACTCTAATTATCCTAACATAGTACTATTTGAATTCCAAATGTATTTATTAGACAATTTAATAATTATATGTGTTCAATATAAAGATTAACTTTATGAAATGGGATATCACAAAATGAAAATGGTGTAATTATTTTAAATAGACTTCGTCAGGAATTGAAATCAAACGAGGGACATTTAAACATCTAAAAAATTTAGAATATAAGTAATAATGTGCACGTGTATTGTTAAAATATGTTTAAAAAATGTGTTTTTATACTTAACGCAAAAAAAAAACTAAGATTACTCATGTTGGTACTCTTTTTTTCGATTTATCAAGATTCCTTCTAAATAACAAGGCATTTGTTTAACTCTATTTACGGAATTATAAACACACTTATAATTTTAATTCTAGCTAAATGTGTAGTTTAATGTTTTTTTTTTATCATTTTCCTTTGTCACGGTATAACATATTGACATTTATTAATCATATTAAAAACAAATCACCAGGGATACGGTACACCTGACATTATTGTACTTACTAATTACTAAAATTATGGGTACCTATTCGCATTGGCGGAGATTAGGGGAGGGGAGGCTTAAGATTCTAAAAACCTTTAAAAATCCTTAAAATTTTAATTTACAGAAATAGCTAAAATTTGTAAACTCGTATATTAATATATCGAAGAGGAGTCTAATTTTATTGATGAATTTTTTTTTAAGTAGATTTATACCGAGGAGTCTAAGTTTATATTAAATTTGATTCAACTTTTATAAGTCATTCAGGCTCTGTTTTTGAGCCAAGCATTTGTTTTTACATGTAACAGTGGGTTCCTAAGAATACTCGAATATTTGTAGAGGCCTCTTAATAATATCAAGGTGAATTTTGTTCGTTTACTGTAAATATGGTCTATGTACTTATACATACATTATGATATGCCTTGTGGCCTTTCCCTACCCGAAACTTATAACTATTAGAAGACGGTTGTCCAAATTATTCGTTTATTTATTTGCCCAACCCTAATCGTATCCACCCTAATACTAAAAATACAACTTTAAGCACATTTTTGACAATGATTTTACATAATATATATCTTTAGATACCATCGAAGTGTTTATTTGAAAGTGATTCTATCAATACATATATTATAATGACTATTGACTCATAAACATTAATCAGTTTTTACTTTTTACATGTAACCATTCAAATAACATTTTTAAATCTAGTTAACATTGCTGTACTGTACAAAAGCCAATGATACGTTTTGTATCATTTGATAATGTAAAAAACATAAGACAAATAACTGTTAGCATCACACATTTTACAATTTTTACGTTAGGAGAACTGTTGTCTTTTGCAAATTTTACAGGAACAATCTTTGAAAGCTATTATTGTGAACAAGAAATGTCTTTGGTTTAATAAATGTCCTCTAACATAAAATCTATGAATTTCAAAGGGTTTTATTATTCGTTAAAAACGTACAGAAGATCAGGTGTTAATATTGTAATAATATAATGTACAAAACTCAATTTCCAATATATATGCATTAGTAACACCTGCGTGCACAAAGCCACAATTTATTTGATGTATTTGTTCCAAGTTACTCATCTTAATCAAATATAACACAGAAAAACAATTTTTTCTATACTATAAAAAATGTATTTAATATTTTGTTGTACATTTTTTGGCAACGTAGACACAGTCTTGTTACTGTTTTGGTAGACGCTTCAAAAACTAATGTTCTCGCTGTTTCACAAATTGAATTCGTGTATATAAAGTAGTAACAGAAGACAATTTGTCTCTCAGGTATTAGTTGTTACCAAATAATTACTGTTAAACTTATTATATATTGTATTCCGTAATAAAAAAAAAATTGTAAATTTCAGTGAATAGTTTTTCAGGTTAAGACCATCCTAACTTGAAAGGTTAGGTTAGGCACCTAAAACCGTTAGGTACTCAGTAAATATAAGGTAATGAGTAAAACAATTGTGTATATGTGTAGAATTGTGTATACTAATATAATTATTAGTATTTATTCAAAAATATCTCTACAGAGTACAGACTTCAATGGTTGTTACAATGTTGAAGTGCTTGTATTTAGTGTCGTTGTTGTTGGTAGTGGCAAATGCAGAAAAACCTCAGTTGTTTGGCTCAAAAACTCCATACCAATTTATTTCCTCGAAAGAAATGCAACTACCAATCGGCGAGTATGCTAATGGTTAAGCAATAAAAAAAATAATGTGTCAAGTATAACAAATTTGACTAAAAGGTCATTTTCAGTTTTTCAATACTTTGTTTAATGGAGTGTAAATTACATTTATAGGATTTTCTCAAAGAAGAGCTTAATATTTAATACCATGTAGTTTTTTTTGCTAAATCGTTTATTGCAACAAGTTTCTAAGCTTGCTTAACGCATAAACCATTTAACATTTTGTAAAAGATTCAATGAATGTCTATCCATAATGTATAATACACCTACGTTAATTAGTAAACATTTGTAGAACTAGATCCATTTTGTAGCTTACTCGAAATTTGTATCAAATTAATTGTTCTACATTTTGTAAAAAACCTATGGTAGACTATGAAAAAAACTTGGCTTGGGAAATACAATTTTAACAACCCAAAGTTCCTAACTTATTTAGAGTAAATCTCATGTGTTTTTCAGTAAAATCATTCTATTAAAATAGTTATGTCTTTTAGAACAAACATATGATAATTTAAATTTTTGTGTTGCTAAATTTTAATTTGAAGACAAAAATAAAAACTTTGAATGTCACCGGAAAAAAATTGAAATAATGTGCAACTCTTAACAACATGCTAACGATTAGTATATTTTCCGTGCAAACTATAGTACCAAAAAAAAAAACATTATTTTTTGTATGATATACCAGTTAATAATAAAAATTATCTAATTTTTAAGACATTTTTTCTCCGTTGCTTTATTTAGAAGTTAGAACTTGTAGTTTTTATCCACAAATTATTCTTTAGTAACCCGAAAACTTGACTTAGCATATTTTTTTGATCTAAAATACTGAAATTAATACAATTAACTTATTTAAAATTAGCAAAAAATGTTAGTGTTTCATTTATGTACACAGGCTATACACCAGTTAAGCTTTTTATGCAACTTCGTCACGGAACGTGCTCTGTGTCGGAACGGTATTTTCCAAGTATGATAAATAAACTTGATTTATTCCGAAAACAAATTGATAGAGACAATGTGAAAATGGAAAAATCAGATATCGATGCCATTCTGGCGTGGGAAGCAAAACCCGGTTTTGTCGAATGCCCATTGATTCCCGAAGGCAATCGCCAAGTAGTAGAATTCACAAGAAGGTTAAAGCATACTCTCCCAGAGTTATTTAATTATGATTATACATGTGCCAACTATCAGGTATAATTAATATATACAGTGTAGAGTATTGAAACATTTAATATGGGTATAATTTCTAGGTATTATCATTGGAAGAAAACCGTTGCGAGACAAGTGGCCAATTATTTTTAGAAACCATGTTTAATACAACAGAAAAAATTCTTAAATGCGACAATAACCCAGTTTTGTTTAAGGTACGTTAAACACTGCTCTATAATCATAGCTTACATTGCTCTATAATGTTGACGAATTATGCGGTGTTTTTTAGACGGGTGATTTAAAAAAAAAAGATCCGGAATTTAAATTGCATGAACAACAACTAAACGTCCAAATAGAAGCTTGGAAAACTAGTCACTTTATCAATAATGTTGCAAGAAGGGTTGAAAATAAATTGGGTCTTGGACACGGAAAGGTTGATTTCGGTAAGTTTATATATGTATATATATTATGCAAATGTATTGTAAGTACTCAACGTTTATGTTATTTTCTGTTAGACATTTTAGAGGCTGCGCTTGAGTCGTGTTGCTGGGGAACAGCGTTTCATCCAGAAAATAATTCACCGTGGTGCTCAATATTTTCCGAAAGAGATCATGAAGTAATACCATTTTTATACCTTACATAGGTAACTCATAAGATTGAAGTTTGATTTCATGGATATTTTTGCAGATTATTTTACACGCCGATAATATGTTTTATTGGTATTATGTTGGTTATGGAAATACGTTTAACGTGAAACTCGGCTGCGGTGTAACGCAACAGCTCGTCGACTACTTCAAGTATAATAATATGCATTTTTATTAACACCGGTTTATTTTAGGAGGAAGGATAAAGGGATAGTCATAAGACATGTCCAATGTTTTTCATTCGAGGATTATAATAATTATGTGTATTTTTAATTTACAGACAAAGCTCCGGACAAAAAGCTATAATACACATGGCACTTAGGTCCAACATATTTACCATGTACACCGTGTTGGGCTTAGGAAAACAATCAGAGCCCTTAAAGGCTGACAACTATAAAGGTATGGACGAAATGAAATGGACGACTTCGCGTGTCATTCCATTCGGTGCAAACTTTATGGCTGTCTTATTTGAAAAAAAAGGAGATGTAAATGAATACGAAGACTTATTAGTAGCATTTTATTTCAACGAAAATCTTACCATTATCCAATTGAACAATGGTACAACCTGTGAATATTGTCAGTTGTCCGAAGTCATTGTCAAGTTGCAAACGTATCTAAATGTTAACGAGTGCTCTAAATTCAATGAACTATAGGTACTAACTATGGAAACCTAGGTACCCAAAATAAAATCACAATAATTAATTAATATTTGTTTTAATTTTTAACTGTCATTATAATTGCACATACTATTTTAAATTAATCATATTTGCACAAAATTAAAATTGCTTATGAATACCAATTTATTTCAATAAAAGTATTTGTTTGCTTCAAATATTTAGTATTATGTTTTAATTTGTATTATATTACCAATTTATACAGAGTATTAACAAAGTTATAGCATTTTGAAAAAAAAATTTAAAGTTCAATTTCACCATCGATAAGTGTAGTATTAACTAATATATCAATTTAAAAAAAAACAGCACAGTGGATTAGGACAACAGAAGTCGCAGCAATAGTCCTTTAAAAATATCAAATAGGAATATTTATAGAATTATTCGTTTTTTAATTTATATTTATACTTCTTTGTATTATGCTTGTTTAAGTAAAAGAAACCGAAGACAGTATTACTAAAGTTTTAGTAATTGGACATTTAATATTTGAGTTTTGTTTGAAATATTTTGCAAGGCTTAATTACTATCATCATTCAATCCTGGGTAAACGAAAATAGACACCAACATTATATATGTTACAACTATAGGCTGTAATTTGTCTAGGATCCAAAAGTGTTATACCATTACATTACATACAACTTCATATTGTGTACCAAGATTTGTATTTATATATGGCAGTTGGGCACAAAAATACACCAAGGCTCAATTTTATTTGTATTCAATAAAAATAATAATTTAAAAAAAATTATATTTTAGTAACAAATATATCAAAATTATAGAATATAATTAAAAATAATTCTATAAAATATAGAATGAAGTATGAAAAAATAGTAAATTGTGCTGCTGTGGCTTTGGTCTAGAAAGGCCAATCTCAAATTTTGGTCAAAATGAGTTAGAATACCCATTATATACATCATTAAACGCTCTATCCAGTACAACAAAAATCATAGTTCTAAGTTTATTATTTAAAAAATTATAATAATTAAGAGTGTATAAAAACTTATGCAAAATGAAAACTTTAAAGCTTATTTACCAAACTTTTCAAAAAGTGACATTGGTCCTTCTTCACCAAGCCACATTAATTACAATATAAATAATTCTTTCTTACCATACATTTTGATAATTTATGAAACTTTTTACTTAACATAACAAAGAAATACTAAACATTTTATCTGTTAATGGATATATATATTTTAAATATATCTAAGCTTTTCACAATGTTTTACAAAATTGTTTTTTTTTTAAATTATTTATTTATATTTTATAATACATTATACATTTTACTTATTTATATGTCAATATTAAATGTTTTTAATAATACATCATTTAGACAAATTATATGATTATAAGCAGTTAACATATGTGATGAATCAATAACTTGCCATATGTTTTTTTCATAACTATATTTTTCACAAAAAACTCCTTCAGGTTCTACACTATCTTTATTCACTAATCCATGATTTTTTCCCACAACATATAAATCGTTTTTAATGGTAACAGCGCCTGCATTTTAAAATAATGTGTTATGAATATATTGTATAATCAGATATTCTTAAACCTTGTTTTCAGTTACTTGCAAGCAGTTTTTTATTGATCATGTCAGGAAGTCTTTTCCATTTAAGATCTTTTAAGTTTATTTTATAAGCACATTTGGCTAATGCAGAAGTACAACCACCAAGTAAATAAAAATCATTTTCTCCACTTGTAATGCCTATTGAAACAGTATGGCAAGGCATAGAATTTAATTGTGTCCAATGTTTTTCTTGTATATTATAGCAGTATACACTATTATGCATTTTGCCTTTTTCATCCATACCACCAAACTTCATAGAACAAAAAATACATTTAAATAAATATGAAGCATTATTCTTTTAATTTTAGGAGCTATGATTACTGGCTGGTGGGTTCGTTGTACCGGATGGTTGATTAACTATGACCCAGTCAATATTTCAGAAAATAGACTTTTTTTAATTATATATTTTTTTACTTAATATATATAGTTTGTTCAACCTTAATATATTGTTAAAAATTAATATAACCCCATCCTTTGTGGCAAAACCTTGTTTTTTAAGGTATATATTAAATATGAATAACTTTTGATATTAAGAAAAATTTGCTGATAATTTTGACTGGTCGATAACCAGTTTTGGATTATTACTTTTAAAATTAATATTACTATTACCATTCCATCCAATCCTAAATTTTAAACTTTAATAACTGAACATAATTATCCAAAACTGGTTATTGACCAGTCAACATTTTTAACAGAGTATTTTTTACTTAAAAAGTTTATAAAATATATAACATTACCATTAAAAGCTCAAATTCATAAGGTTTAAAAATATATTAAAATTGGGCAAACTACTAACTGTAAAAGTATATTAAGAATTATTTAAAAGTCTTATATCTTCTGTTAATTGACTAGGTCGTAGTTAACCAATCATTCGGTAAAGGGTTTTTTTTGTGTAGGTAGGAATCACGTGCTGTAGGGGACAAAAATAATAGGGTATATTGTCATTTACACTTTTCGCTTCCCAACTCTTAAGGTTTTAACTATTACATTCTATATAAGTATATAAAAATACTATTTTATACTTACAACATATAAACAAGAGTTGTGATTTATAGCACTGCAAAATACCCGGCGGGCGGGCATAGGCTCTTTAATTACAGACCATACTTTCGAACAAGTGTCATAATATTCTATTGAGCTGATTATGGAATTGTCTTCGGGTGCCTTACCTCCTACCTTTGCAGTAAAATAATCACGTATAAAATATATTTTTCATTATATTGCATATTATAATATAATATTAGTATATCTCAAGTACATAGATTTTCAAATAACCTAAATTGATACGTACAACATATATATACTTTCCTTGAGTGCTAACAGCAAACCCCATTCTTAATATTCGCAAAGGCGCAGTAGGTACCCACATTTTTGATATAGAAGTAAGATCAAGTTCATCTACACTATTACTCCACTTCCCTAATTTATCAGAACCACAAATCGCAAGCATAATTCCATTTTCCGAAACGACCAATTTTGTTTTAGGACGGCGTGGACAAAAAAATGAATAATCACATGTCTTCCAATTAAGATCTTGGCGCTTTATATCCATATACATTACACATGAATCATCATCGCTGGATAGACCATTAATTGCAAAAATTATCTGAAAACAATTATTTAATATATTATTATCCACTAAAAAACTAGACTATAGATATCTCCCTAAGCAACAATTTATTTTAAAATAATGATAATTTTTAATGCCGTAAAAATATTTTGGCAGGAAATCATATACTAGTAACACAAAATATGATTTAAACAAATATTTCCTTAACATTATAAAACAATTCTAATATTTATGAAGTATTATTGAAACATTTGTGTAATAAAATATAAATAATTGATTTCTTGCCAAAATATTTGTGTTAAAAATTGAGGTAATAATAATAGTTATTATAAAATATTTTGATTTAAATATCTATTTTTGCTTTGTGGATGCTATTAATAAGCTTAATAAGAATATTTATTTACATTTGGTTTATAAGAATGAGGTGTCCTAATTGTTGCTTTTATTATATTTTTGTCAACATCGGTAGATATAATTCTTTTCATAAAATCCATTAAACCTAGAAATATAAAGTTGATATTTAATATGAAAATAATTTAAAATATAAATTATAAAGAGATCCAATATATATATATATACACATGTTAGAAGGATTAGCATATGTGTAAGTTCTTACAGTCATTTTGACTTTTCAGTAAAGCATTTTCGCATATCCTTAGTAATGCTTCTTTCGAAAATAAAGGTATCCTCAAATAACTCAGTAAGTTTTCTAAATATTTACTTCGTTCATATATATCATATTTTATCCATGCAATAATGAAATCAAAAATCTAAAATAAACATTAACATCATAAAACCAAAATCATATACATCTTATTAAATAAATTATTAAGTATTAATGTGCTGCTAAGAAATTCGCTACTGTGTGTTTCATTAATTGTATACATCTATAATTTTTACTTTCTTGAACACCAGCTTTATTTTAATGAAACTAGAACTAAATGACCATCTATCAACATTCCCAAGAAAAATATCTTACTTTGCCATTTTTTTTTTTTAGATATTTTTTACTTTTCTTAAGAAATATTGAGATATGACGTTTTTTGTTGGGCATGTTGATTTATTCTACATGTATTTTAAAGTAATTAAAATATTTTTTTCAGTTTTGCTAAAATACCTTTTCTTCAAATTCAACTTGTAAATGATCATTTGATATGATGTCGACAACATCACTAAAATCAAATTCATATAGTTTTTTAATTTCAGCTTCAGTTTCCATAATTGTTCTACGAATAAATCATTTGGAATAAATTAAAATTTTTTCAAACATAATCTAATTTTGAAGAACACTTGCCTAAAATTTTCTAAACAATACAAGAAACTATAATTGTACAGCCCTTTTTGCGATGTAGGTTCTGCACATCTCATTATGTTAATACAATTATTGATATTTATATTTTTTTTAACATAATCGTAACATAAATCCTTTGCATAGTTAAATTGAAAGTATTCAGAAGCTCTAATTAGTTTCTAAAATTCAAATAAACCATCAAATTATTATGTCGAATATTTACGTATAATATAATAACTGTTAGGTAATATATCATGGTAACTGTATCTAGGTACTTCAATATTATTGTCTTGAATATCCAACTGAAAAGTATATGCACAAGTTACAATTGACTTCAAAATATCAGACTCAATTTCTTTTATAGGAATACTTTTATTTATCCTCTCTTTAAAGTCACCATTGAACATTCTTAATAGCATAGGGCTTGCGGATGCTAAAATTGCTTTGTGTGCTTGTATCTGAACATCATTATCACTTATTAAAATAACGTCACAAAGGGTTTGTGTTCTGTAAATAATTCATCTGTATTACTCATAAATAAAAATGATGTTATTGTTATTGAGATTCCTCAATATATTTAAAAAGAAAGACAACCGTCTTAAACACTATGGGTTAAAAAGAACGCTTAATGTGTGTTAAATATAACTTACTGGAAGAAACCGTACAAGTTTTTATAATGTTCAGCTATAATCATCATAGTTTTAATTGGTATGTTGTAATTAGGGCAATTTGCAAGCATGTTGGACATTTTTGTTTCTCTAAAATATACTCTGCTCTAAAATAAATTTTATACATAAGTGAATAAGCTAGAGAGATGGCGGATTTCCTTTCTCTGTATATCAAACAACGTGCAGTATCTGTAGAAATTTAAATATATATATTTGCTGCGATGTGAAAACAGATTTGAATTCCTCAGAATCTGTTCTAAGGGACAAGCTTGACCCTGTTTTTTCATTCATATTTTGTATAGAATACCGGGCAATTTAATGTACACAATTTTAAAAAATGGGCAAGCTGCCCCGTAGAAGAAATTATGGAAAACTCGACTATGTCGAGGATTCCTCATCAAATCAGCAGATCGATCGGTGCACAGGAAAAAAAATTACATCTAAATTTCTATACTACGCATTAGAAGGACTGAGAGAGGAAATACCTATTTTTCAATAAAAAATAAAAACTATTAAACAAATTAACATACCTACCAAATAGTATATAAAGTAGACACGATAAAAAAAATAGGTTTTTACTGCTATTTAAAGAGCTAAAGCAAATATTATGACCGAAGCTTAAAACTAAGAACACCCTATTAATCAAATGGTCAGAAACTAACTAGAATCAATAAAGACAAGTAATAAAACACAAAGAAATCAGATTTTAGAATCAAATTTGTAGTGAACAAAGAGTTCGGATGAACAAATTATAGCCTGAGAGTTTCAACCTAATTATAAGTTTAAAATATTATCTGTAGCGGCTGCCGGCTATTGGCTATACAGTACCATAGATATATATAATAAACTATATTGCTAGCTGTACATGCCACCAATAGAGAAGATTGAAGCAGCCACTTTCCGCCATCTTGGTGGGAATTAGAACCTTATCACACGAGAATTATTTATGTTTATAACAATCACATCTGTATAAAATATTGATATAATAATATATACAGATATATATTATATGTATTGATAACACACCTAAATCCCACCACAATGGCGGACCGTCGGCTTCAATTCTTATCGCTAGTTAGCAATCTAGTTTATTATATATATTTGTGTACAGTACACATTACACAATAACCAATTTTTGTATGTCTGAAAGTCGAAACGAAATGGTTACTTTTTTACGCCCAGACTATGTTACTCACTTCATTCCAATGGTCGTAATAATAATAATAATAAAATATAAAATAAAACAAAAGGTAATTCATCAAAGCGTGTTATCATTTTTTATAATATGGCTACCGCTTGACAACAGCGAGAAATGTAAGAACTGATGCCCCAAAAGGTCGTCAGTCATTATGCGCATATCATCACCATTTATTGTCGACATACCTCATGTTATTTACCACGGTGTTACCTGGTACTTGATAAAGAGCCGCGGTAGTAATGACTAATGATAAATGAGCAGTAATGTGTTGTGTTTGGAATTTAGATTTTACCGGAAGAAAAATACTATTATCTTTGTCGTAGGAATATTACGTTTTTATTATATTTAATTACTATTTAACATTTTGAATTATATAAATCACGATATATATTAAATATTAATTAGTCTTTGTTATTTGCAAAAATCGGTATCTCACCTGCATTCCAGCAGCAGTTTATTAATTTCGGTTACTAAACGATTAACTCGTTTTTTAATAACCCACATACAATATGTCGGACACTGCAGGATGGTGTCTGATCGAGAGCGATCCAGGAGTTTTTACCGAACTCATTCGAGAATTAGGTATAGTAGCGCAATACAACTTTCATGTTGTTCCGAGTGTTGTATGTAAATTATATTTTGTAGGTGTCACTGGAGCTCAAGTTGAAGAACTATGGACGCTAGACAACAGCTTGTTCGACAGTATTAAGTAAATTATGTTTTTATTGAAAATTATTTCTGGAATGGGGGCTGGCGCAAGGCAAGGGCATCATTGGTAAAATGTCTAGGGTGGCATTTTACAAATTAAAATTTGTATAAATTAATAATTAAAGAGGGCATAATGGGAGTTGGCCTAGGTTAAAATATTGTCAGCGCCAGTCCATTGTAAACTAATACACATGGTTAATGTTCGAATGTTGTTTTAGACCTGTTCATGGTTTAATATTCTTGTTTCGATGGATTGGAGACGATCAACCGGATGGTCCTATCGTGAGGGATTCAAGGATAGAGAAAATTTTTTTTGCTCAACAGGTTTGTTGTTTGACTTAATATAAGACATTTCAAAATCACTGGTGTCCCCACAATAATATGCAAAGACAATTCCTTACACTATATTATTATTATAACCCTTGAAATGCCTTTTTGTAGTACATTTTAATCGATGCTCTACTGATTACAGCATTTATTGTTAGCCATTTAAATTCTAATTAAAAAAAAATGTCCAACTATGAATTTTCTGTTTAAGGTTATTAACAACGCTTGTGCAACTCAAGCTATTTTGAGTGTTTTATTTAATTGCCGCCATCCTAGTATTGAACTTGGTAGCACATTGACAGAGTTTAAAGAATTTTCCCAAAAATTTGATGCCAATTTAAAAGGTTTGGCATTAAGTAATTCTCAAAAAATACGTTCGGTTCACAACTCTTTTGGAAGGTATATACCATCTAGTTAAATTTAATAATACATATATTTGTATATTTATTTTTAAACTAATATGATTGTGTTTTAGGAGTGGTTCAATTTTCGAGTTTGATGACAGTGCTAAACCTAAGTCTAAGGATGAAGAGGCATACCATTTTGTGGCTATCGTACCTATTGATGGTCGTCTCTATGAATTGGACGGATTGAAAGAAGGACCTATTGATTTAGGATTGATAAAACCTAATACTGATTGGATTGAAGCTGCAAAACCATTCATTGAGAAAAGGATAAATAAGTAGTTGCTTGCCAAATTATAATTTTTTCATTGTATAATTAATTTTATATAAATAAATTAGGTATAAAGAAGGAGAAGTACATTTCAACTTGATGGCTGTTGTTACCGATAGGAAATTAATACTTGAGCGAAGACTGTTAGCTTTACAAACTGAAGACTTGGTATGAATTAATTTAAGTTTTTTATCCACAGTGTACATATTATTATTATTATTTTATTTTTAGGATAAGGATACTAAATTGGCTCAAGAGAACAGCCTACGCATGCAAATCGACGACGAGGATGATAAAATGAAACGTTACAAAATAGAGAATGCGCGACGCAAACATAACTATTTACCTCTTATTGTTGAGATACTAAAACTTTTAGCTAAGGATGGTAAATTAGTTCCCTTGTACGAAAGAGCTAAAGCCAAAACTTTAGAGCGAGAAAAGCAGAAAATGGGTAAAACATAATTGGAGTTATTAGCTTACCGTGCCAAATTCATTGTGAACTTAAGAGAAAATTTGTATTTGTATTTTTATTATTATAAAAAAAAAAAAATAATAATAATTAAAAGTTTTGAAAAAGTTCTTGATGTTTTAAATATTAAATATGGTCACGTATTTTTTCTTTTCGTTTTTAATTATTGTTTCAAAATGATTTACTCACTAAAGTACAGTGAGCTATAAACAGTATGAGTTTTACTTTCTTGCATTAATTTTATTAATATTATTAAATATTATAATATAAAATATTATGCTAACTTTATGAAAATATACATAAGTAAATAACATTGTACAATGTAGAAATCACATTGGGTTTTATTTGGTTTTCATTCTCTTGAAACCATTTTTACTATATCCTTTTATACTTCTTCTTTTCCCTTCTATTTCACTCTTTGCTTGATCCTGAAGCTTCGAGAAGAAATCTTTAGACGTTTTAATATTTTGTTCATCGTTGGATTTTAACTAAAAAAAAAAAAATTGAACTAAGTATTAAAAAAAAAAAAAAAACAATAATTGTACTTACTTGTTTAACTTGATGTCCGCTACTCGTTAAACGTTTTAATTCTTCCATGGCACTTCCTTTGTTACTATTGAATCGAATACCTTGTTTTTCCATTTCTTTGGTTTTTGATTCTTTTATTAAACGTTTTTTATGTTGTAAATGTTTTTTCTTTCGTCGTTCTCGTTTTTTGTCTGTTTCTGTACGTTCCTCTTTGCCAAGTGCAGGAGCATTATATTTTTCTAAAAAATGTTAGCATTAAATATACAAAAAATAATTGAAACAATAGATTTCTAGTGGCATCTACACTTGAATACCTAATAGGGCAACTTTTTTTAGTTTTCATTGTTTGAAGTAATTCAACTATTATAGTTCCACCAGTTAAAAAATGAAACGTATTTAACTCCTTGGGATTACAAATATTTTAACTATTTAAAACTAAATGAGAGTACGTACTTTGAATTTCTTCGGGAGCCAGCAACGATGCGTCTGTAGTTGTTGTTGGCGCTACCTCTTCCATGGAAATTGCAGGGAGATTATTTACAATTTTTAATTCAGGAATGGCCTGTAAAAATTAATATGATGGTTCATTTTCATTAAAATATGAAATAAAGAAATTCTTTGATTGTTCTCATCAACAGTAATTATTATAGTCGGTTTTTTTTTCACAGGCAGTTAACGTCTGGTAAAAATTTACCGTCTAATTGAACGAAAAATAATTATTCACGTTTATTCAAAAATAGAAAAAGTTCTTTCTAAACACTGAAGGAACTCCATTGCAAACAGTAAGCCATCAATTTTAATCCAAATTATGTAGAGAGAATATGTTGGATTGTCAATAGTATTTTTTATTTCTATTGAGAAATGGTTAGTTTACCTGTTTAGGAGTGTAGTGATAATTTGTAAGTGCGTCCAGCTTTCTGAATAGTTCTTTAATCATTAAATCAATTTCTTTATGCTCCTTAGGTTCTTCTTCTGGCTTGTTCTTATTTTCTGGCTTAGCCGCTTCTCTTTGGTTTACAAATTCCTATAAATATATTATATACACGGTTTTATTTTTGAAACAAAGCCCAGAAAATATTTGTTTTTTCATTTAAATATCAACCACACTATGCTCAGCTACGCTTACTAAAATAATTACATTGAATCAAGCTATGAAATAAGGCTAGTTTATTTTTTTTTTCTTACTTTTTCATAAATTTGTGACAAACTTTCTTTACTCTTTTCTTGGTTCAAAACTAACTGTTTTTTAAACTCTTGAGGAGCTTTAATAGATTTTATTTTTCTCTCCACATCGTCCCACGCTTTGTCTTTAATGCGCTGTCTTATAATATCCTCCAGTTTCACTGTTGTTTCCTCGGTTATTATTGGAGCTGGAAAAACACAATTATAAAATTACTTTGTAGTACACCCCAATAAATGATCGTATTTTAATTTCTACCTGGACGAGAGCAAACATCAAATTCAACGGCTTCTTCGAGTAGTGAATTTTGTGGACGATCTTTAGCTGTGACTTCCCCTTTCAGTGCCCAGGGACGTTCAGATATTGCTTCGTCTTCAAGTTGAGCAATACGCTTATTTATACGTTCAGATCTTTTTTCCAGACTGGATAAAGGTTTTTGAACAGAAGAATCCACCAACTCGTCATTGTCGCTGTTTTCTTCATCCATACTAAACCTGACACTTTTCTTGTTTTCTTTTATTTTTTTGGATAATTTTGTGTCTTTTACGAAAAATTCATCATGCATTGGTCCATAGTTGTCATCGGCCTAGTAATAAAAAAAACATTAGAAATGTAGATAAAATTAAGTACAAAAAATTTAAATTGCAACAACAATTTTTAATTACAGTACAGTCATTTTAAGCAAACATTTTGAAAGCTTGGGTGTATGATATAAATAAAAAACTAATATATATTGTATAATAAACAGTGTCGTGCTAAATCTAATTATTCTTACTTCATTGTCGGATGTTTCTAAGTTTTCAAACATGTCAATATCGTCGTCAGTTGGTTCAGATTTATCTTTAGTCGATTCAAGTTTTTCTTCGGACAACAAAAAATTTTCCATTTCGGTTAATTTAAAAAATTCATCGTCAACTATTGATGTTTTCATAGCTATAAAAAAATTTAATTAAACTATATAAATTTATCCATAACAAAGAAAGAGCATTCAGCCTGTACATCATAATCTCTTGAAAACCAGTAAAAATATGGGTTTGTGCCAGTAAAATTTTTTTAAACAAGAATCAAAATTATTAGCAAGTAAGTCTAGCTTGGTCCACAACAAAAAAAAATAACGGAAACCTGCTGTAATTCAAAGTAAATTATTACAGAATATTATATGATACAATATAATCCAAGAATATACAAAAGAAATGATAAAGTACAACACTTTACTAAAGATAAAAAAAAAAAACTGTGGAAAAAAATATTATGAAATTATTGGACAAAAAAAGCAACATTATAATTGAAAATTAATAGAGAATGATTATGAACATTCTAATATCAATGAAGGTTTAAAATAGACCGTTAAACTGCTGAAGAAAAAAAGTTTGAATCTTATATACTATGAAACAGAAATGTTGGCAATTATCGTATCACGAGGCGTTCCTTAAATTACACATAGTAACTAATAAACACGAGCAAGTTGATTAGTATAAATACAAAATAATATACCTTTATTATTTTTAGAAGAAGAGTCATTAATTTTATCTAAATTTAAATCTTTGTCATCTTCAACGTATTCATCATCCTCCTCCTCCTCACTTTGCTCCTCGCTTTCGTCTCCCTCTTCAATGTCACTTTTTATTTCTTTGTTGGAACCTTAAAAATAAAATGTTTTAAAAACAATCAATATTATAACCTATTTTTACATATTAAAAAATTGAACTACAGTACAAATGTTCATAATTATATAGTAGATTATGAATTGTAATTTAATTTCTCATGGTCGTGCGGTAGAAGTTTAAAAGGAGTTTCGTTTATGAACTAGATATCTAGATACATACTTCCACTTGTGGACAGAAACACTAAGTCTTCGTTGGTTATTTGTTGAACATTTTTCACTAACAGTTTGTATCGCGATGAATTTTGAAGTTCTAACTCTTGCCAAATTTGCTCCTCGTCAAATTCCTTAATAATCAACTCCGGGAGGGCTTCATTAATATCACTAGATTCGCTTTCAATTGATTTAGTAGCATCGTACAATTCCTTTAGGAAGTGGGTAATCTTTTGGACTACATTATCTTGTACACTGAAAATGTAAATTACACATTATTTTATTGTAGATACGTTAATATACAATTATTATATGATTGCCATACTCTAAATACTCCAATGGATTATGAGTTAAATCGTCAAATGTTTTATTAAACTTGGATGTCATCATTTTGGAATATTTATAAATAATATAATATTATGATAGAATATTACAACTCATAAACACATAATAATAAAATAATATGACATGAGAAATATTCAAAATGAAGTCCAAGACAACATTAAGATGAAAAAATTAATTAATAAAACCAAAATTAACGACGATAAATTTACATAAGTTAATGTATAATGAATAATATTCTTATTTCTTAGTGCTGTTTCAATTTTAAACACGTGATATTCTTATTTTCTATACAAGATCACTTATCACAACTCCTACACTCCGTTATCACAACCCTTATCACTATTGTTATCCCTCCACCAAATGCTTTGATAATATTTTGATTTTTATCAGTAGAAATGAAATTGTTTATACCGACAATGTTAAGTGTTTACCTCCGGGCTCCCAAGTTTTATTGAATTTTTAGTTTTCTCACAAAAGGAACTCAAATTGTCAACAAAATGGAAACCGCCTAGTTGATTTCTATATTTTAGTGAATGAGGTAATTATTTTACACCTAAAAACAGTTATGAACAACGACGGAAACAAATATTACTACTTCTGATTACTAAAAAAAAGAAATTAAATAACAAATATTTGGTTCAAAAAGTAGTGTTTAAGTCTAATTAAACACTCGCATATTAATTATTGAAGCAAGATGACTTAAAATAAAATTACTTACAATATAATATGTAGCTAACGCCGAATTAATGAAATTACAACACTTTGATTACCAATTTTAGTCATTAAAACAAAATATTTTGTTTTTCAGTTTTTATTCATTCAACTATGTCTTCAAACGACAGTGACGACGCCAGTGACCTGGAAGCTTGTCCCGCAAAAAAAATCAGATTAAGCAATTCCAACAATGCTTATTTAGTGGACTACAACAAGCCGCATTGTTCTAAATTTTTACCAGAATTTGTAGTACAAAAAAAAGAACATAATATCCACGAGACTGAAAGTTATTACGATACGAATAACCCCAGCACAAGCAATAATGTAAATGTATTTTTTGAAGAATCTGACTTGGAAGACGATCGTCCTATAAATAAGTTTGACGACAGTGATAGCGATTATGTACAAATTTCTGATGGAGAATTTGAATTGGAAAAACCGAAATTTCTTTCAAAAAATCGGAACATTCTTAAAATTAGCGAAGAGAGTGATTTTATCAAAGGTTTTAACGATGATAAACCAACCGATAAAAGCCATGTAGAAGATTTGAACAACGATGAAGTATATGATCTGTTGGACGAAGCTTTTAAAGAAAAAAATGTCAAACCAGATGTAAACCAAAAGAAATCTACTATTACTTCTAATGACTATAAAGAATATGAAAAAATTGTATTGGAAGAAGTTTGCAAAAATCATTTTGACATTTTACCTGAAAATTGGATAGAGGCTACTCACAAAAGTGGTATGCCTATATACTTGCACAAAAAAACAAGAGTGGTCACGCTGTCCAGACCATATTTCTTAGGGCCTGGAAATCCTAAGTCGCATCGAGCGCCTTTGTCAGCAATTAGTTGCTTACAATATAGAAAAGCCCTTGAAGCTCAAGAAAATATAACCAGCGAAATAGAGACCCAGGCGAGTAGACTAGGGGATATGATCATACCAAACGCCAAAGTCGAAACGGCCCAGGAAAACATTGTAAAAGAATCATTATCCCACGAGGAATTACGTGCTTACTGCGAACTACTTTTTAAGTGAGTAATAATAATCGTAGACCGTGTATACATTTTATCAGGTATAATAATTTATAGTAATATATATTTCAGATTCAAAAAAGTTAAACAGCTCGACGATAACATCCAGGAAGACAAATTCGAAGTAGGATACTTGGGCGATGAGGTAGACTTAAAAACTATGGAAAGACCTTCGTTGCCAGATAGCACAAAGCTAATATCGTTTCCGTTACAAACTGAAGACGATAAACGATGCAGCCGAAAAAGGGAATGGATAATGAATCCAAATGGCAAGAGCTTTGTTAGTATATTACATGAGTACTTGCAACAAGCGCTGAAGACACAACCGTGGTATGAGTTCAAAGAGCTTGACAACACCGAAACGCCCTATTCTGCGACTGTCATTCTCAACGATGTACAGTATGGCGTCGGTATTGGAAATAGTAAAAAACAAGCAAAATTAAATGCTGCTCAGGCAACATTAGATATTCTCATTCCGGAAATGAAAAGCAAAATTGATTCAGAGCAGCGAAATCAGTCCTATCCTGTAATATTCGACCAAATCAAAGTGACCGATCCAAGAATAACTGAATTTTGCGCAAAAACTACCGAGCCGTCACCATACGCCATGTTACTAGTGTGCTTGCAGAGAAATTTCGGAGAATGTGACATAAGCACACAATATAAATTGAATAACCGTCGTAGAATGTTAAATCAGTGTACAATGACTGTTGGTAAACATACGGCTTCGGTGCCGTGCAAGAACAAGAGAGATGGAAAGCAAAAGGCTTCACAAGTCATACTAGGATTGTTGCATCCTCATATCGACAATTGGGGTTCGTTGTTACGTTTGTACGGCAACCGCAGTATTAAAAATGCCAAAGAAAAGAAACAAGAAGAACAAGAAATCACTCAGTTGCAAAGTAAAGCAGCCGTAAATCAACCAAACTTTGCTATACTCAATAAGCTGAAAGAAGAAATGTTAAAAACCAAAAATAAAGCAAAACTGTCTTATGACCCTGCTGGAAATTCATCTAAATCAATGCTAGTAACTACGTGCCCTTATAGTATTGGTATGTCATCAATTTCAAAGTCTGAAGTTGATATTTTAACTTAGATAATGCGATGGTTTTGTATAAAATAATAATATTATCGACATTTTTTCTAAAAATAATAACAAAATTATCAAAATGTTATTAAAAATTACTTAGCGTTTACGACAAATATCTTTACGAGAATAATATTAAAAAAGCTTGTGAATTTTGTAAATTAAGTAGATTACAATTATATTATATTATTAATTTATCTTATATATTTATATAATAATAAAAAAGACTAAATGGTAAAACATGAATATGTGAATCGTAAATGGTTTTTTTTTTTTTTGGTACCTACTACTAATAAATACATAAGGTCAAAAAGGTTGTCAATTGGAAGCATCTTCTTTATCCGGTAGAAAAATTTTAATTTACAGTGTACTATAAAAATATACATTTTTTTTCAAAATCTGGTATCAAATAAAATTGTTATTTTATTTTTTAGAGAGAAATAACCAAGGCCAGTACAATGAGGTTCAGTAGGATGGAGGCCGGAGACCAAAGGAGGATAGGCTAAATTTTTGTTACTGAGAAAATATATAACAAAAAAAGGTCCAAAGCTTCACTCCGGTATAAAAGGTACCCCCTTTTATATCTTAAATGTAGGTATCCCTTTTTATTATTTTTACCACCTTACCTAACCATCATTTTATTAATTTTTTTTTAATTTGAATCATAACATTTGTTTTTTTTTTTTTGGAAGCTTAAAATAGGTAAATAAAAGTTCTTTTGTTTTAATTTTATATAGCTACAAACTAGAAACACTATCAGTCTAATTTTCAACTCAAGTCCAAAAACTACCCCCAAATTAAAAAAGTTTCATCCTTTCTGGGCTTTACTCCTAGAAAGGGTGGAAAATGTTTATTTTATGGTTATTGAATAGTTGTTTTCTGTTCATTGGTAGTGCTATAAAATGTATATTAATTTTATTTTCAATTAATAAATGTAATTCATATTTATTTTAACTCTCTAGCTATTGGATTAATTATTTGACTGATAAACTTAAGGGGAACGGAAAGCGCTATTTATTAAGGGGCAAAGGATAGGCAATAATTGATTTAGTAGCCATTTTTAATTCGCCGACTAATTTTAAGGAAAAAAAATATTAAGTTTTTTTAGTTATAATACTTTTAAAGTTATTTTTCTCCAAGTTATGGCGAAAGTTTGATAAAAAATTACTTCCGTAGAAGTATCTATTGGACGGATTTCAATTTTTCTTTTTTTTATCTAAAGCATACTATTTTTTTTCTATGGGGGCTAATAGACCGATTTTTGATTTAGCAATTAAAAAACTATATAACAAAACCTAGAAAAAAACTTAAGCACTTATGGTTATATGTAATAAAATAATAATAAAAATCCTTAACCATAAAAATTGTATAACAAAAGAATTTTTTTTGAAATCGGTTCGGTATGCACTTCAGAAAGTGACTTCGCGTTTTAGTCTTTATTTGTAAAAAAATTGACCAAAAATTGGCCAATCTCTTCCCATTAAATTCTTGGTACATGTTTAAAAACCTTTTTTCTTAAGTTAAAAAAAAAGATGCCTTTTTTGGTTGTTATTATCGTGTGTTATTGTAGACCGAAAATAGTCTTTTCGATGGTATTTAATAACGTTAATATGGAATTTTTATGGAAAACTACTCAGGGACGCACATCCAAGCTACCCTCTGTGTCAAATTGGGTCTTTATGGTGCTACTCTGTATTCTAAGGGTGTACCAAATGACGCAGTTCCAGGATTATACGGTTTCCATTTACTATGTCAATGTAATATATCATGTTATAATTTTTATGGGAGAGCAGAGCAGGACTCGGGACTCCCACGCACAACTGTTGGATTCGTTCGAGCGACGACGCACAAAATCGATATGACCAATGCCAAAGGACGCGCATGTTGCGCACTATGTTGGTACACCGCCCGCAGATCGGTGGGGAGCGCCCGAGTGCAGTCTTCGCTCTCGCACGCACCGGTCGCTGCGGACGCAGGTGTAACCGACGCTGACCACGGTGAGTGGTGACTCAGTGTAAGAATAATACGTCCACAAATTAGGCGTGCGTGACCTCAGACTACTGCTGCACACAGGATGGTACCGGTACTCGGCGGCGTTCAGTCACCGCAATAGAGCGTACCTGCTATATAGTCGCCCGCCGACCGGTTGTCGCGCTAGACGTCAACGCCGTGCACGGACAGTCGACCGTAACGAGACGAAACTGTTGTCGAGATGATCGCGAAAATCATCACCGCGGTCTTTTTGCTGGTTTCGACGGCCACCATATGGCCAATCGCGAACGCAAACGAAGTAAAAAAATATTCGCTGATGATGCCAAACGTCAGACCCAAAAAGGTAAGCCCGCGCATAGTGACCATCAGTCGTCAATGAGTGTGTGTGTATATGTATTGCAATATAATATTACGTGTAATAATATTACCTGTGCACAGTTATTTACGAGTTGAGCAATTGAGCAGGCGCGAATCTAGGTTTTTTTGGCGGGAATTAATATTTCAAACGTATCGCGAAAATATTAATTTTTTTTTACCAAAAATATTTTTACCAAATTTTAAAAACAATAGTATATTTTCATTCCAACGAGTAATGATTTTGATAATTGTTTTTATTGCTCGATACAAGTACCAAAATATAACAGAACGAAGAAATTGCAAAACGACTTGTCTTTATTTAGTTTAATAATAAAAAAAAGTGCGTAGGTGCAGGTACGGTAAGGTCAACTGGACAGCAAGGGAGAAAAAATATGATTTCTTTTTTTTTTAGTTTTTCAGTAGGCAATCTTTTTTGTACAACTCGTACATTCGTACGAATAGGAGGAAAATAGACTTCAATGTCTCTAAATAGTAAGAAAAACTAATAGTGAAGCGAGTAAGACTTAAAAATGATTAACTATAAAGAATTTAAAAGATAAGCCGAAAAATACTAGTCGATGAATGATGAATGAAAATAAAGACCTGAAAATGTGCTGAGTAAATAAAAAGACATTTTGATAATGACTGTAAACGATTTGGCAGAACCCACTTGATGGAATATAGTGGAGAAAACAAAGAATAGTCGAATTAACAATTAACAAAATATATTATCGGTGAATTAAAATTCGATGATACCTATAAACAAATTTAAAGTAAAAAAAAAAATGATAACTTTGATCGGTCTTGGCCATTTTTATACTTTTTAATTTTTTACACTGCGTGAACCATTTTTAAACAGTATGGAGGAATAAGGATGATTGAAGTTTGCTTCATAAAAACTAGTTTCCTGCATAGTTATAAAAAAAAAATTAAAACGAGAAAAAATACACCAAACGACCCCTATTGTAATATGGTTAGGACGTGTTAACATAACAATAACGATTATTAAAATATATTACATACAATGCGGGTAATTTCCCAAAAAAATAACAAGTGGATACGAACTAGTTATTAGAACAAAAGCGCTAAACTTTTTTCAGGGACTGAACACAAAACATGTCTTAAGGTTTTAGATTGCACGCAATTTTAGGTAATAAAAAATAGTATAGAAAACATAATAGGTGTACTATTAAACTTTTGCGATCAAAGTTAGCACTTGGGTGCTATTTCATTTGAACGTCGATTATCCATACTAAATTAAAACGCCAACATTAAATTACCAAACAATCTCATTTTAGAGGACGTATTTAATTACTTCAATCGTCCAACGGAGAAAATAATAAGTTTAATACGAAGGTCAAACCGCTTGTTTGATAAGTTTTTCTAAATTTAATTGCGCACCTAAAGGCAGGTAATAAAAACACAACAATTGTGTGCCAAAATCTATTAACATTTCACAGCTACAGATAACACATTTTTCCAACTTCAAAAGTTTTTCTGATCAACTTTTCTAAATTACCAATTTTATACGTGAAAAACACATTTAAATACAATATAATATAATTGTAGTTGGGTGTATGACATTTATTTTAATTTTATTACTATTGTGACATTTCATATTGATCAACTAAGTGACGAAACAGTGTCCCAGCGAGAGAAGGATAAGCCGTTTTAACAGCTCACATAAATTTCCGCTTCTCTGTGTTCCATTATTATATGTATAATAATTTACCAACCATATCTAATTCGTGGCAATGCACTGGCCAATGCCATTCGAGCCGGTCAAAATTAAGCCTAGTTTCATCCAAGTTGCTGTGGGGTATTGTTGTTTAGATGTAGCAGTTATAATCATAACCCATTCCCCTGAAAGGGGTCGACAATTTTGCTTTATTTGAGGTATTTTTGGACACGGGGTAGGAAATTAGTAAATCTATTTTGTCATTTTGAAAATGTATACATTTTTTAAAAATAAAACTCAAAAATCTACATTTAAGCTTTTTATCGTCGAGCAAGTCTAAACCAACTATAAAAGTAACACAACTAACATTATTCGTATTGAAGTATAAACAGTGCATTAATGTTTGTAGCATTAGCGTGAAAATGATTTATTCCTGACTAGTGTAAAATAGTAATAGTCAGATACATTTTAGAGAGTTTGGAATGCATTATTTGGTTTTTTTTTGTATGCAGCTTGTCCATCACGAGTGACATTGTAATAATTGTTCTGTAACGCTGAAACTTCCTTGTTAAATAAGCCTCTTTGTATAAATCACGGTTAGCTAATTAACCGTGCGGTTCAAACCAACCAAATAGTTTTAACCCTCACATTTTTTAACTGTCGTGTGAACATGTACATAAATATTATGTTTGGCAAGTTCAACATTTTATTATGCCATTTAAATAATTAGTGTTATGGTTTTTTTCCACAACGGTAATAAAATATAACAATAATAATCTAATCCAAAATATTATTATATTTTCTTATTGTTATAATCTCTAAATTTGATGCGCCTTGTGGTACCTTATACAACGACAAAAAATTATTATGGACAAACCATCAACCCTAATCGTATCTTCCTTAGCAAGGAAAATATAATTTTAAGCATATCATTGTCTTTTACAATGATTTTATCGGTTTTTTTTTTTTACTTTAATTAGAAAATATCATTTACTTTAAATAGAAAATTTATCATTCGTGTGTATGTGTGTGTGCTTAAATGATAAATCGTTGTCATGTTACTGAAATGGCCTAACTGTTATAACACAAGACCAGTGGATATATCATACAATATTTAGCAATGGATACATTTACCTGAATAAAAGAAACCAGCACACATTGAGGTCGGGACATAGTTCGGATGAAGAATTTTGGGCTTAAAGAGGTTTACAGGTTTCCAAGAATTATAATAATCAAAAATCACTTTAAAATATATTGATCTAAAAACTGTAGATGGTAAAAATACCAAATATTTGTAAATTTAGTTTCAATTGGCAGCTAAATAACAACAAGCATGACAGGTTAAAATAATAATAACAACAATTAAGATTAATAATTATGTTTTTCGAATCCCGTTACATTCGATAATTATCGCAGAGGTTATTACATTATTATAACTAGTAAGAAATAACGGTAAAATTAAAAATAACTACTATAACAATAGCATTTTACACATAGGACAACGATAATAGTATATTGTCTACAAAATAAAAAAAATATCTCAAAAACCTATGTCTAGGTTATAATGCATTCTGATATTTTTGTTTTGTATTGTTCCAGACGGATCTTTATTTGTGCACTCCGATCAGAATCGATTCTAGTAAATCGTATTTTATAGGTAAGTACTTAAGTAAATACACTTATACCTAGCAACCGATAATTTTATTTATTTACCAATAAACATATTATTATACATATTATACATATTGTGTAATATGTATGTATTTAAAAAAGGAATTCGGGAGATTTTTTGCTAAAACTAGAAATGTAGAAGCACAGGTGATGTTCTTAGATTTTGCAAAATAAATTAAATTAAACAAGTAAATGAATCTGATAAAAAAATCGAGAAAGTAGATAAAAGCATAAAACACAAAACAATTGTTTTAATAGGACAGATTTCGATGTTAGTGAAGTGTTACGCAAGAATGCATACAAAACAGTTATTTGACACCCAGCCATAAGCCTTCTTTTTCGTTTCTTATGAATTTTTAGCGTTTTGGTTATTATAATAACAAAACTAAGACACGCATCTAAATTAGAAATGAAAATGGAATATATTAACACCCAATAAAAAACAAAGAAACTAAATTATTTACTATTGAATGGACGAGTGAAGACTGATGAACGGCGCTGTAGCGTCGGCCTCTATAATATCGCCGGTGTATCTAAAATTATTTATCCAATGCCCCTAACACGTACATGGAATGTTCAGGAACATTTTGCGTGTATTCTATGTTGCCTATCCGTCACGAAGTTTCCAGAACATTCCATATGGGGGTCACTACAAAATTAAAACAACTAGTTTCAAAATTGAAACTAAATAAAAAATCAGTAAATTCGAAACATCAATACGGATAATTATTACTTGAAATCAATGCTCTTTCCCAGTTCTTTCTCTTGCTCGGACATCGAATCTGAAAGATTTAGCGTTTGCCTTTTTTGATGCAATAAATTAGATGTCAATATTATATTATTATGTTTTCAGTCGGATTTGAACCAAAAGCATCGGGCCACGACGCTCATCATATGTTACTCTACGGATGTTCAGATCCCGGAAGCGAAGATCCTGTATGGTAAGTGGTTGTTGTTTGCACTACTATTATGATAGGTTCATAAATACAAATTTGATTTTCAGGAATTGCGGTCAAATGGCTTCTCCGAACGGGCGCGACCATAGTTACATGCATTCCAACCCGTGTAAATCTGGTTCGAATGTACGATGCTCGTTTGCTGATCTATCTGTATCGATTTGTCGGTAATCATGTGTAATTAATTTTCCAGATTTTGTACGCTTGGGCAAGAGACGCGCCTACGCTGAAGCTTCCGGACCAAGTCGGTTTTAAAGTCGGTGGAGATTCGAAAATCAGTTATTTAGTACTTCAAGTCCATTATCACAGGACGTTCGACGGTAAGTAAATCTATATTTTTTTACTTAATATCTACTAGTGTTGTACCTATATACATTATGATTCATGCTGTATAACGGTATAAAAATATTTTACAGACGACGAGACGGATAATTCTGGAATATATTTGCATTACACCGACGAACAGTAAGTGGTTTTACTTTAATACTCGAGTATTTTATTAGAGTAACGTGTATTTTAATATAATATAAGTATCATTATATTTATTTATTAAACCCAATCCACAAAAATGATATACTTAACTGTCGACCGTCTAGCTTGAGCTCAAAATCTAAGGAATTTTGTTTTTCAAAACGCTAAATTTTAAACTACTTATATTTCACGAATGACAAATTTTATATTAGGTTTATTCGATTTTGTTTAGATTATCCAGACAAGCTGGAGTGTATTTGCTCGCCACTAATGGAAAAATCGCTCCACGCTCGGTGGAACACATGGAGACGGCATGCTCCATATTCGAACCCGGTAAAGTCATACATCCTTTTGCATACAGAACGCACACTCATGAACTCGGTATGTTATTTTTGGTTTTTTATTATAAACCGCCAACATTATGCATAATAATATGTACCCATTTAAAAATTTTTTTGCATAGGCAAAGTAGTGGCCGGATACAGAGTGAGGACCGACCAACGAGGAGATGTAAAATGGGATCTGTTGGGAAAAAGAAATCCGCTCACTCCTCAAATGTTCTATCCCGTTGAAAACAATATTACCGTAGAATTTGGCGATCGATTGGTGAGTGGTAGACACACAATTAAGAGGGAAAATCGAAATGATAATTAATTTTAATTTTAGGCAGCTAGGTGTACAATGGAAAGCACAAGGGACACTGTTACAAAGATCGGGTAAGATACACCCATTCGATTTTTGGTTAATATTTTAATTGTTTGTAATAATCGTCTGACGATGGATTTCAGTGCTACGAGTGACGATGAAATGTGCAATTTCTATGTGATGTACTGGGTGGAAGGCACGGATCCTCTTGAACAACAGCTTTGCGTTTCCGAAGGTTCTCCTAAGTACTATTGGAAAGACGACCCGTATTTGATTAACATTCCCGACGAAGAAGCGTCAAAATTATAATTTATAACGATTTTACGATTGGGTACTTATGCGAGATCTCGACTAGTCGACACAAAATATCCTTGTTTTCTATTTGCCACAAACTTATTTATAAAATAATTTAAAAAAAAAATTACCAAAGATTATGTTATTATACATCTATTCAATGTAAAAAAGAAATACTTGTATCGGACTACCAATGTCAACAACGCACAAAACAATCTATATTATATTATAATCTTTCGACTATTTCCAACATACCATTATATTATATATATATATACATGAGTATATATGTGAAAAAATTAGTTAAATCATGAGTCAATTTATTTTATTTATAGAAAATGTTTATTTTTATTGTTAATTTATTAATTGGACCACGTATTCCTTATTAAAAATTATAAATATATACTACACATAGTAAAAAATGTTTTATTTCTTCTCGCTGAACATTTTTTAAAATTTTATTAATTTTGATTCAAAGTTAAACAATGTTTAGTGCTAATACAATTTGTGACCAGTTTTGGATATTTTATACTAAAGCTAACTAGTTTTCTCAAAAATAGTTAGACCAATCGGTTGAGGCATAAAATCATTTTAAAACAAGTTGCTGTTATTTTAATTACAATTTTAAGTAGTCTCATATTAAGAAAAAATTTCATTAGTTAAAACTTAGAAAAATAAACAATTATAGTTGTTTTCTACCGTTTTGAGGTAAAGTATAAAATAATTTACCATTAACTCGCAACTCATTTTGTAAATTGTTATAGACGAGTCAATTGAAAAATAAAAATAGTGAGAAATAGTATGAAAATGTTTTATTAAAATCTAGAAATTCAATGCAGCAATCATACAAAAAAAAATAATAACTGTTAATAATGTATTAAGTCGCGATAAATAACACAACATAAGATTAGTGATTTATATTAGTAATCATTGTGTTATAATATTTAGGAATAGGTGAAAAAAAAAGTAGGACAACGACCCTTATATTTATTCCTTCATGGATTCTTCAGTTGGTTGAGCGGATGGTTTTGGTTGTCCATCGTCTCCTCTCTTCTTTGTTCCAGACACTATGTCATCGATACGAACTAACAATATAGCTGTTTCGATAGCAGTTTTGTATACTTGAGACTTGACAACGATTGGTTCCCATACTTTGAGTTCTTTCATATCGGCCATCTCGCCTGTCTCTCCGTTAATACCCCAGTGCTCGTTACCGCTGACCGCGTGTTTGGCTCTCAGCGACGTCATCGTTCTTATGGTACTGACACCACAATTTTGTAAAAGCGTACGCGGTATTACCTCTAAAGCTTGAGCTACGGCTTTGTACGGCCACTGTTGAACGCCAGCAATCTGAGAACTCTTTTTCACCAACGCCTGCGATACGGCCATTTCGATGGAACCACCACCTGGAACCAACTTGGGGTTCAACATGATGTTCTTAGCCACATGTAAAGCGTCCTGTAAATTCCTTTCCACTTCGTTAAGTATGTCCTTGCTTGGCCCTCGAAGCAAAATAGTGCACGCCTTTGGGTTAACGCATTCGGTAACGAATGTGAAGTACTCATCACCAATTTTTTTTATTTCGAAAAGACCAGCTCCTGTACCGACATGGCTTTCGCGTAATTCATCAGTACGCGTTACAATGGTAGCGTTACACGCTCTGGCGATTCGATTGTTATCTGATTTTCTCAAACGCCTCAATACAGATATGTTGGCTTTCAATAAAAAATGTTGCGCCAAATCAGATACTCCTTTTTCTGTACAAACCAAATCTGGTTTCAAAGCTATAATGTCTGAACAAATTTGTTGGATGTACTCTTCTTCGATTTGCAATAACCTTGTGAAGTCTGTTTCCTTAACAATTTCTACTTCGGTTTGACTTTCTCCTTTTTTAAATTCTAATGTACAATCCAAAAGTACGATTCGTGGATTCTTGATGAACCTTCTCATTTTCGGATGTGTAACATCTTTGTTCAACATGATTCCGCTCAATACTTGAGAGTCTTCAATAGCTCCACCGGGAACTTTTTCTACTTTAGCGTACCTTTTAATATCAATTTCTGTACGCCCTTCGTCTTTAATACTTACTGTTTTAACAGCGTTTAATGCAATACTGCATGCTAAATCTGACCAACGTCCAATGAACTTGGTGCCGACACACGATTGGATAACTTCGATAAGTTTAGGCTCGTCATCCAACGACAATGGAATGCTGAATTCTTTATCCAGAATGTCTAGCATGTCTTCGAGAGCTTGACGATAAGCTTTGATTATAACTGTAGGATGAATTTTTTGTTCTAAAAACTGTTCTGCGATTCCAAGGATTTCTCCTGCGAGTACGACCACCGATGTAGTACCATCACCGACTTCTTCATCTTGTGTTCGAGCGATTTCAATGAACGACTTAGCCGCTGGATGCTGGACAGTGATTTCACGGAGAATAGCATTACCGTCGTTTGTCATTACAATGCCGCCCATTGGATCCATCAACATTTTAAGCATAGCTCTGGGTCCAATACACGTACGTACTACATCTGCAATAGCTTTACCTGAAAAAAAATTTAATAATAGAAAATTAGTTTATTTTATTGATAACAATAATAGAATTATGTCAATTTAAAATAAAATATTTATTAAATAAAATCATCGCATTTTGATGAGTTTTATTTATATTAATCAATAATTAGTTGCTTAGCTAGTATGAAAATTTTGATCAAATAATTTAACAGAGGTCTGACCAATTTAGTCTAGCCATATTCATTTGCTCTTCTAATTACAAAAAGTTAGCTGTTAAGATATACAGGGCAGCCAATTGGTTGTATTTTTAAATAAAAGAATGTAAATAAATGAGGTGAGTTTTTTAAAGCGAATGTTTTTAAACGCAAAAGCGATTAAAAAATTATAAAAACACATACATCCTTTGTCAACTGATTATTAAAAAATGATTTCAAGCCAAAGTTTACATACTTTGCTATACCTAACAAGTATTGATAAAAATTAATAATAGTATAATATTCTGACAGCTTACTTACCAATTTTAAAAATAACTTTTTTTTGGTTGTAGATATTTTTAAGTTATGCCATTTGGAACGATACTTATGTTTCATTCAAAGAACAATATTTTATATCATTTCAAATGAAGTTAATTGCAAAATCAGATATCTATCAGAATATCATATTTTTATTCATTTTGTGGTGGTAATAATGTAACTTAAGGTAAGGAAAAACCCCTTTACTCCCCAATTTAAAATATAAAAATGTTTTTAAATTTAATTACTTAAAATCAAATGATTTGAATCTAGAGGAAAAGTAACATTCATTTTTGAAACCTAACCTAACGTTCTTTTTCCTAAGAAAATAATAGTAATTTTGTAGCTTTTTCTGTTAAAATTTGTTTTTGATAATGATATAAAATTTCCAAACATTTACCATTTTTGGGTATTTTCTAGAGCAGTACTTATTTAGAAACATACTTTTTAAAGTCAAGAATAACAAAATAAAAATGTTGATCATCAGTAAGTTGATAAAGTTTTTGTAAATAAGCTTTGATATACAAGAGTTCTCTTTTGGTAGCTTTTTCAACGCTACCTATATATTGGACCAGTCCAGGCTGAACTTTTAAAAACAGATGCAACCATTTTAATATCGGTTAGGAAGTCCGTAGACATAATATTACGAGCTCCTTAAGAAATACATCCAATTTTTCGCATAAAAACATTTTCTATTGATATTTCAACTGACGTCGAAATTCAAAACGTTTAACTGCGAATAAAGTACAAAAGTTTTAGGATCATTAAAACATGTTCACCTGCTGCAATATTTTCCAACTGAACCTTATGGCCAAACTTTCTTTTGGTATTTGTGTTTAGCACCAAAATCGGTGCACCAGATTGAGACATCATGATTCTAAGTTAAGTGAATAATACTTTTTAGATAGAAAAATTATAAAACGAAGCGTTTAAACTTTGACAGAACTTTTGTTTGACTGATGGGAAAATTAGGTAATGAACAATAGAGTACAGACCTAACCTATATTTATAGGGTAACTCTAACAGGTATACTCGTTAACCGTCGAATGCGTATCATACATGGTTATCATCGATAATCAACAGGGTACAAACAGTTTGGAGAATTTGTAATTTCGCTGTGTTGGCAACAATTAATAATTTAATGAGTCATTTGGCGCGCTTTTAAAAAATAAAACTTAAAAATAAATTCATTTATTTATGTCAACAAATTAGGTAAATAGTAGATCAATTTTATTTATAGAAAATGTTTATTGTTATAGGTAATTTATTAATTGGACAAAGAATACCAGAATCCAAAATTTATAAGTATGTACTACACACACACAGTTAAAACAATTTATATTTCTCCTCCCTGAACATTTATTTTAATTTATTAATTTCGAAAAAAAAGTTTAACACTGATTATGTAGTTTCATTTTCGAATTATTGTTTATCACTTAAAACTTAGTAGAAATAAACACAACACCAACAATTGGTAACCAGTTTTTGATATATTTTATATGAAAGTAAATTTTCTCAAAAATAAATAGACCAATCGGTCGAGGCATAAAATAATATTAAAATTGCTATATTTTAAATAATTTCTCATCAGTTAAAATGTAGTAAAAATTAACTCAACTATATATTTTTTTAGCCAGAAATATTGTGTTAATAATTGATGTTTGTTAAACTAAAAACCAAGTTATAATAAAATAATTCTGATGACAATATTTTTTTCCTTTTTGTCAATTTTTACAAATTGTAGGATTATTTCCAAAATATTGCTGGAAATGAGAAATATAAATATCAACACTTGTAACTCAAGTGTATTTTTATAATATTAAATACTATCAACTGAAAAAATGATTGCCACAAACTCATAAAAATTATAAGTTATAACTTATAAGGCAATATTTTACAAATATATGAGGGAAAAATGTAATTTTACAGATACAATATTTATTTATTTTATTAGGAAGTAAATAATAATAGTACATAAAAAGCCAAAAATAATAGTATACATTTATTCAGATTAAAAGAAATAATTAAATACATTTTAGGTTTAACTACACGATGTAATGGCCAATATGAGAGGAAATGCATTAAAACAATATTTAACATAACAAATCCATTAAATAATAATTAAAGTTTAAAGATAAATTATATTGTTTGAGGGTTACAATACTGTTGGAATAATATGAAATAATAATAACTGTTCATAGTCAAGCTAAAGTTTTAAAATAAAAGCTATAAAAAAAAAAAAAGAATAATAATCACTAGTCATCAGTCAGTAATAATACTGCGCAAATCGATACTATTTTTCTCATAATAGAATACTGAATACTAAAAAAATTAAAATAATAAACAATAAAAAAACCTTTTAAAAAATATATATAGCAAGTCAAGTAATTTAGTAAATATTTGTATAAAATGGTAACATAAATAAAAAAAATACGTATAATGTATACTGTCATCAGTTCTGTCTAAAAGACTATGGAAGTCCAATTAATTCGTTGTAACGTATATTCTGACTAGAACCATTAGTCAAAAATTTGTTTAAAAAATAGTAAAGAACTAAAGCTTTTTTTTTAAAACCATGTAAGTACAAATTTTAAGACATACAAAAATTCCTGTAATGTAGATGGCGCTGATCCAAAATATATTTTCACTCATACTAAAATTTTGAAGTACAGATGATGGTGATCTGTTTGGACAGTATATCTTAAAAAAAAAAATTCAAATCTGTTAAATGGGTACTTAACATTTTTGTAAACAATAAATAGTGCACAAAATATTAAATTAAAAAAACTAAGTAATTCAATTTTTTGTGACTAAATAAATATACCTCTGGACATTCCATGTCCGCTCTTTTAAAACCATACACGGAATGTAAAATTCCTTGAACGGAATGTTTTAACATAGAAATATCATAGATCCAAGTGTACATTTTTGGTGTATCGCTTATGCGCAACATAATGCCAGCAAACATAGTCGTTGGTAATAAAATTAAGGATATGACGATGGCATTCATCTAAAATATTTTATATTTAATAAAATAGATTTTATGTCTCAAAAGCATGAGTTGGCAATTATACACACCAGAAAACTTTTAAACAAAATAGCTATTAACATGCCAGTTGCTTGCGACAATAAGCCCGTGAGTATAAACATCAATGAAAACAATACGAAACGGAACAATTCAAACGGCTGTCCACTCATTACGTACAGCACTAAACAGAATAAACCCGTCGACGTTATCTAAAAAGTTGAGAAAATTAAATTTAAACTTAATAATATATAATATATTATATATATATTTTAAAACTACTAACTTGTATCGGTAGATCCATTATCGTAAGGCAAGCGTAATACGATTTAATAGAATACCATTGGTTAAAGTGTTCTAATCGCATTAGCAAGAAATCTAACGGAACTGAAAAATTTAATAATACACTTTAAAAGTGAAAATTAGTTAAATATTGATGTGATTACATTTTATAGACATTGAATAGGCAGACAAAAAAACAATGTACGTCACACAAAAGTATAACAATGTAACATTGTCTCGGGTGTACAAGCCGTTGTTTCCGATATCATAATATACCAAACCGAACAAGCAGGCCACTATTACAGGTGCAAATAGTCTGATGTTAATTAATTCCTAAATAAAAAAAATTTACAACATCAACTGTATTCTATGTTATAACAAATATAATACTTATTAAACATTAAAAAAAGTATGATTCGTTCTAGGAAATTTTCATTAAAAATACACACACTGTCTCTAGACGAAATTAGCATTGTTCTGCGGATGAGTACTCGGAGTTCGTGAAAAAATCTAGAAGAACGCTTTTGCCGATACGTTTCAACTGTGAAATTCTCGTTTAAAACGGCTTCTTCTGAAACTGTATAAGTAATCATTTAAATTTGTCTTGTATTATGTACACCACTGTATACTTTGTCCACCTACCACTTTGATCTTGTTTTTCCTCACACCAGCTATTTGATTTACCGTTGTCCGCACACTCAACTAGCGAATCTATATAATCGCCATATTCACCGCAACTCACTTCGATCACTGAAATTATAATTACAAAATGTAGACAAAAAATTGTTTAAATAAATCTTTAAACTCTGATAGCTTTGAATATGAAAAGGATTTCTATGACCCTTCTGCGCGACAATATGTTAAAAATTGAGCTACGTCCTTTTTTTTCTCGGGAGGGCTTTGATTTATCAGACAGTTACCATAATCAGCAGGATTGTGATGCAAAGGACAGTGAAGTCCAATAGAAGATAAATAATTGAGTAGCTGAGAGGATTGTCCTCGGTAAATGCACTGTCCAGTTGGTGAAAGTATGTACAATACATCAAACAAATTTAAATGTGATGCAGTCATTTGATGAATAGTGCATATAATTGTTCTACCACTTTTCGCTAAATCTCTTAACACGGACACCACTTTATTAGCAGACGCCATGTCCAAACCTCTAAAAAAAAACAAAATGTTAAATTAAATTTAATACGTTTTTTAAAACAACATATAGAAGTGTGTTTACGTTGTAGGCTCGTCAAAAAACATCACTTTTGGATTTCTTATGAGTTCCATTGCAATAGAAAGGCGTCTACATTCACCACCAGACAGATTTCTCGCTAACGTATTTTGTTTTTCAGTCAATTTAAAATTTTCCAATATTCTTTTGATCTAAAAAAAAAAAAATGAATTATAATTTAATTTTGAAATATAATTATCATAAATAATGAGTAAGTATTGGTAAATATTTATATTAATTTAAATACTTATTGAGTTATTTAATCAATTGTATTTAAATTAGAATACTATCTTGTAACGTAGAGAGTAACAAAATAAATATAAATATATTTATTACATGTTATAGTCAAGAATGAAACTTTAGATAATATTAAAAAAAGCTAGGATTTATTAATAATTTAATTTATTGACATTGTTGCGCGTTTTTAAGAATAGTTATAGTTTTTAACAATAAATGACACATTTTTAGGATGTTTTCTTTGTTTAAAGTTTAAATAAAATGTTAACTAAGATTTCCATACTATAACTTGTTGGTAAACATCTAGTTTCATGACACAATATCTAAGCTTAGAAGCTATCTCCATGGATTCTAAAATGGTAAGGTAGGGTTGCAGATGATCGTCTTGCATTATGTAACTGGATCGTTTTAAAAATACTTCTCGTCTCCGAGGTTTTCCGTTAATATTGATGCTACCTTTATATCCGGTTGTTCTAAAATACAAATAAAAAATCTATATAAAATAAGCCGACCTTTGTTTGAAAATATTAAAATCGTACTTGTAGCCCGAAACAAAATTCAACAGAGAAGACTTGCCAGAACCTGAACATCCTATGATGGCATACGATTGGTTTTTCAAAAACTTGCCACTAACGTTTTGTAAAATTTTTTTTTTTTCTGAAATAAAGCAGGTATTCTAAGAATAAGCTATTTTATATTATTGAATACCCAAGATTAGTTAGTAGAAACTAGAAGATAGTTTATCATACCTGGACGAAATATTTTCCCCGGTGTCCAAACATTCACCGAATACGATACGTCCGTAAACTCGATGTCAATACCATCGCTATTGGACGTCGGCCTGTTGTTTGCCATGGCTATTCGAATTTCAGCTGGACACAAAAAAGAAATTTAATAGAATCTTAGACAATAGTATTTTTGACACAAAGTAAACAAGAACAAAGTGTATTTCGAGATGAGCTCCCAAAGGTCACGGATCGACCAGGAACCCGTAAGATGGGTGTAGGACAAGTGACAACTGGTGAGTGTGTTTTTGAAAATTCAATCGAAGGTCAATCTGCGGTACAGCAACATCAATAATATTAATATTGTGCATAAAGTGTATACAGAGCTGCAACGTCATTCGGTTGTATAATTGTTCCGAGTCTTTACTGTTTTCTTCTTTGTTATCCATTTGAATTAAACAAATAAATTGACAACATAATACAGTAGTTTCACCCGTCAACAATTCACCAAGTATAACTATTAAAACTTTTTGTTATTGTTATGTTAAGCGCACACCCGCCGTCATTTGGTTGCCCCACTCTGTATAATCAGACATAATTATTATATAATTGGCGACAAAAGTATTATGATATATAGATACCACAGAATATATGAAATTTCTTATAATGTAGATACTAGATAGGCCACGACATGTACATTTTTGGCAACCAAATATTCACCAAGAATGGACGCAGGCGATTATGTCGATAGATAGCGTAAATATCGCCCGTTTTTATTGGTTGAATTATACGCGGCAGTTTAAATTTTTTATTTTTGACTTTATAAATAATAGTATGAACATTATTTAATTATGTACATATAATATGAATGAAATTTCCATACTATTATCATGAAGTATTAGAATTCTAATTTTCTCTATTTTTTTAAACCATTGATTAGTTTTGGTTAAGGATTTTTACTTTTAACCCTACCTAAAAATCTGACAACGCACTAATAGACGATAGTAAGCACATTTTAAACACATATGTCTATGTTTATGTATTTAATCTAAGTAGTAAGTAAGTAAGTATGCACGATAATATCGACATTTAAGTTTTGCAGGAGTATATATTTTTATCTTTTCACTCGGTTATAATTCCCATCCCACTTTAAAGTTGACATATTTTATAGTACAAAAGTCGAGCTTTTCATTTATAAATTTTTCAAAAATTTCAAAATGGTCACAAGAGTGGAATATTGCAAAAATATTTTGTAAATTGATTTTTTGGGGGTAAAAAATGGTTTTATTCGTAATTGCAAATATTTTTATCGTTAGGTACAGAAAAAATGATAACGAATTCGTTGTTTTTCATTCCTAAGCGACCACTTTTTATTTGTGTTGAAACTTAAAACTTTAAAAAAATGGGTGAGCATGAAAAAAGTTCAATTTTTGAACTTCTAGGTGGGAACACTTAGTGAAGAACCTACAACTTCCGAATGTTTTTCGACGATGTTGAGTGAAATACTTACATGAAAAAAAAAATGTCTATTTATTTGATGCGAAAAAATTGTTGTTTCCCAACTCGCCAATGTGCATGTATTAGAAATATAAAATCTTAAATAATAGGTATTTCTGTAAAAATAACATATAAAATAATAGTATTACATTGAACACAGTGACTAGTGTACAACATTTTAGAATAATATTTTTTAATTATTCTCTTAGAAACAGCCATTGAATGACCTAATTTTATAAAATAAGAACAGAACGCCATTTCAAATGTATATCCGACCCAAACACTTATCCATGTTAAAAATTAGCTGAGATCGGGTAATTATACTTAAAGTAACAAAATAAACAATGACACAATGAAAGAGCAAAATGATTTATTATTTAACCCAAACTACATACATAAACATATTATATACTTAATAAAAGTTAATAATAAAATCAAACTATTCATCATCATCACCAGGAAATAAAATATCAGTGACGATATAATTAACTTCGGGCTTCTTAAACTTGTAATCTGAAAGTACAAAATATTATACATTTTTAAACAAACGAATCAGGTCAATTTGTCAGAAAAAAGGATGTGAATAATAATGAGTTACACTTGCAAAATATTTTTAATTCAAATCATTAAAATCAAAATTTTAAACTATTACTAAAGATTAAAAAATTAAAAAAAAAATCCAACAAGTTTTTTATTTATTTTGTTTACCAACAATTGTTCAATATTTTTGAAAATTTTTATGATTTTTTTGGTTTAAAAAATAATTATAATTTACAGCTATACAAATGGCAAACTCCATTACTAAAATGTTTATTCAATAGTTTTGATCGTTTTACTCAACACATTTATTAATTATAACTTTATTGTTTATTACCTTTTAGTGACATTTTGTACGGTATTGACGTTTTCGGTTCTACATAATATGGAACGTTGCCAGTAAAAGTAAAAGTTTCTTTTAATCTCTTAATTAAGTCTTCTAAGTCATCAAATGTTATACCACCTGGGTTCGAATCAAATAGCGTTCCAATCGCATTCTATTGTTTTTAGAATAAAAAATAAATATTAGAATGTTTTCAAAAAGAGAACAACAAATGTTCTATTATTTTAAAAATAAACTAGCGTAAGACGTTAAAAAAATCACTCGGTATTTAATTTTACAATTAAATCTAAATTAAAAAAAAAAATGCCTTTCTACCAGACATATAGCCCTAGATATTTTTTTGGAATAATAACATCGGTGTCATTGTAGTCGAAAACATGTTTTTTTCATTTGTGGTGAAAAATGGAAAAAGAAATATTTTATAATTACATATGTTCTCATTCAGAGGCCAACAACTGATTTTTCTTAAGCGACCTACGATTACCTAACCACCAAATTTTTTTTATAACAATCATATCGATTTCATAGTATTTAGTTAAAACATTTTTTTATAATAAAAAATGCTATTTTTTTGTTATTTCTCATACTTTGGAGTAAAATCTGCAAGTAATCGTTTAATAATGGTTATTTTGTTTTTTGTATTTTTATGTGTGAAAAATCATCAAATAAATATTTTGCTATCATTTTACAGGTGGGAAGTATGTATATATTCGTTGGGTTAAGAAAAAAACTATATTGTTCAAGATCCGAGAAGATGAAAATAACTGTAAGTAAAAAAAAATCACTCAAAAAACTTCAGATTTATTCTCCAAACAACAATTTACATTTTTTTACAAATTAGCAAGAATATTACAAGATTAATTTCAATCTAATTTAAATAGAACAATTGAATCTTAGAATATTTAGAGTGTCCCAGCACGTAAAACTTAACTGGCCTTTTACTTTGTAATATAGTTTTTTATTTACCAGTGCAACCTTTTCATTACCAACTATGCATGTTTTCAATAAATCATTAACATCGTCTTCGTTGAATTTATAGTCTGAATAAACAAAATATTTTACATGTTTTAAAGAACAAATTACGAAAAAATTAACTTGAAGGAATTAAGAATAATCATCTTTAACATTATAATAATAATGTGATAATAAATATACAGTTTAATCAAAACATATAATTAAAAAAAAAAAAATTAATTATGTATCGCATATTCTACTATTTTTTTTGTACACCATCAAAAGACTAAATTTTTCTAAATTTTTTATCTGATTTGTTTTTGAGGTAAGATTTTTTGTTAATATATAATAAAATAATTTAAAGCTATACAAATGACAAACTTGATTATCGAAATGTCTTTGAAATATTTTTAAACTTAATAAATGTATTGGATATTTTTTGTTTGTTTATTACTTGATCCTATTATAGTTTCCAATGCATCGTCAGTGGGAATTTCTTTGTTTGTATTGAATCGCCGTTCTACTTCTTCAATGATATCTCTTACTCCTTTCAAGTTAATGGTCCCATCGACTTCAGTGCCCTCAGGACTTGAATATTCCTCGATCATTTCATTTACATCTATCTATTGTTTTCAGAATATGAATTAGACGGTAGTAATATATATATATATATATATATAAATAATTTACACATTAAAATCAAAACGCTATACTACTAGACATAATAAAGCTTTGCGATTTTTTCAGCGTAATAACATTAATATCATAGTATTTAAGGCATTTTAAAAATTATTATACTGTATTGTTTATGTTAATACAATTTTCGGTGCAAAAAAAGGTAAGGTTAAGAAATGACATTTTTTTAAAAATATAATACATATTGCACATAGTAAAGCAAGAATCGCAAATTTTCTATAAATCGAATTATTTAATATTTTAATGAGCACATTTATTCAAATGTGCTCATTATACTTACAATTGTATCAGGAAATACACCCTGACATTGCAAAAAGTTTAATGCCACGTAGAAAAACAGTATGAAATTTTTGGAATACATTTTAAATTTTCAAACAATATTCTTGGATTCAAAATATTTAATTATTAGTTTTAGAATTAAAAACTATTTTGAAACTATTCGATAATAGTACTTATGTCGATTTTATAATGAAATGGGAGTGTTGTATCTTTTGGAATTATCGCAAGACTTTCTGTAAGAAAATATACTTCAGGAATGAAACGGTTTCAACCTTGTAACTATTGGGCTGTGTGATTTCGGTGTAAACAAAAGTTGTTTTGCGACCGCTCTTATTTGTCTTGTTTGACATTTTTAACACTCGCATTGGCTTACTGTTATTTTTAAGAAGTAAATAATGTATGTTCAAATGAAGGGCACAGGGGAAAAACGGTAGTTGTCACATTATGAGAATTTTAGAGTATAGCAAAAACAAAGTTCGTGAATTCCTCTACCTCTTACAAAAGAACAAAAAAAAAAATCACATTAAATGCCACTCTAATAATAAATATATTTATTTAAACAATCTATTGACAAAAATAAAAAAAAACCAGTACAGTGGGGTCGGGGCATAGTGGGGACGGATAGGTCACAGGTCTACAGATTTTATTATAACCGAAAGTGATAAAATCACTTTTAAATAAACGCTTCGATGCGAATCTGTGGATAGTATGTTCAAACTAGTCATAGTGGTTCACAAGATATCGTGGGACCAGCAATAATGTACTTAAAATTTAATATTTAGTCTTGTGCAGGGTGGATACGATAAGGGTTGATCGTCTGTCTATAAAAATCTACTGTCATAGTTAGCCATGTATCGCAATTAACAATATAATGAAAATATTTTCATTACCTGTTGACTGTTTCACACACACATAGCAACCTAGAAACTGACTACGGATAAGTTGTAAATTTACCCTATTTTTGGGGTTTTTCCTTAATAAAAAAAAAAATGTGACTACAGATTTTAGAGAAAATTGTATATGTTATAGTTCCGTTTTAGATCTACTTTTGGTCTAATTTTCAGATCTAAATCTCTAAAGCTTTGCTTGAAAAAGTGAAATAAAGAAAAAAATTCTATCCCTTCTAAGGGAAGGGTTTATGATATGTTTTTGATTTGTTAATGTTTATCGATAGTACTATGTTTGAAAAACAATTCATATAAATTTGGAACATTTTCGACTATTTAAAAAAAAGTTATAGAGCATCGTAATGTTAAGTTGAAAAATTTGTTAACTTTTTAGGTGTTTTTTTCGATTTTGACGAGGAAGGGGTGACTTTTTTTAATTTTTGGCCCGGTTAACTACCTTTCAGGTATGATTTCTGATCTATAGAGTTGCTACACGAAGAAATCGGTTCAGCGGTTTACAAGATATCGTGGGTCCAGACACAAATAAAAAAAAAATACATCACTGTAAAAACAATACCTTCTCAGCTCCGCATCGAAGCTAAAATTGTTGGCATAAATTGAAAAAAACAATTTTCATAATGTGACAACTACCGTTTTTCCCCTGTGCCTTTCAAATGTTGACGACTTTGCGTGACGTTCCAGCACGGTTTTTAACTAGGTCACTCTGACCATATCAATTTTACTATATATTTTATCGTGTATCCCCACCGATCTCCCCCTGCCAATGCGAATAGGTATCCAAAATTTCAGTAACTAAGTACAATAATTTCGGGTAGGTATACCTAATAGTTTGTTTCTATTATATTTAATAAATGCCAATATGTTATACCGTTATAAAGTACAATTATAAAAATATCATTAAACTACACAATATGTAGATAGAATTATTATTAAAAGTGTTTTTATGATTCAGTATAGCATAAAGAGTTTGCAAAAAAATGCCGAGTTATATAGAAGTAAGCTTGATAAGTCGAAAAAACAACTTAATAAATCATTGTAACGACAAGAGCCGCTATTGTTTTTTTTTTTTTAATTTTGAATGTTATGCATTTTTTTAGGAACTCGTATATTCAAATCAGATAACATAGTATGGCATTTATAAAATGTGTGAGCTATATAATATGTCGTTTTTTTCAAACCGATAAATTTGTACATGAGTAATCTTTTGCGTTAAGTCGAAAAACATATTTTTTTTTAATATTTGAACAGTACATGTGCACATTATTTTTCTATTTTTTTAGACGTTTAAAAGACCCTTGTTTGTTTTCAATTCCTGACGAAGTCTATTTAAAATTATATCATCTTCATTTCCGATATCCCATTTAATATATTTTGGAAAGAGGAAGATTTATTAACAATTTAAAGTACTCTCAGTTAGATGGTTGTACAAACCATTTGCCATTTTAAATAACTCTATGGAAATTAGTACATCACTAGGATCTAATCGTAGTCATAGAACTATTAATTAAGCATGCTCAGGTCAAGCATGCTCAAGTCATAACTGAAAAAAGTCACTAACTCAGTTTTTCCAAACTTTTGTAACAAAAAGTCTTTTGGTAATTAGCTAACAACTATAATAGCTTACAAGTATCTAATGAGTATAGTAACGATAAGGTGTATTTTAAAGTGAAAGGAATAGTAAAAAAATTACACTTAAAAAATTAATTCACTTGGGTCTCAACATTTTTTTTTTAAATTTGTAATAAGAAAAACTAAACAATCTGTACAAGTACAGTACACTAAGTATAAGTGCGAAAGAGAATGAAATTAAATTAATACCAATAATACTAAAATTAAAATTAACAATAAACATGAAGTTTTGAGTGAAGAGTTATCCAGCGACAGCACTTCGACTAACTATCTTGCTTTGTCCCGTACAAGTGCGGTCAGTCAGCCAATAACTTAAAAATCTAACTGTTTTTTTTCTTCACTCACTGAAATATTTGCTAAAAAGTTTTTTTTTGTCACGTTCAGTGTGACTTTGTTATGAATAAATTATAGGTAATTAAAAAATTATAAACACATGTAAACGTTATTTCTATTTTAAAATACTCATTGAAAGTAAAAAAGTAAAATTTGTTAATTATACGAACTAAAGCCATTGTACAAATTTGGCGTCATCGGGATTCAACCATTTTTTTTAAATTTTAACGTCAAAGTAATTGGTAAAACCAGGTCGCTTAAAAATTTACCTTTGTACTTAGGTTTTTTTAAAATTATAAATTGTTTATATTTTGTATAGCCTTTATTATATATATTACAGCTCAACGATTACACAGATTGACAATAATGTAATAATGTATTACATGTTATGTAAAACTGTTATTGAATATCAAATAAAGAATATAACTAATTCAAACTGTGTTTGTTTGAAAATCTTGGTTGGTTCTATCTAAAGATGAAGAATTTGTTGTTTTGTGAACATTTTTAAAAATTGTATAGCCGGTTTTGAAACTAGGCGCCTCATAACATTGATCGTATGATGTGTTAATTGTGCCTGTTGCCACAGAATCTCAGCTCCTGCAGGTCCTATATAAGAAAACTAACAAAAAACGAGTGCTGTGGCCTCCTACAAAACAGTAACCGCAATGTCTCCTGCGATCACAATTATTTTTTTTAACTATTTTTCTAAGCAAATTTTTTACTAAATTATAGATAATAATAATATTATTTTACTTACAGACGTTTAAATTATTTTTGTGAATAGAAGATCAACAAAAAATGATGTGGTAAAAAAATTAATTTTTGTACTTGTATAAAAAATGTCATCAAATAAATAAATTGTTATTATTAAATAAATAATTTATTAAGTATTTTTTTAAGCTGATATTAAGAATTTAGGCTGAATCGTATATACATAATAAATCTTTTCAACCAAATTCAATAATTAAATTCTGTGATTAATACTTTAATTAATTTAAACGTTTTACAACTTTCACATATAACGTTGTAAAATAAAGGTTTATATTTGAGTTTAAAGTTATAATTTATTTTAAACTTTGATTTTTTTATGTTTTTATTAAAGAAATCAGTATTAACATGGCTACATTTCATAATTATTATAGATTAGTTGGATTCATATCAAATAATATTGTAGGAATAAAACCAATAGCATTATTAAATTTTTACTGACAATTTTACAAAACTATTAAGATTGTTCCGTATATTAATTAAATAAAAAGCAAATAAAATGGCGTCTATGGATATCATACTTTTTGTTAGGTAATTTTTTGTATAAGAAATATATGAACACAAATTTAATATTATCTCTAATGTAATATAAATAATTAATAAATCACGAGTGTAATTGTTTAAGCGTGTTCTACGATTTTGGTACGTACTTAACTTTTTTGTACGAAGAATGCACTTCTCCCATTCCATTAAACAGTCTCCTGGGTATAACTGTTCTGCCTGTAGTAAACAGCTAGTAATCTTAGCTGGTTCTAACGAAATTTTAATTTCTTCAACATTTTACCAAAAAGATTTGTCAGTTTTCAAATTTATTTTGTGTTTTCCAAATCCATATTTGCTCCGTTATCTGTGGTGATTGAGTATATTTGATTAGGGTGTAAATCATAACTTTTCAATGTTTTTAAAAGTTCTAATTTAAGATTATTTCACGTAGTTTCATACTCTTCGGTCGTTGCCAAACATCTCACAGAAAATTTCCCAAGTAATTGCCATTGTAATATAAACAGTTTTTGAAAATTTGTAAATGTAGAATGTATAGTAAAATACATAATAAGTACCTATACTATTAAACTAATTAAATATATAATAGTATGATAACTTATTCAATATATTATATTTAATCAAAATATCTAAGAACTTTTCTATTTTTTAATCTATTAGTAATTATAAAAACTTACTGGTATCTGTTTCGCACAATTATGTATACGGCACACTGATTTGAATGCAAATTGACCTTCCGTGCAGTATTCAAAATACCGTCGAGCAGGATGATTATTGTTTGATACTTTAGGCATTTTTATAAAGTAATAGGTATTTTTAATTGTTAAGTTATACAAAGATTTTAGTATGACAATAAATATTATAAAGGGAAATGTAGTACAAGCTTAATGACCACAACAGTTGTCGAAGATTACCTCGTGGTCTAATATTATTTTATAACTGTACGATATCGCGATTAAGTACCGATGATTGCTCTTGTTTTTGATTACTAATCTGTCCATAAATAACAGTTGAACAGAGCCTTTGAAAGTTTCGGTATTAATGTAACTAGTAAACATAAGTATTCAGTAGTGGCGCAAATATGACATCGTATCGTTGTCTGGGTTCGATACGTAAATGTAATTTGTTATTACATAACACATTTCTATGCATATATTATCTACCCAGAAGTCAAAAACTGTCCATTGCAGTTGAGGGCAACCACTTCTTTATAACAGATTTACTTTATAAGTTTCTGTATTTATATATATTTGTATAAACCTTAAAGCAATAACAATTAAAAAACTATAGAGCAGTACAAATCGTGGTAATAATTGCGCAAATATGTATATATTAATTTTTTTTTTAAAGTCTTAAAACTATACATTAGAGCAAAAGTTATTTAGTTAGTCATATATTTGTAATAATCACTGCATATATAACACGTAAAAATATTGGCCGGACAACTTTTATTAATAAACGTTCAATGAACGTGTTCGTAGTATACCTAACCTAACCTAACCAGTTCACATTATCGTTCACTGAAAAAATACCCGTAGAACGTTATACCGGGAAAAGTTTAATGAACGTATTCATAACTAAAAATACTTTATAAATAAAAAAAAAAAACAATATTGTGGCCGGCGCGCCGGTAAGTACACTGAATATAACTTATGCCATACTATCACAAATCGGACGTCAGGTCTAACGATCTATACGTGAAAATCGATCTATATACTGAAATTGTTTTTTCCGCCTTCGTCGTTGTAGGTGGACATACAACTGTTGTCCCCGCCGGTCTTGGATACAACAGTACCGCCACCACAGATGTTTGCTGATACGTCGATCCCGGCGACGTCCACAGCGAAAGCATCTACACCAGCGACAGCAACAAAGAAGAAATTAATCCCGCCGACGTCGATATTGAACCTAACATCTTCAGACAACTATTCGGACCGTTGGCGGCTGTTGATCAACTCATAACATCTGCGGACATGAAAACTCATAAAATGTGTTGTCTTTTATCGCCCATTTAAAAATATTAAGTTTTTTGCATAGTTTATCTTAGCAGCGATCAAAGCTTAAATAATAATATTGTTATGATGAAACTTACTTTATTTAACCAGATGTTAAATTGAAATGAATTGTCAACTAACATTAGGAGTGTTAAGAGTGTATTTAATAATAGTTGGTGAAACCGGCTGCTTATTATGTATTGTTGTTGACTGCAGGAATGGGCTAGGTAGGAATATTAGATAGTACGGTTTTTTTACCTGGCCCGTTTGCATTTCCTCGCCGGTCAGCTCCTCGATGGTCGGCGGCGTCGATGGCTGTTTGGCATTCTGCAAAGAAAATAAACATTACAACAAAAATGTACACACAAATACTATGGTTGACATATTCAGTGTACTTACCGGTGTTTGACCATCGCAGACCAGAGCTTTTGTCGTTGTTGATGCTGCGCCCACCGTGGATAATCATCGTCGGTGGCGGCGGGGTTGAAGCTTTCACTATGAACGTCGCCGGGATCGACGTATCAGCAAACATCTGGACTTGTTAGTTTTCTAACATTAATATTCTAGATAGAAGTAATCACTAGTGTAGAGGTAATTAGCAAGGCCAAGTGTCATTTGAAATGTTAAGAAAACCGTATTAAACTGTAAGTGAACATAAGTCATATTAAGTATTGTTATTTGTTGTCCGATAAATAGTATTATTCAAAACAAACACATTTTGACTAATCCGTGGAATGGCGAATTTATGTTTGAATATTTTAAGCCAGTGTTTTTAAGTAGTTTATGAAAAACGTTTATTTTCCAAATATCAAGTGAATGGTTTGTTTATACCGTGTGTTCACTTATAAGTACAGTTATTTAGGTAAGTAATTAAAAATACAGTTTCAGTGGCAGCCGGTCAGGGGAAACTTTGAAACTAAGTTTCACCTTAAAAATCTTTAGCTACTAATAAATAATTATATTAATAACAATAAATAATATTGACATCGTTGTCAATTCCTAGGGGGATGGGAAATGGATATAATTTAAATTTTAGACTAGTGACGTGTGGGGGCATACCGAATAAATATTCCTTATACATTTCAACTTGATCCGACTCTTTTTATCGAAATTATAGCCAGTAATAGTTCAAACTTTATAACTATTATGTTTTTTTTAAATAGTAAGCTTTATCAACTTTTACCCCCTCCCCTCCCCAAAGTACCATCTAGATGACATTTTTGATTTATAGAGTTCCTACTCGAAAGAATTGGTCCAGTATAAAACAAGTTACAGTGTATACAGACACAAAAAAAAACCCACATAATTGTAAAACCAATACCTTCGCTCTTCCGCATCGAAGCTAAAAATACTGTATCGCATCACAAAATAAAAAAGCCTGATGTAAAATTCACTAAACCAAAAACTATTGTTTACTTAATTGCTAATATTTTTTTTAACAGTTTTAAATCTAATTAGTTAAATATTATTTTTACAAAATTCAATCATGTACAGTTTTTACCAACAATTGTTTGCATTTTACTATAGAAATGTTAACAATTAAACCAGATGTCCTGAAATTATATTTTAACTTTATTGTATGGTACACTCACCATACTACTTATTCCATCTATAAATACAGTTGACATGATTTAGATTGTTCATTGAATTGGTAAAAGTGTTACGGGTAATTATGAAATTCTAGATTTTATATTTCTGGTTAATTATTGTTATATTTATTTACATTGGTTCTTAAGCTTGCTAAAATGACATCGATTAAAGCGTGTTTTGTAGTACTAGTCGTAGTCGTTTTTTATCAAACAACTACACTTGGTGATTTAGGTAAGTAAAAAAATCTATATTTACTACTTTATATAAGTCAACCAAATTGTGTATTTTTAATACAGATTTGTGTAGTTATGATTTATAAACTCACTTAAACGTCTTAGTAATGAGGAGGGTTTGGAAGGAAGTAAAAACAACTATCAGACTTGAGGAGCTAGTTGGGGTAGTCGGTAAACATAGTAGACAAATTAAATTAGTATTTACAATCAATTATAAGAGACAAAGGAGGGAATTGAAGAAGATGGGGCGATTGGGAAAGTGTGATCACCGTGCGATTCGTGTGGAGGAAACAGAGGTGTTGATAATTGACACGGGTAGATTTTGTACAATTATAAAGAAAATAGAATAAAATGGATATGTTAAGTGAATAGAGAAATGGCGAATATTATAGAGATTTGTATAAGAGTCTCTATTTAGCTGTCCGAAGTAGACGTAGACTTAGGCAAAATCATGTGAACATTTTTTTTTCTAAAATCATGAAAATTCAAAATCGTTTATATTTTGTGATTATTCATGGAAATTTTTTTTTCGCCGATGGGTTATTTTTGTGGGATCATTTATAGTATTTGTAATGATAATCCTAATAATCTCCAATAAAATAATTAAATTAAATATGAACATATTAACATAATAATAGAACTAGGTATATATTTTATATTAAAAATTATGATTTTGTTTTACAAAATCCAATGTTTTTAAATAAAGCCCGACTATGATTTTAATATTTTTGTTTTTATTAGATAAAACTTAAATAAAAAAGAAAATAATCAACTTACTAGACAACTAATTGTAATTTACTCTGAAACATATACACACAATAGATATAGTAAGTTACAATGTAACATTTTATAATAATTTATTGAATTTTTTTTTCAGTTACCGAATCGACATCAGGTAATATATCAATATTTATTAAGTATCAATAATCGTATGGAAATATTTTTTAATAACTATTTAAATACTGTTCCGTGTAATTGTAAACTATGTATTCAATATTCAAAATCCTGATTTTGTTTAAAAAAAATCCATCGTTTTTAAATACAGCCCGACTCTGATCTTAATAATATTATAGTTTTCTTAGATAAACTTAGATTAAGAAGAAAATAATCAACTTAGTAGACAATAGATGGTCTATTACTTTGTAATATACTTATAAACACAAAATAGGTAAAGTCAATAACAATGTAACATTTTATTGTAATAATTTATTGATTTTTTTTTTCAGATAACCGATTGACATCAAGTAATACATCAATATTTATTAATTATCAATAGTCTCATGCAAATATTTTTTAATAACTATTTAAACACTGTTCCGAGTAATGGTTTGTTCGATGTAAAATATTTTAAAAGTTGTACAATTATTGTTAGTTAACTGTTAATTTTATGTGTTTTTTTAAACTAATGTTTAACTATTTAAAAAGCTATCTGCTTACAAAAATACACGTTTTGTATTTTATGTAAAACCAGGTCTTAAAATTAAACATTACATTTGACATGTATAACATATTATATAATATATACAATATATATAATTACTTAATACTTAATAGTGATAATAAAGAATGTTAAAATATTTAGGGAAATTCATGGAGTTTCTTCCAAATTCAGTCGAGTCATTAGAAAGTTTAATTGTAGAAGGAGGGGACGTGATCAAAGCCAAAAGTTATGACAAACTGATACAAATGTATAAAGTATGTGTACTGTGTATTTTTTAGTAATAATTATATCGAAAAACCGACCGAAGTGCCTTTGCATTTCTATCGAATCTACCACAGATTCGACCAACAACCTTATGCTATTGTACAGTATAAACAAATATAACAGGATTTTTTCTAAAAAAAATTGTTGAATATTAAAGAATTCCTTGTTTTATTATCAATATTTTTGTTTGCAGGACAATGACGACAAGGAAGCTCTGATGGCGCTGACTAAAAATGCGCACATTTTATCTTTTAATTACAAACACTCGAGCGCAACATTACAAAATACTAAAAATCTTAGGGGCTCTAAACAAGGTTTGTTTAAAACCCAGTATGGGTTATTGCTTAGATAATCAATTGTAACTACTCATTGCCATTTTAATTATACTACTAACTAGTTCGCGTCATCACTTTTAGTGTTACCAGTATGTTGCTAGTAAACGTGTAGGAGGTTGAGTAGTAGGGAAAGTTAGAGAGGGAAATATGAAGGGCGAGAGGAGTGGATGAAGATGTAATGATTATACGGGTAAATCGATAATCCCTAGAAAAGTGACAAATAATAAGAGAATCAGCTGAAAAACAAATTAACAATCCAATGTTGACCATACATTTAGTTTTGTTTGAGCTGGCTTTGTATTCATATTTTTTTAATATAATTATAATAAATTATTCATTTTAAGGGTATCAATTCGCTGACAAATGCATAGCAGAATACGAGAGCGACCCGGCTAAACTTTACGAATGTCTAAAGTGGAAAGCAGCGCTTTATGAAACAGATATTATTGAAGGAAACGTATTGATGAGCAAAACGTCGCTGGATCAGTTAAAGAAAGTCTTAATTCAAATGGACAAAATAAAGGAGAATAACCCCGACATCCCTGATGATCCATTTGTGACTTTTCTGAAAGGAAGAATAATATGCGAAGTAATGATATTTATAATAGTAATAAATTATACCTGAGTGAATTTAAGGGATCTGATCAACAAAAAATCATGCCTAAATGTTCAAAGTTCTATCATTTGATTATTTCTTCAGCCATTATACATTTTTAAAGCTTCAGTAATCAAGTAAATACGTTTATCCTCTTTAAATTTTAAATACCTGATTATTGGTATGATCCCTTCAACTACAAAATAGTGTATAAAATAGTATAGTATTAAAATGTCATACCCTCTCTGTATTACACTTGTCATCATGCCCTATTGTCTATCTCGTTACTCAATAATCAATTTAATAGCTCAAATCACAAAGCATGTGCTGACTTGAATTAAACATGGATTTTTTCAGATTAAATTAATGTCAGATGTTGGGAAATTCTCTTTCAAAAAAAGCCAATCTTTGTACGGAGATATAATCGACCACAAACAAGAAACAATCCAAACTTGTATAAACAAGTTAAAAGATTTCGAATCGGAAGTCGGCGATTCCGGGCAATTCAGAGAAAGTAAACTACTACTGGGAATAGCTTATTTAGCAGACCGAAAATGGCCAGAAGCCCAATATTGGCTCCAGAAAGCAATGGACATACCGGTTAGAGACACCGAGGTAATATAATAATAACAATTACATAAAGTCATCATAGTATAATACCTAATAAAATTGAACGGTAGACCATGTTTTAAATCAAGGGAATACATTTTTTTAACTTGAGTAGCTGAATTTATTTTATTTTTTATGTGTGACAATTGATAAATGTTTACAGGGAAAATTGAAAAACAGAGCAGCTCAAATTGCATTAGAAAAACTTCAATTGAAATTGTTTCCAAATACATTTAAATAACAGTTTACTATAAAATATTATATTGTTAATTAAAACGTTATTATATTGCTAATATTATACAATAGCCTACAAAAATATATAATATCAGCTATGTGCTATAAATACAATAGATAGCTACTAAATACCATATTTTTAAAACATTGCATCATTATTAAAATAAAACACAATTGCAAGATATCATTCGTTATCAAGCTGTCCTTAATTGTTGTATTCGTTGTCCTTCGTTAGCGATTAAAGTACGCCCAGTCGCGTTATCAACTGTCCACCGTCTCACTACAGGTGGGAACGATAAACCACTTATTCCAGAACAATTCGGTGTTGAACTTCATTTATTTTATTTAACCCTCTTACAACGTCTCAAATTTGGCGTCCCGCAGAGGAAAAGACCCAGTGTCAACTAAACCAGGTAGGATTATTTTGGCCGCTGTTTTACTGAGAAAAAAAATTACGCTTGATTTAAATAACCCGCACGGCCGAACGGATATTTGATTTACGCCATTTACTCCGGTTAAAAACGTACCAAATTGACAATTAAGCATATTGGCGAATAGTTACTACTTTTTTTAAGTAAAACCGGATGAAAGAAAATACAAATATTGAAGAAAGAAATAGGGTTATATATATATATATTTTTTTGTTTATAGATAAACAACACCTTATTGGTTACTTCTTTTAAGTAGCGCATGACAAAAAAATAAGTAATAACAATCCTTTTGTTTTTCTCTTAAAAAAAAAAATAGAAAAAAAGACAGATACTATTCAACTTTTTTTTTTCGTATACTAGATTATATTTGAAACGCCAATACCCGCTCACCCCTACGGCTTTAATTTTTTTCTTTTTTCTTTTTTCCCAAATATAATTATAAATTAAATAGAATTTATTATTATTATTATTTTTAGTTTTCTTTATAGTAAAATAATATTTAAATTAATTAATTATATTTTTCTTTCTGTAGTTTTTATTAGCAAACAACTAATAAAACATCAATATACACTTATGCAGGGTGATTCTTTTATCATGAACCAGTCAATATCTCACTTGGTTTAATTAATAATTTAATTTTTTTTTCATAATGTTTTCATACAATGTGATCAAGTTCACGGCAGGAGAAAAGGTGGTGTGTAGTATTATTTGTATATTATATAACAATATAACGATACGCATGTATCTTATTTGTGGCATGCCTCGTGTATACTATGTAATATGGCTTTCGTTTAACCTCAATAATTACTTCGTCAAAAATTGGATATCTATAGTTGAAACACTTTTTTTTTAAATGGATAAAGTAAATTATTAAAGTTATCACGGTCTTAGCATTTTAAGTGAAATTTTCGGCATATTCATTGTAATAATAATTATTACATTAAATTAATTAAATATTAATTATTGTTATTTAATTATGGTTATTCATTTGTAATATATTTTTTTTAAATGTATTAATTGAAATATAGCGCCCAAATGGGCATAGCGTATGCAATATACATACCTACAGCATACAATAATTTAACAAGCAATTAATGAAAACAAATCATCAAGAAAAACTTAAAAAATGTTGAAGAACAAATAAATAAGGAGATAATAATTATGGGGTGTTCTTTAGAATGTATTATAAAATAAAACTAAAAATACTTAGTAATATAAGTTAGTACCTAGGTGTTTTTATTCTATGTATTTAAATCGGTTAGGTAAAATTCTCCTGAGCTAATTTTTATTCAGAATCGGTGACTGTTTCAACTCCATTGACGAATATCATGATGTGTCCTATATGATCCACCATGTCTTCAGAGAGCGTTTTGTTATCAGAACCGAACACGATTACTGCTTGTTGTTCTGGAATACGTTTAAGGCTGTAATTGCTAAGATTACTCTCGTTGTTTTTACGTGAATTCGGTGTCCATATACCAACAGGCCAGAGATTTTCATGAGACTTTAGTACAAGATTTTGACAAGTACAAGCTGGACATCCACTTTTAGTCAATGCTTGCTTAATGGCAGACTTTAAATGAAAAATAGTTATTATATTTTTGAATAATACATTTTTATACAATACTTTACTTGAAGCCATCTACCAGGCGAAGGTATGAGACTACTCCAATTTGTAACTTTTGCTGGTTGCAAGGTATTATACCATTGTTCAAATGTTGCATAGCTTATCACTTCATTAGCCTATAATTAATGACATGGTAATTAACTTGAAGAACGAATACTGAGTAAGTGCGCACTGTGGTATTTAAAAAAAATTACTTTAATGTTTGTTAAACATGACATTATGAAGCTATTAACCTTAATAGAACACCTTTAACATGACAGTTTTTCGACGTTTTAAATTGGCTTTTTTTAGTTAATGTGATATATTGATTACAAATGGTTTTTCACCTCTGTAAGCTTAAAATAGGACATACGCATTAAACAAATGTGTGCAGTATTTTAAATTTGTAGATGACTACTAATTCTTATTTTATATTATAACGTACACGGTACATTGTATTAAATCTATTTTTGTATTGGCAGACTTTATAGGTCTAAAACAAATTATTTTTCTTATTCTTCTATCACTAATTTTAGTTGTACAGGAGTTACGTATATTTACAATAACCATTTACATATATACATACTTTATATTTTAATATACAATTATAATTAGAGGAACGGGTTAGAAGTGCACAGCGGCCTCATAGGCCAATTTTTTGTTTGGTCATAATAAACAAATGATACTTTCCAATCTATTTACTTTACATATAATAATAAACTATACTGGAGTCCATGGTTATAAAAATATTCAATACCCACGAGTAACAATACCCATAAACAAGTATTTCAAATAATATGATAAATCATTCAACTTGAAATTTCTAAATGTATCCCAGCATACTATAATACAAAAAAAGCAGACAAGACAATACAACATATAATCACGTGACTTAAAGCTGTTTTTGTGTTATTATTTATTCATAATATTTATTATTTAAATTCATGGTAAAAAAAAAAAGAGTACCGTTGGCCAAACTCTATATTAATTACTGACTGTTTAGTATCGAGTACCTTAAAATACATACACTATCGCCTGATGTTAATATTAAAATATTGGAACAGACCGAACAATTAAGTCTAGACCATAAAATAAATACCGCCGACTTTAATAAGCAAAATTATACACAGAACCACATAACGTACTTCCAATAACTAAAAAAAAAATATATACTACAAACGTGTATGTTGTATAATTTATTATGTTTGTATATTAAAATTATTTTACTACTTTGTTTTCAATAAAAAAAGCCAGTATAGTGTGGTCGGAGCCTAGTGAGGATGGGGAGGTCACAGGTCTTCAGGAATTATTATAACTGAAAGTTATGTATAATCACTTTTAAATAAACGCTTCGATGCGAATCTGTGGATAGTAGGTCCAAACCAGTACAGTAAGAAAGTATTACATGAAGTGAGTAGAAGTAGTATCAGGATAAAATAATATTGATTACCAACATTTAAACTTAAATCGAAAAATTCAATTTCGATTACATGCCCTGAATTAAATAAACGGTATTGTTTAACAAAATATGATTAAAATTTACCATTGATAGCCGCCGTTATTATCGCGTTTGTTAAGCAAAACAAAAATCGTGTTGCGGCGTAGATAATAGCAAATAATATAAATGATAATATCGGAAGGCTAGGCCTTTTTAGGGGCTCCCTTTTTTCCCCCCAATATCAGTGTAGCCATATGATGTGATAAAATATACCGTATGAATATTGCGTAGGATAATAATTTGTATTTGAAAAGTCTTTAATATAATTCAATTTTCAAAATACCTACATTAAATAAGTAATAACATCTGAAAATATTGTTATTTGTTAATACATGTGTTATTAAAACTTAAGAGTTTAATTAATAATATATAGAGATTAGTATTCGTTTACACTAGTTATAGTAAACAGTTATCAAGTAGGTTATTATTTTGCCTTCAATAGCAGAAAAGTAGGATAGGATAAATGTAGTTAGTTAAGTAAATAAAATATTTTGTAAATTTTAGCACAGACATTTATAATAGTTTTAAAACATATACACATAGGTATAACACATAAAGAAGTACACATTAGGTATGAGTTATTTTTTAATGTTTTTTTGATTTCACAGATGTATAATTTTTAGCATAATTATCAATTATCGTTACTTTTTTTAAATCGCAATAGTGGCAATAGTAGTCTCGACTGTTCAAATGCCGTGACCATACGTATGACGTGACGTGGCGTGACGTATGGTCACGGCATTTGAACAGTCGAGACCACTATTGCCCTGAAGATGGACTCTGCAAAGAGTCCGAAACGTCGGCATAAAACATGTGACGTGGATATATCCGAAAATTACTCAACTGATATAAAAATCTTTTTTCATAGTAATTTCTATGATCTATCTATATATATAAAAATGAATGTTTGTTTGTTTGTCCTTTGAGCATTAGTACACCATTCATACGATTGCCATGAAACTTTGGAAAGTTGTTGAGTACACTCCCGCGAACCTAACTGGCATAGTGCTATTTGAAAATTCCACCACTAAGGTGGCTTCAAACACGAACTTTGTACTTTAAATACGAAATGTAAATAAATAAAATGTTTGTGACCATGGTAATCCAAAATAAAATTTATAGTACAAACGTTAATATGAACTATCCATAAAATATCTAATAAAACCTAACCAATATAACTTTTAAAATTTTATAACATTTGGAAAATTCGAAACCATAAAAAACCATTTATCAAACAAAAACAATCCCATAAAATATAATTCCATTAAAAAACGCGATTTACCTAAGAGACCTATGAAATAGTCCACATAATATAATCAATGTTACTCTCAAAATCCCACAAATAGCCTTCCGAACCATACATATCCCATAAAAATGAAATCCTTTGATACAATTATACTCACTTCACGTGCGGGACATAAAAGTATATCAACTTTGAGCCCTGAAAATGTACACGCAATTATGCGGCGAACACACGGGTGCTCCGGCACGTCGCCGTAAATTTGCGTGGGCGACAATTATTGAGTAAAATCGCCGACAGCCGCAGGCGTAAATCTAATCATTCCATGATGGTCTCGGCGGGAGCGCTGCTTCCCGCCAGTTGAAACCACCGGGGCGGAATAGATTTTCTTGACATGTTTTTCTAGTTTTTCATTTTTTTATCGTTTTTCTAGTTTTCTTATTTTTCAATTTTTTCTATTTTTTTTAGTTTGTCAGGTTTTTCAGGTTTTTCTAGTTTTTCTAGTTTTTCAATTACTTCTAGTTTTTCTAGTTTTTCTAGTTTTTCTAATTTTTTCATTTTTTCATTTTTTTCTCGTTTTTCAATTTTTTCTAGTTTTCTAGTTTTTTTAGTTTTTCTAGTTTTAGCTTCGATGCAAAGCATGAAGGTATTGGTTTTACTCTGATGTGGCCTTTTTTTTTCGCTTATTCACTGTAACTTTTTTAATACTAGACCAATTCCTTCGAATAGCAACTCTATAAATCACAAATTTTGTCTAGTTTGTACTTTAGAGGGGGGGGGGGTAAAAGTTGAAAAAGTTTAAGTCTTCACAGACGAAAGTTGGAAAAACAAAAAAAAACCGTACGAGTTTTTAAGTTAGAACTTTTACTGGCTATAGTATCGAGAAAAAGAGTCGGATCGAGTTGAAATGTATAAAAAATATTTATTTGGTATGCCCGCGCACAGTTTGAAAAATAGTTCAAAGTTTGAATTTGACAAAACTGACGTGCGCGGGCATACCAAATAAATATTTCTTATACATTTCAACTCGATCCGACTCTTTTTCTCGATACTATAGCCAGTAAAAGTTGAAAAACTAGAAAACCCTAAGAAACTATAAAAACTATAAAAACTAGAAAAACTAGAAAAACTTGAAAAATTAGAAAAACCTATAAAACCAGAAAATAGAAAAACCTGAAAAACTAGAAAAACCCGAAAAACCTAAAAAACTAGAAAAACCTGAAAAACTAGAAAAACTAGAAAAATTGAAATACTAAAAAAAATAGAAAATCCTGAAAAACTAGAAAAACTAGAAAAATTAGAAAAAATTGAAAAACTAGAAAAACTAGAAAAAGCTAAAACTAGAAAAAATAGAAAATCCCGAAAAACAAGTAAAACTAGAAAAACTTGAAAAATTAGAAAAACCTAAAAAAACAGATACTAGAAAATCCTGATAAACTAGAAAAACTAGAAAAACTAGAAAAAATTGAAAAACTAGAAAAACCTGAATAACTAGAAAAACTAGAAAAACTAGAAAAACCTGAAAAACTAGTAAAACTAGAAAAACTTGAAAAATTAGAAAAACCTAAAAAATCAGAAACTAGAAAAACCTGAAAAACTAGAAAAAATTGAAAAACTAGAAAACCCTGAAAAACTAGAAAAAAATTTTCTAGTTAAAAAGTTTTTCTAGTTTTTTAATTTTTTCTTGTTTTTCTAGTTTTTCAATTTTTTCTAGGATTTCAATTTTTTCAATTTTTTCTAGTTTTTCTAGTTTTTTTTAGTTTTTCTTGTTTTTTTAGTTTTTCAATTTTTTCTAGTTTTTCAGTTTTTTCTAGTTTTTCTAGGTTTTCTAGTTTTACAGGTTTTTCTAGTTTTTTTAGTTTTTCAGTTTTTTCTAGTTTTTCTAGTTTTTCTAGTTTTACAGGTTTTTCTAGTTATTTTAGTGTTTCTAGAAAAACTAGAAAAACAAAAAAAACTAGAAAAACCTGAAAAACTAGAAAAACACGAAAAACCTGAAAAACTAGAAAAATTGAAATACAAGAAAAAATAGAAAATCCTGATAAACTAGAAAAACTAGAAAAATTAGAAAAAATTGAAAAACTAGAAAAACCTGAATAACTAGTAAAACTAGAAAAACTTGAAAAATTAGAAAAACCTAAAAAATCAGAAACTAGAAAAACCTGAAAAACTAGAAAAAATTGAAAAACTAGAAAAACCTAAAAAACTAGAAAAACTAGAAAAAAAGTTTTTTAGTTTTTTAATTTTTCTGTTTTTCTAGTTTTTCAATTTTTTCATTTTTTCTAGTTTTTTTTAGTTTTTCTAGTTTTTCTTGTTTTTTTAGTTTTTCAATTTTTTCTAGTTTTTCTAGTTTTTCTAGTTTTTCTTGTTTTTCTAGTTTTTCTAATTTTCTAGAAACTAGAAAAACTAGAAAAAAATTTTCTAGTTAAAATTTTTTTCTAGTTTTTCAATTTTTTCTAGGATTTCAATTTTTTCTAGTTTTTTTTAGTTTTTCTTGTTTTTTT